TGGCCACTCCTTGTGGCAGTTATTAGCTATAATAATTAACCAAAGATTTATTTATTTGAAATGCAGAGTGACAGGAGATACAGACAGATCTCTGTTGGTTCACTCCTTAAATGGCTAAGTTAGCTGTCACTGGTCCAGGTAAAAGCCAGGAACCAGGAACTCCATCCTGGTCTCCCACGTGGGTGGCAGGGCCTCTGCACCTGGGTCATTTTCCACTGCTTTCCCAGGCACATCAGCAGAGTGCTGGCTGGGAAGTTCAGTAGTCAGGACTCAAATAGGTGCCCTTATGGGGTCACAGCTTAACCCAATGTGCCACAATGTCAGTGCTGTGTAATTTTTAAAAATAAGCTTGCCTTTAAGTATTTAAATTTTCATTTTACTTGAAAGGCAGAGATAGAAAAAGAAAGAGAAGTAATCTCCCATTTGTTAGTTCCTCATTGCCTGCAAAGTTAAAAGCCCAGAACTCCAGCCAGGTCCCCCATATGGGTGGCAGGGATTCGATTACACAAGTCATCCCCACCGACTCCGAGGGTGCCCATCAGCAGGAACCTGGACCGGAGCTGAGTGATTGGCACTTAACCAGCTACTCCAGTATGGGATCTGGATGTCCCAGGTGGTGACTTCATCCCTGTACCATGTGCCTGCTCCTTTTTATTATTTCAGTTTTAGTTCGCTCTAAAATTACACTGAACATCAAAACTGGGCCAGGCAGTCTACAAGGATCACTTACTCGTGAAACTATTGCCAGGAAATTTTAAGGCAGAAAAAGAAACGCTGCCCATCACACTAATAGTTATTTCAGAGGAAACTGACTTAAATAAAGTGTCCCCCCCCCCTTTGGGGTTCCACAAAATGGAAGCTAGAAGAGAGAATCCAACGAAGTATGTTATTAATGATCTCAACTTGATCTTCACTAAACTTCTAAAAGGATGATTCAGCGGCCCAAGAAGCAGAGGGTGAGAGTGGCCAGAACAAGGAGACAGGAAATGAGAGCGGCTGCTGTGAACACACTTTAGCCCAATGCCAGCAGCACTTCTCACTGTTAGGGGTGAATACACCCAGTTAAGTGGAAATTATTTTCAACCATTTTCTATCAGTCTTCCTCATGGAGAGATAATTTATAAAGTATAGATGATACAGTTGTACAATTTGAGAGACTTTACCAGCTGGAGTGCTTATTCAAAAAGTGTAGTTTATGTTGTAAGAATTCTGTTAATGTCTTAAATTCTGCAAAAGCCTCTCTTTACAAGAGAGAGAAATGCAGTCCCTGAATAGGTCCCGGGACATCTTTCTGAGAAACAGAATGGCTTAAAAACAACTTCCAAAATACCACATGATAAACAGTCAGAAATAAAATCAGTTTCTTTAAAACGGAAATAAATTATTTCCCCCCTCCCCAAAGTTTAAAACAGAACTACAATCATAAATAATTCCAGCTTGCCAGAGGCATGGCTATTTCTTTATACTGACTGTCGACTATCTAATTTAATTAGAGGTATTAAACTCCATGCTGAGGTCAACAATCCTTACTTCCTGCAATATTACACTTCAAGCAGCGCTCATTAATGTGTCTGCTGAATGGATTAACACACCTGAAGATATATGTACCCAGGACGGGGGGACAACCTAATGACATCCAATTGTTCATTTGCAGTAGGACACAGGTTCTAGGCCTCAACTTATTACAACTAATGTGGAATTTATTAAATTCGGGAGAAAAATACCAATACAGAAAATGATTTTTTATTAAGAACTGATACAAGACAACTAGCTTCTATGATTAAGTTTAAACCTTTAAAATTAAGTTTAAACATTAAAACTGTTTAAAAGAAAGTGGCAAAAAGTGTTCATTAGAAAAATCCATCATAGCAGGGCTCTGAGAAGCAAATTTTGGGTAAGAATAATAGAAAACAGAAAAAGGGAAAAATCCATATATGGAGAGATATTAATGTAATCCATTAAAGTAATAAATATATGTAATCCATATAATGGAGAAAAATTAAAGCTTATTTTTATGCGAAGATTTAAACTATTAATACTCAATTATGATATTGGGTAAATATTCCTTTGCTGCTGGATGTAAAAGGCGTTGTTATTTCTTCTAGAATAGCAGAGAGAAGTCTAATGCAACATTAGATGATTATATTACTCCCTCATATAGAATTGAGTAGATTGTCCTCCAATATAGTCCGACATGAGTAGCAGACTTACTCGGGCTGGTGCTGTGGCCTAGTGAGTTCAGCTACTGCCTGTGCTGCTGGTATCCCTCCCATACGGATGCCAGTTCGTGACCTGGCCTTTCCACTTCTAATCCAGCTCCTTGTTCTGGTCCAAGTCCTTGGGCCCCAGCACCCATGGGAGAGCCAGAAGAAACTCACGGCTTTGGCCTGTTTCACCCTGGCCGTGGAAGCCAACTGGGGGAGTGGGCCGGAGCACAGCGGAGACCTCTCTCTGTAACTCTGCTTTTCAAATAAATCAATACATCTTAAAAAAATAAATCTTAAAAAGAGTAAACATTCTTAAACTTATTTACTACCTGATAAGACAGGAAATCCATGTCTTTTAAACTGATAATTGCTTCAGTACATATTTATAATTTTGACAGTTTCTCTTTGATAGTGTAGGGTTCCAAACATTTTAAAACTTTTAAACTTTTTGGGAAATTTTCTCATTAAAACAAAAAGCCCTTAAAACACTTTATATCAGTAAAAATATAAATCTATCTTAGGTAACTTCCCCCAATAATAAACCAAGTATAATTACTTCAGCAACTAAAATAATCATTTATGTTAACAGTATAAAAACTTTAAAACTTAGGGCCAGCTTAGTGGCATAGCACGCTAATCCTTAGCATGCAGTGCTGGCATGCATTTCTGATCTAGTTCTCTGCTCACGTGCCTAGGAAAGCAGCAGAGAGTGACTCAAGTTCTGGGGCACCTGCACCTACGTGAGGGACCCAGAAAAAATTCCTGGCTGCTGGCTTTGGATCAGTTCAGCTCTGGCCATTGTGACCATTTGGTGAGTGAAGCAGTGGAAGTCTCTCCCAGTCTCACCTTCTCTCAATAAACCTGCTAATTAAATATAAGTAAGTCCTTAAAAAGAAAACCTTTACAAATCAGGAACATGTTTGCTTTTTTGAAGTTATATTTCTGCCCCTTAAATGTTTGAAATGTTACATCACGTGACTGTCTCAGTTCTTTCTCTTTATTAAATAATTGGGCAAAATACTAGTATCTTTTCTACCCTGCAAATTCAGGGTTAAAACCAAAACTGTTTGTGTGTGAATCAGCAAGACAGCAGAGTAGTAAATTCCAAGCCCATGTCCCACCAAACATCAAAAAGCACACAGAAATATTTCCAAAATATGGTCTTATGTACAGAGCATCCTAAGATTCTAAAAAACTAGAACCAGTATATATGTCTTTAGCAAAGTTGCAGGACAAAAACATAACAAACAAAAAGCATTCATACTGCTATGAAGTAACAAAAAACAAGCAGAATAAAAAATTATCAACGCTATATAAAAAAATTTATCATAAAGAAACCAGAATATAAATGTCAAAGCTAAACTATAGTTTTAGAAAAAAAAATCAAGGGAAGCGCTTGGCATTGTGACTCAATAGACTAATCATCTGCTTCGTAGTTCTGGCATCCCATAGGGGCACCAGTTCGTATCCTATCTGCTCCTCTTCCAATGAAATTCCCTGCTTATGGCCTGGGAAAGCAACAACAACAAAGCTGCGAGTTCTCAGAGCCCTGTATCCACATGGGAGACTCAGCAGAAGCTCCAGGCTCCTGATGTCAAGCTCAGCTGTGGCCACTGCAGCCATTGGGAAGTGAGCCAGCAGATGGAAGATTCTCGGTCTCTCTTCTCTAAGTCTGTTTTAGAAAAAAAAAAGAAAGAAAGAAAGAAAAAAATCCTAGGTTGTGGCCTAGTGGTTAAGGTCCTTGTCTTGAAAGTGTCAGGATCCCATACGGGCACCAGTTCTAATCCTGGCTGTCCCAATTCCCATCCAGCTCCCTGCTTGTGATCTGGGAAAACAGTCGAGGACAGCCCAAAGTCTTGGGACCCTGCACCCATGTGGGAGACCCTGAAGAAGTTCCTGGCTTCAGATCAGCTCAGCTCCAGCCCTTGCGGTCACTTGGGGAGTGAATCATTGAACAGAAGATCTTCCTGTCTTTCCTCCTCTCTGTATATCTGACTTTGCAAGAAAAATAAGCACTCTTAAAAAAAAAAATCCTAGGAAAAAGTTTCATGACATTGTATTTGCCAATGATTTCTTAGATTAAACCCAAAAGCAGAAGCAACAAAAGAAAAATTGAATACCATCGAATGAAGACTTTAGTGCAACATAGGACAGTTTGTTTGGTGAAAAGAAAATTTATATGATAGAAGAAACTACATCAGTATCTGATAGATGATTAATACCTAGCCTATATAAAAAATTCCTACAACAAAAATGTTGAAGAAGTGTAGGGACCAAAATGCTCGACAGCAACACAAGGACTACAGGTAATAACATCGTCATGGTATTTGGGATTGAGCTGATTTTGTTACAGAAAATCATGTGAGATGACGAATATGTTCCTTTGCTTCACTGCTGCCATTATTTTACCGTATTTCGCAAGATCATAATGTAAACTTCAAATATAAATAGTGAAATTTTTTATTAAAAAAACTATCACCTTTAGTCATCCCATTGTTCTTCAAGGAAATTATGGCTTACTTGGAGGAGGAAATTTGGGGAGTGGGTAGGGGAAATCCCAGAGCACTATGGAATTGTACCATAAAATTCAAAATAAAATAGAAGGGGGAAAACAGAAATTATGGGGTTTACTGTGCAAATATTACTATTTGAAGATGGCATTGGGTGAAGGGCAAAGACAAATACTTAAAATATTGCTTGCTCAGTTAAACTGTTTACTTACTTAATGCATGAATTTTCTTAATTATTGGATTTTAATTCTAAAGTGTTCCCGCACTCTCGCCGAGTACTCACTTTTTTGGTCAGAGAGTCATCGGAATCAGAGGGCATTCTTGTTGACACATGAAATATGACTTCTACTGTAGAGGTAGCGAAGTAGGGGGTGGTCAACCCAGTGCTTTTGTTTTTTTGTAGTCCTCCCATAAAGCCGCAATGGTTTGTAAGATTTACCTAGAGGCAGTAGAGAGCCACATCCAATTAATCAACTAAGCACATTTCCAACATCAGGACTCAAACTTTTCACCTGATAAAAACATTTGCAAACAAAATATTTTGCATTTTATCAACCAACAGTTAATCTAGACTTACTATTGTTTGTACTAGTACCGGAAGTATTTGAGAATCCCTAATTCTTGAGCATTAAATAGGAAAGAATCAATGGCTACAAATGATGCATCTTTGGTTAGGCTCCTGGATGCTAATGATAAATGATAAAGGCTGTAGTGGGGGGCTCACTACAAAAGGAGACAGCAAAAATCAAACCTGGAAATGATTTGGAAGAAAGCCACAACAGTAGCAAGATTTTGATAAAATGAATGAGCAAAGTATGTCACACTCATCCAGGAAACTGGCTTCCTTTATATCCATCGCAGTCCAGAATTTTGTAAATGCAGAATTTAACTACATTTTAATTACATTTAGCATACTACAAACTAATCTGTGTGGGTTTTTTTTTCCTAATGTTTTTCCTTTTATGGGATTGGTATTATACTGCAGCAAGGTAAGCTTCCCATACGAACACTGGTTGAACCCAGCTGCTGCATTACGACTCAGCTCCCTGTTGCTGTGCCTGGGAAAATGCCCCTGCCGTCCATGTGGGAGATCCAGCTGGAGGTCCAGGCTCTGGCCTCAGCCTGGCCCAGCCCTGGCTGGTGTGGCCGTTGGGAAATGAAGCAGAAGATCCTCTCTTCTCTGCCTCTCTCTCTGCAATCTGCCTTCCAAATGAGAAAGTCATTAAAAAATTTCTACATCCTGATAACAAATATACTATACACTAACATTGGGGCATTGCACTGGGTAGTATTTGCTGGACTTGTATAATACAAAGAAACCAGGAATTTGTGTTAACTGTAGAAATTTAGGAAAAATATACAAAAGAAAAATTAAAAATCAAATGTGTTATCTCTACACAGAAAATCACACATGGGCTTTTTTTAAATTATTATATTTTTGACAATCTTTACATAGTTAATTAGGGTAAAAAGGTTCAAGGGCCATAGGAAAGTGGGTAAGACTATTATTTCCATATTGTTTCCTTTATGTTTAAAGGAGGATATTAAGGGAGAAGGCCCCCCAATTTCCCACCCTCCCCAGGTCCCACATGTAGGGCATGCTCTAAGGTTCTTGTTCAAGTGGTTTTGACAGTTCACCAGTTATGAATCGCTGCCAATCTTGCCACTCCAAGCACTATGAGGTCTTTGAAGAATCCACTGATTGACATAGTCCATCATAGAATCTCTGTTTGCCCCGTATTTTGCTGCCAACATATAGCTAAGATGGTCGATTGACGTGCTCTGTCTTCTATCTTTGCTTGGTTAGGGTTCTGAGTCCAGCATTTTGATTGGGGAGATCTCCAAAGAAACTTTGAGGTGTTCTCAGATCAAATTCTTGTATGTACTAGCAAGTGCAGGGCCCGGCACAGTCCATCACCCCGATCAGCTGGTGGTTGCAATTGCTGGGTTGGTTCTGTTTTCAGCCCCGACTTCCACTGGAACCAATGGGTATTGCAGTCCAGCCTGGTTCTGCCCAGCACATACTTGGCTCTCGCATAAACCAGTGGGAGCTGCAGCCTAGTTGGAGCGACCCACAATAACCTCCAGCAGGGCCACCCCCTACCCTGGCTTGCCAGCATGTGTAGCAGTAGACCAGTCTGTCCCACACCCCATTCGGCTCTCGTACATATCAATGGGTATTAAAGCTTAGTTCCATCTAACCAGCTCCACTATGCAGCCCACACAGATGCTGTTGGGTGTCTGTCTAGCCACCCAGCCCCTGTCCTAGTTTTCGTGCTCTCCCATAGGAGTGATAACTCGAGAGGGAGGAGCCCACTATTTCCTTCCCAGGCCTCTCCCACTCCTGGATTATGCATTCTCCAGGTAGTTCTGTGGTTTGACTTAATAGAATTAGACCCCAGTGCCAGCTTCTGCCAGCTGATGCTTACACATAAGCTTTTAAACAACAAAATCTGAATGTACAATAAAACAGAGAATATAAAAAAGAATTCCTATACCATATAAACTGAACACTGCAAAAATATAGTTTCAGTTAATGGTGCCTAAACACACAAATGTTAATTTTTATGACAATACCATAAGACTGCCTCTCTCCAGTTTCTAAAAATTATTTCTTTGAATCAGTAATACTCTCATGTTACTAAAGTGTCAAAAGTAAAAAAGGTGTGAGTATAACAAAATTGTTCATTCCTTGTCTCTCATTTGTGGGTACTCTGTTACCCTCCCAGAAAACTTCAGTATTCTTCCAAAATTATTCTCTGTATATATAGAATTCCTCTACAGGTGCATGCCAATACAGTATTCCACACCTTGCTTCTTGTACTGAAAAATACTTTTCAATATGTAAAGAGCTTTCAGATTTTTGTTTCCACGACCTCACACAAACCTATTTTACATAGGTACTAATGTAACTGGTCCCTTGCTTGGATATCTAAGTTTTTGTTTTTTTTTTTTTTTTGTTATTTTACAGTCAATGCTTCAGTGAATAATACTGATTATATATCACGGTTCATTTGGGAGCATTCTGTTAAAAGCGAAACATTAAGCACATGTACACTTTTAATGCTGAAACACTACACCAGACTGCCCTCAATGGCACCAACAATAAATGCATGGACATCTGGCTAGTGGTTAAGATGCTTCTGCAAGGAGGTTTGAGTTCGTTTCCTGCCCAGGGTATACCTCAAGGTGGAAAATCATGGCTGAAACAGATGAGAGTGGGAACAAAATATGCTGTTATTTTATCAACCAATAGTCAATCTAGACTTAATATTGTTTGTAAGCATTTTCATTTTGTTAAAATGTGAGATGATGAATGCAGACCACGTGAGACCTAGATAGAGTTCGTGGGGCTCTGTTCGGGCTTGGCCCGGCCTTAGCTGTGGCAGGCACTTCCTTTTCCCTCTGACCTTGCTTTTCAAATAAGTTGTCACTCAAACTCCCTCTCCCCCTAAAAACCCAAATCATACTGTACACACGAAGGCCTGTTCTCCTCATCAACAGTTTCCTGATTTCAAGTTTGATCACACTGTGTTTGGAACAAATATCACATGATTATAATCCTTTTTAATTTGTTGGGAGTGTGTATGGGTTTTTAGCCCAGTGGTTAAACACTTCCACTCACACATTTAAGTCTGCTATCTGGCCCCGGTTCCTGACTCCAGCTTCTGATTATGCTAAGTGGTAGTGATGGTTCAAGAAACTAAGTTCTTGTCACACATGTGGTTTGCTGCCTGGGCTCCAGCACAGCCCTGCCCATCCATAGGCATCTGGGGGGCGGAACACCAAATGGAAACTCCCCCTCTACCTCTGTCTACTCTCAAGGAAATACATTTTTAAAAACTGTCAAAGCGTGTTTCATACTGAAGTCCAGGTCTGGTTATTGAGGCTTGTTTGACGAAGATGTACAGATCTGGTCAGTTGTGGTGTGCATAAGCTTTGAATGTATCACCAAGGGGTCACAGGTAGAGTTCGGTCCTCAGTGTGGTACTGTTAACAGGTGGTGAGAAGTTTGAGTTCAGGCCTCACTTGAGGCCATTATCAGCCCCTTTCTGTGGCCTATTGTTTTGCTATTACAACACTCTGGCCATGATGCTGTCATGAGATGATGCAGCCAGAAGGTGGCACCCTCAGCAGACCAGATCCCATGCCTTTTGGACTGTCAGCTACAGAACTGTGAACTAATCAAAAACTTTTCTTTTTGCAAGCATCACCCACGGTATTTTATTATAGCATCAGCAAATGGACTAATACTCCTATCCTACCTATGTACCTTTATCTTCCATATTTGTAATTGTCTTAAATATTTCCTCTTCATATACTTAGGGACAGTGTTGCTTCAGCTGTTAAACACAGTTAAGAAAACTCAAGAGGATAAAGTCCAATGTATTTATACATAATTTTCCCTCGCCATGCTCTCTCTTCCTGATATTTCAGAATTCCTTCTTTTATCATTTCCTTTCTACAGAATTTCTTTCAGTAGTTCTTTCAAGGCAAACCTGCTGGTAACAAGTTCTCTCTGTTTTCCTTCATCTGAGATTGCTTTCAAGTATATCCCTGAAGGATGTTTTCACTGTCACTGCATTTCAGGTTGATCTCTCTTTTATTACTTGAAAATATTATGCCACTTCTGCCCCCAACGCTAACCCATTTCTGAAGGAAAATCTGCTAACCATTCTATTGCTTTCCCTCTACAGAGAAAGGATACGTTTTCTCTGAAGGATTTTAAGTCTTGCTTTTTTGTCTTCAATTTCCAGAAATTCAATTACGCAGTGTGTACATGAAGTGAGAGAACCCAATCACGGAAAGAGAAGAGCTACATCACTATCTGACCTCACTGGTACATGGCATCTAAGCAAGTTCAGCTCACGGTCGCTAGCGGTGTCACAGCAGTCCCAGAGGCCAGGGAGAGCAAAGGCCACCAAGTCGCAGTGGCAAGGGAATCCATTCTGGCGTTCTACTGCACGCCAGGGTGACTACCGAGAATGATAACATTTAATTTTCTTAAAAATAATTCCAAGGCTGGAAAGGTTTAGAATATTTTCACAAGAAATTGTAAATATCTGAATTAAGTACGTTTGTCCTGATGGTAATACAATATATATATATATATGTATGTATGTGCATGTATATGTATGGAATCATCACATGGTACCCCATTGATACGTTTAATGTATCAGTGAAAAAAATGTAATTAATGGTAAAAATTTTTTGATATGTATTAGTACAAATTTGTGGTTTGTCCTGTTTGGGTTTCATCCAGCTTCTTAAATTGACAACTTCATCACTTACCAAATTTAATTTTAGGTCTTGGGCCTGGTGCGGTGGCACAAGTGGTTAAGGTCCTTGCCTAGAACGCCCGGGATCCCATTTGGGCGCCCGGTTCTATCCCGGCAGCCCCGCTTCCCTTCCAGCTCCCTGCCTGTGGCCCGGGAAAGCAGTCAAGGATGGCCCAAACCCTTGGGACCCCGCACCCGCGTGGGAGACCCGGAAGAGGCTCCTGGCTTCGGATTGGCATAGCATCGGCCGTTGCGCTCACCTGGGGAGTGAATCATTGGACAGAAGATCTTCCTCTCTGTCTCTCCTCTCTGTATATCTGCCCTTTCCAATAAAAAAAAATAATAAAAAATCTTTTAAAAAAAATTTTAGGTCTTATGGGCCCGGCGGCATGGCCTAGTGGCTAAAGTCCTTCGCCTTGACCGCACCAGGATCCCATATGGGCGCCAAATCTAATCCAGGCAGCTCCACTTCCCATCCAGCTCCCTGCTTGTGGCCTGGGAAAGCAGTCAAGGACAGCCCAAAGCCTTGGGATCCTGCACCTGTATGGGAAACCTGGAGGAAGTGCCTGGCTCCTGGCTTTGGATTGGTGCAACACCAGCTGTTGCGTTCACTTGGGGAGTGAATCATGGGACAGATCTTCCTCTCTGTCTCTTCTCCTCTCTGTACATCTGACTTTCCAATAAATAAATAAATCTTTAAAAAAAAGAATTTTAGGTCTTATGATCCAGTTTGTGTTAATTTTTATATATGGAATGAGGACAGTCATCTCCCCCCGCCCCACATTTGGCTCTCTAGTTGATTCAGTGTCATTTGCTGAGAAGATTATTCTTTTTTCACTTGATACCCTCATGAAAAACCAAGAGAACACAGATGTGCAGGTTCACGTCTGGATTCTTGATTCTATCTCACTGACACCACGTGTTCTAAGTGCCAGCACATTACTTGATTAGCACTGCTTTGTAGTAGTACATTTTGAAATGAAGAACTATGGGTCATCCTAAGTATTTTTTTCTGTCTCACTTCTACTAATGCTTTTATTGTAGAGCTCATTAGCTAGCTAGCTAGCAAGTAAGTGAGCTATAGAATCTTTTGGAGAGATTTCATTGTGTCTGCAGTGGCAAGATCGGCAGCAATTCAGAACTGTTGAACTATCAAAACCTCTTGAGCAGGACCCTTGGGTCATGCCCCACATTGGGGACCCTGGGATGGCATCGAGTTGGCTGTCTCCCATCCTGGGATATGGAGGTGGCTGGGAGGCTGGGTGCGGCTTCTCTCCTAATCTCCCCTCTTCTCCCAGATACAAAAAGGAAAAAAGAGAATGTGGAAATAAGGATCTCACCCACTTTCCTTTAGCCCTTGACCCTTTGCACCCTAATCAACTGTGTAAAAATAATCAAAAACAAAAAAAGAAACAAAATCTATTTATGGTGTTTTTAAATATTTTCATTTAGACAACAGTACTTTTTATATCTTGATTGGCTCAAAAAGCATGTTACTTTCTATGCAATAAGCAAAGAAGCCTAGAGAATTTAATTGCTTGAATTAGCTGTTGGATGTGTGGTGCACGCTAAAGATCTGCATATAGACACTGTATATAAAAGGTACCAGCACTAAAAAAATCATGTGAAAAAAGATGTGATAATGTTATCTGATTTCTACAGTTCACAGCCTAGAACAGTTACCTTAAATAATTTCATTCATACTTTCTACAAGAATTTAGAGAAATTATGTGTTACACTTATAACTAATAAATTTGTAAAACCCTAAGTTGAAACAGCTGCAAAGGCTAGTGTTGTATATTATATACGTGCATTAAATGCATTTTCATCAGGACCAGCCTGATAACCCATCAGCTGAGACACTGGCATACCATATAGGTACTGGCTTAGGACCCAGTTGGTTTGCTTCTGATCTAGTTCCCTGCTAATGTGGCTGGGAAAGCAGTGACAGATGAGGCAAGCATTCAGATGTCCCAGCCTCCTGGCTCAGGCCTGGCACAGCAAAGCCGTCACTGCCATTTGCGGAGTGAACCAGCAGATGGACACCTCTCTCAATAACACTTTCCTTCAAATAAAGAAGTCTAAATAAGTAAATAAAGATTTGTCAAATACTTGGAGCTATAAGTTAGAATGACTTTACATATATAATTTTTAATACTAATGACAAATCAACCAGCCATATCAAATTGTCTTGGTAGAACATAACTGACATTTCATTTTTCAGTTCAAATAAACATATTGTTATAAATTCCAATGATAAACATTTAGCTTCTGAATTAAAATTCTAAGATAGTTATGATACAGGAAGCTTAACATATGCTGGTTGCCAGGATGACGTAAAATAAACACCTTTTAGTATTTCTTATTCTGCTGTTAGAGATTCTATAAGGGGCACGCGTACTTGAACTGTTTGATTTGCTGTTTCCAAATCCATCTGGATCAATATATGTTTTGTGATACGTTAGCATGCTCTTTATCTACAAAGTAGAGCAAGAAGTAGAGGCAGGAGAGCTGTAGATGGTTTTTCTAGCATTCGTTTTAGTAAAGTTGTGGATCTGGGAACTCATTTCCTCAAGACGGCGTGTGTCTACGTGCTCCGGGAAGCCTTCCTGCAGCTCTGCGGTGTTAGCTTCAAGGTCACAAGTGGTCACAGCCAGGAGGAGAGTCTGTCATTGCTGAGCATGCCAGCTGGATGCTCTGGCCATCAACTCTCATGAAACAGTCAACATCTTACCTTCCAAATCCCCTGCTGTCGATGTGTTTTTGGCGATAAAAAGCACAAATAGTAATAAACTCATTCTTAAGTTGCTATTTCTTCTAAAGTAATGCTTCTAAAATAAGCTTGAAAGATAACTCTCTGATTCCAAATACAGATAAGCTATGTGGTATAATTTAAGAACAGTACCTCCCAACCAAGACCAGCTACAAAATCTTCATAGGCTTGACTTCCTCCTGTGTTGGTGAGGATGGAGTGTTTGTCTTCCTGTCCTTCAGCGACATAAAATACTGCAATCTTGTGTGTCTCTCTGCTGCAAAACAAAGATTAACAACATTCCTTTATGAGCAGGTTCTGTGTACAAAGCATGTGGCCATAAACAGATGAAAAAGATCTTAAGTCTACAGAAGGAGACAAAAGTACAATTTAAAAATAATGAAAGTAACAAAATAGTTATTATGAAAGAAAGGTGTGGCTATTCCTGACTAGAGGAACAGAGAAGTTAGAGGAGAAAGGAAACACTAAGTTAGGTGACAGTAAGAAAGATGTGCTCGACGGAGAGAGGAAGCAGCGGGAAGGCACCCAGGTGTGAATGCATGAAGCAGCTGACGGCCTGCTAGGGTGCACGGTGGCCCAATCCTAGACAGGGAGGGACCGTGTTTTAGAACTAAATAGGAGAATGGAGCTCAGGGAGAAACAAATCCCATCTTTCAAGTGCTTCAAATACTGAGGATGAAACACACACACCAACACACAAGTGCAGGGAGCAAGGGCCAAGTCCTCAGCACTGACTTTCAGTTCTCTTGCAACTGACAAGAGTTCATTAAAGCAAATTCTTCTTAGACATGTGGTCTCGAAACTCATGAGAACATGCTACACTAGGTCTGGGGTCACTTAAGCAAACACAGCTTAACAAACTTTACCATTAAAAGTGAAGTTTTCAGTACTATAGCATGTAGGAATTACAACAAAGCAGCCTACCACAAGCAAGAGTAAGAAATAAACTTTACAATAATTTTAAACCTTGAACCTCACCACACAGCTTGAGGAACTTTTCAAGTCATGACTGTGCGTTGCAATGTCAGCAATCTTTTAGGGGTTTTCAAGAATGCCCAAGTTTTACTTTAGGTGGTGAACACACAGGTAAATTTCAAGGTAACCAAATTACCACTAGGATAATCTAGTGCAAGCAACATGTGGGTAGAAGGAAGACTTCCAGAATCACACACCAAGGATCCAGGTGTTCCCCTCTCCCTACTGAGAATGGTGCCTTGCCCATTCTGAATGTAGCGCCTCCTACTGTTCTTAAGGACTACAGCAAACGGCAGACATGCACTCAAGGGAACCTACTGAATTCTAGTAAGAACGGAGTTTCTGCTATGTGAGTCAGACCCAGTCCCTCCCACTGTTCTCTTAGCTCTGTGCAATACAAGCTTTGTAGGCCTGTGTGATGGAGGCTTTCCTGCCCTTTCTGGCTTTCAGCCTGGGGGAAGGGTTGCCCCCTGGAAGCAGGTCACTGGGGTGCTTCATCCTGCCTCAGCCCCGTGTCCCAGCGGGTCCACTCCAGAATGCTGTGGCAGAGGTGGGCCAGGTATTCTCTCCTTCATCCAGCCCCCATATTCTAGAGACAGAAGCTCCGGAGGCTGGGGGGACTCACCAGAGGTGGAGATTCTGTCAGGAACGGCAAGCAGAGAAACCTAGGGAATGTCAACAACCCCCCACCACCACTCTGCCAAACCCACTTGTAAAGTGAGGCTGTTACCCCCAGGAAAAGCTTCTCCTGAGGTTGGCACAGTGGTAAAGTAGGCTAAGCCTCCACTGGCAGTGCCAGCATCCCACAGGGACACCAGTTCCAGTCCCGGCTGCTCCACTTGATTCAGCTCCCTGTTTGTGACTTGGAAAAGCAGAGGAAGAATGCTCAGACTGTCGGATCCCCGTACCCATGTGGGCGACCCAGCGGAAGCTCTTGGCTCCTTACTTTGGTGTAGCCCAGCTTAGCTATTTCCGTCACTTGGAGAGTGAACCAGTGGATGGAAGTCTCTTCTCTCTGTAACTTTGTCTTGCAAATAAAAATAAATCTCCAAAAAGAGAGAAAAAAATTTTTAACTAAAAAAAAAAAGGATAGTTGGTCCTGACTCAGCTCAGGTGCCAAGGGCAGGGCATGAGGACAGAGAACTCAGCCATAGTTCTGCTGGTGGACGCTCTGGAACAGAGCCTGCCAGGAAGCCATCAGGAGTTGGCAGTATGTGCCACAGGCCAAACAGCCACACAGCACACAGCAGAAGCTTAATGTCACCAGCAAAAGAGACAGCTGAGAAAAGCTCTTCTGGGATCCCAGTCACGTCAGGAGCTCAAGGGGCCTGTGCGCATGCAGTGGGCCACACCCAAGTGGGAGCCAGGAGACAAAGAGGTGGCAGAAGTGAAAGCAAAGGCAGACCCAGGCCCCACGGACAAACAACACTCGACTTGAACACAGGGTCAACTCCTAGGAAGATCACATCCTGGCATTCTGGTAGCCTGGAAGCCTGCATGTATGTCAGAGGCTGATTTCTTTGGGAACAGACAGTAAAACATGAAGCCTTCAGTGTCTGGGTGAACACGATACAAAAGACCGTAACTGCACTGAGCCGGAGAGCAGCCTGCAAGGCCTGTACCCCCAGCAACTGTGCACAAGGAAAAGCCAGCCGGTAAGGGCCAAAGCTCCAACTCTGATCAGTAAGCAGCTCATGCCAACCCAGGAAAGATGACTTGGTGGTGAGCTAAGAAAAAAAAAATTGCAAACATAAAAACCAAACAAAAAAACCTGAGCAACAGATTGGAGGGCTACACACTGTGGGGGTGCTAAGCTACTGCAAAGTAAATAAATTGCCAAGCAACCAATAACTCACCAATATACTTCTATTTTTTTTTAACTTAAAAAGAAAAAACAAAGTAATTAAAACTTTCCCTATTTACACGTCATTTATGGATGTGATACCTTAAAAAAAGATTTATTTATTTTTATTGGAAAGGCAGATATACAGAGAGAAGGAGAGACAGCGAGAGAAGACGGGCTCACTCCCCAAATGGTTACTAGGGCTGAAGCTGAGCAAATCCGAAGCCAGGAGCCAGGAGGTTATTCCGGGTCTCCCTTGCGGATGCAGAGGCCCAAAGACTTGCACCACTCTCTGTTGCTTTGCCAGGCCATAAGCAGGGCTGGATCAGGAGTGGAACAGCAGGGACAAAAACTGGTACCAACATGAGATGTGAAGGCAGAGGGTTAGCCCATTATGTCACTATGCAGCAGGCACTAAGAGAGATTTTTTTAAAGATTAATATTTATTTATATTGGAAATCAGATTTATAGAGAGAAGCAGAAACAGAAAAATCTTCCATCTGCTAGCTTACTCCCCAGGTGGCCACAATGGTTGGAGGCTGATCTGAAGCCAGGACCCATGAACTTCATCCGGGTCTCCCACGAAGGTGCAGGGTCCCAAGGCTTTGGGCTGTCCTCGACTGCTTTCCCAGGTCACAAGCAGGGAGCTGGATGGGAAGTGGTGCAGCTGAAACATGAACTAGTGCCCATATGGGATTCTGGTGCTTACAAGGTGAGGGCTAGCTAGTAGTCACTAGACTACTGCACCGGGCCCTGAGATAGTTTTTTATATTAGAAACCCCTAAGGAATCCAGTGAACAGCTGTCAGAACTAGGAAATGTGTTCGTCACAATTGCTGCATGTAACATTAAAATACAATAATCAATTGCATTTCTATATACTAGTAACATACACCCTTAAAATTAACTCAGGAGTCTGTACCTACACATAGTTCTCCCACTTGAGTCGCAGGGCCCAAGCTCCTGACATAGGCCTGGCCCCACCACAGCTGTTGCAGCCATCTGAGGAATGAAACCCCACCTTCTTTCCCTTTGCCTCTTCAATAAACAACTCTTTCTAAAGTCACAATGTGATACCACTCTATACCTACTAAACTGAATTTAATTTTTAGATGATGACAGGTGTGCTTAGGATATAGTAAATGTAAGTCAGTTTTTCTTTTGGTAAACCTAATGCTACTTTAATTTTAAAATGTCTATTACATTAAATTTGGGTGTAATAAATTAGATGCAGGTGTAAGGGCTGAAAGAACTTCAGATTTTTAAAGATTTCTTTGGAGTCTGGTGCTGTGGCATAGTACACTACACCCCAATTGGCAGCACCAGCATTCCATATGAGCGTCAGTCCATTTCTTGGCTGCTGCATTTCAGTCTACCCCCATGCTTGTGGCCTGGGAAGGCAGCACAATATGGCTCAGGCCTTTGGTACCTGCACTCATGTGCGGAGACCCTGGGGGAAGATCCTGGCTTCTGATTGAGCCAGCTCTGGTAGCTGCAGCCAGTTGGGGAGTGACCCAGCAGACAGGGACCATCTCTCTCTCTCTCTCTGTTACTCTGCTTTTCAAACAAAAATAAGATAAACCTTTCAAAAAGATTATTTATTTGAAAGTCAAGAATTAGAGAGGGAGAGAGAGAGAAAGAGCTTCCGTCTGCTGGTTCACTCTCCACATGGCTGCAGTGGCCAGGGCTGAGCCAGGCAGAAGCTCAGGCACTCGGGCCATCTGCTGCGTCCTTCCCCAGGTCATTAGCAGGGAGCTGCAATGAAGTACAGCAGCTGGAACTGAACCAGTGCCCATACCGAATGTCAGCTTCACAGGCAGGGGCTTAACCTGCAATACAACACCTATCACACAATATGAGATTTTTATTGAAAATTCAATTATAAGCTAAGGGGATCCCTCCACCACACCTACCCCTGGCCGGGGGGGAATGGGGTAACTGTAATGTGTATCTGACAGAATAACCAAGTGAGACTGTTGAAAAAAAGCAGGAAAGTATGCATGAATATGGGACAGGAGAAAGACTGGACGTAGCAGATACTAAAATATAAAGGTATAGTAAGTTAAGCAAGGTAGTATTTTCATAAAGTGATAGGAGCAACAACAGAGACAGTTTTGAAGCAAACAGCTTAACATTTGATAAAGCAATGAAGGAAAAATCAAATCACTGAGAGAGGTATGAATTACTCAACAAATCACAAAAATAAAGACTATTCCCCAACATTCAAGCTGTTTCTGGAATTCATTCCATAAATCAAACCATATTTTATAAGGAATAAAGAATAAATTATCTCCTCAACTAAATAAAAGCATAAAAGGAAATACAACTCAGTGTTTAACTGATTTCAAGACAGAATTCAGTACAACAATTATGGAAATTAAAACAAAATTGGGAAATAGGATTTTACATTTTTATATAAGTTGACACTTTTGAAAACTGAAAGGTAAGTAACTAAACTCGCATATGTATGAAAATACTTCAAATCATTCCAAGCAAATGCATATTATGAACACACAGAGGGGCTGGCAGCAATGCACAGCGCGTTAAGCAGCTGCCTACTGTGGTGTCCTTCCACAAGGGTACTGGTTTGAGCACCAGCTGCTCCACTTCTGCTCCAGCTCGCAGCTGGGAGAGCAGCAGAGGATTGCCCAAGTGCCCAGGCCTCTGCACCTGTGTGAGAGAACGGGAAGATGCTCCAGGCTCCTGACTTTGAATCGGCCCAGCTCCAGCCAACGAGGACATTTGGGGAGTGAATCAATGAGTGGAAGATCTTTTGCTCCAATTCTACCTTTCAAATTATTAAGTCACAAAAAACAAAACACAATGCATTGATTACAAAATCTCTTACACCAAAACTCCCTTATCTTTTCAATTCTCCAGGAATGCTTTGAAATACTCTTATAGTTAATCCTTATACAAAGCTTTTGTGTAATTAAGAAAAAAAATTCTACATAGAAAATAGCAAAAAAAGATGCAAATACAGATTAAAATTCCATAATTATATAAAAATATTAACTTCAGTAGTAATAAATACATATAAATTAAAGAGGTATTGCCTAAGAAGAGAGCTGTCCATTCGCTAGAGAGAGTACCTAATGCTGGTGAGGACATGAGAAAGAGAACTCTGATACCTGCTCGTGGGAACATAATTAGCACAACTGCTACGGAAACCAGAATGAAAATTTTGTAAAAGAAAAAATAAATAGGATGACCACATGACCCAGTAATACCACTACTAGGTATAAATCCAAAAGGCCCCAAATCATTGTATCAAAGAAATATCTACTCCACGTTTACCGTAAATTCTGTTCAAAACAACTAAGACACGGAGTCAGCCAAGGTGCTTATCAGACCGATGGATAAAGAAAATGCGGTAAATACACACAGTGGAATATTATTCAGCCATTAACAGAATGAATCCTTTCAGAAAGACAAATATGACATAAAGCCCTCTTATGTGAAAGCTTAAAACAACAACACTCAGTTTGAACACAGATGGTGACTGCTGGAGACCCAGAGGGTTAGAAGTAGTTTGGATAATGAATACCAAATCACACTTGGAGAGAAGGAATATGTCTCTATTATTACACAGCATGGTGAGGAGGTCAGAGTTCATGATAAGCTAGCATATTTGGTATGAACAAATAGAAGAAAGACGCTCCAAGCAAAAATAAAACATACTCCTTATGATTCTAGGTCTAAAAAGATCATACCCATCAACAGAGACTGAAAATAAACACATCAGCAATAATGTTGTAAATTATGCATTATTGTTCTGTTTTGTATTTTTTTGTAATAAGCAAAAAAATTAATTTAAAAAGTTATTCTACTTTCAAATCAAAGATGGACTCCTAATGAAACTGTTGGACATATCTAGACAATGGGATGCTGTACTGTCTGACATGGTCTGTACCAGTCATGTCAGAACACACTTGAATAACAGACTGATGGAGTTACAACTTGTTATGAAGGACTATATTATGGTAACAATACAGGGAAAATCAGTTGTATGGTAGGAACTCGGCAGTGGGGCAGGGGAAATCCCAGACCCTACATAATTGTACTACAAAATTCAAAATTAAAAAAAAAAAATCCTACGTTGAAAAAAAATACCACCAAACAACCAGTTAGGAACTCTAGCCAAGTGGAGAATATTATATTTATCCATAAATTTGATACTAAGGCATGAGAGGGGAAATTAATTTTAAAGGATAAGAACCGAGGCAAATTCTTGTTCTGTTGTGTTTTAATGTAAACAACAAACATATATACGGTCAGATGACTAAGCAGGAAAGCAAGATAAAGAATAATTCTTTGTAGATCTTAAAGCAGGAAGTGGAGGTGCAAAGCACAAGAAGATATAGGGAAAAAGCCCACTTTTCTGCAACTTAAGATAAGCAAGAGAAGGTGGCTCCACACAGAAACTTTGAATTTTTTAAAAGATGCACTCACTTATTTTGAAAGGTCGTGTGACAGTGAGAGACAAGGACAGGCATTCTACAGGCGAGGGGAAGTACAGGTGCACAGGTACAGGTGGAGAGGTGTTAGAGGAAGGACAGGCCTAGCTCATCTCCTTTGCTATGCATGCTGGACAATTAGGACGCAACAACTGAAGGTTCGCTTCCAAGCGGCTTTCCAATCCATCAGGACCACTGGATTTAATCAGAGCTGCAGTTATTGCTTGCAACTTGTATGGAAAAACCAAAGGAGATTATCTAGGTTCAGTTAGTTTCCTGTGGTTTAAAGGTAATTATGAACTGAGTGAAAAAGGGGTAAGCAACTCAAAGATATTACACATCTTAATGCAATCTAAACTTATTCTTTAAATTCTTATTCTAAAAGTTGCCAAGTTTCTTCTCAGAATGTTATAAATCAGCAACACAGCATTACTCATAGTATCATTCAACGGAAAGAAACAGCTGAGAGTTGCTAGGTTACAGAGGGGAGGGTTTGCCAACAACTTACCACTGCCTTGAATCCAAGTTCCTAAGTTCTCTAAGTAGTTTTTCATTTTTCTTCAGGAGATGAAAGCTCCTCCTAAATAGAGAGATTGATAAACATTTTTATCACCTTTGCAGTGAATGATATGACAGTCCCGGAAATACTTTCCATTCTACTCATGCAACTTTAAAACTCTTCTTGCCTTTTCACACTTTTAACACAAAGCAGAACAGACCCTAAAAATAATGTAAAGAATACGTGTCATTATTTCTACCGGGCGCTCTCAGCCTTGTGCTAGGAGAGCGCATCTGTTGCATTCTTTGATCTTGCCTTGCAGACGTGTGCTTCCCAAGCTCACACGCGGAGGAACGGATGAAAGCCTGGCAGGTTCCTTCTCAGAGTTTCACAAAAACAGGTGGTAAAGCTGCACCACTTGAGAAGCAAACTATCTACAAACTTGAAATTATCATCAAGTAAGCATGGGCAATTCAGATGGAATTGGCTTTCTTCCTTGTTCCATATTGTATGTATGCTAATTTCCACTGTGAAACAGTACGTAAATGTATCAACTATCTTCTGTGGGTGCTAGGAATGCATAAACTTTGAAGCTGATACGAATGTTTTGACTTTTTCTCAAGAGACAACATAGTAGAACAACAGTACAGAGAAACAATAGAAGGCACTTAACTCATAACTGATTGTGTTTGGACATACCAGAAGGGAAACTATATTCCTGATGTTCCCATAAGCAGAAGATATTCTCTTCTAATAAAGGGAAAAGTTTACATCAACTAAGAATATAAACACTAAGCAAGTCAGCAGAACTCCATTTCAACGCTCCCCATGCATTTGAACTATTTTAGGATTGGTTAAATGGTGCCAGAACTTCCCCACCCACCATAAAATAGTATTTCTGCTTCTACTCTCCTATACAGAAATTAAAGACTCATTTTTTTCATTTATAATGTACACTGGAGTCCAGTATCATGTACTTTATGTACTTTACTTAATTTTCACAACTATGTGAGGTGGCAACTATCTTAATGAAGTTCATAGGAGAAAATCCTCTAAGTGATTTGTGTGCTCTTCCAGCTCCAATGCTGTTTGCATTTAACTCTCACCTGTTTGAATACTTCATGTATTTCTCTTAGTTTTAACAAGGTATCATAATATACATCAGGAAAAAATGGTGAACAATAGATTCCTTTTTTGATCTGATCCTGATCAAACTTCTCTGATTCAAGCCATAAATATGTATAATGTGATTAGTCTAAAAGTAGTTGGGCTGATATGAAGGTGCGAGAAATAAAATTTTTTTCCTAATTATATGAGTACAATTAGTACTTCAGACACTTCTAATATTCATCTTGAAAAATGTTAATAATTCAATGGATAAATCATCTTTATCCTGCTAATTCCTGATATTACTCAGTAGCCTCAAAAAATTTTTTTTGCCTACTGGTTAAAGAACTAACTGGTACATTAAAATTTACCAGAGATAAAAATAGAAAATTTATTGGGTAAGACAAATATTTAAAAAAAAAAAAAAAGGGAAACTTCTCCCTTGTTCTTACCGTTTGTCCCAGGAATTCATTCCCAATATACTAAGAAGCAATCGGCAGTAATAAAATGCTGACTGAGGTTTCTGAGGTGTTGGTTCATCTTGTTCAACAGCTTTCATGTTTAAGTCATTGAAGTGCTTCTCAACAAATTCTTTTTCCTCTGTATGTTGCTTAAGAATAGCATTAATTACATCATTTTCCTGTTTTTCAGAAATGCACACGGGTTGTGGAGCAGGGATATTAAGTGAGATTCCAGTTCTCTGTAAGCATTCAGGACTGGTAACACCCAAATACTGCAGCAGCTCATCCAGAACGTCTTCTTCATCTCTGATGGTGTCCCAGGTTGGGACAGTCTCTCTAAGCCGTTTATACTGGAGGGACAGGTCATCTTTTACTGCTGTGTCTTCCAAACATTCATTGGCTGCAGGAGGCTCTTCAGGCTTCTCTTGGTGAGACAATGAAAGTATGAAAGAGGCTGGTTCTGAGAAGCCACTCACAGGAGGCGGACCATACAGTATGGCAGAATCCCATGAATACTTTCCAGAGAGATCACGTACTATGATTCTGACATTAGAGTTGGCTGATGCAAGGCCAGCAGACAAACCCCCTCCAGGCATACTCTCCTCCGATCTGATTTGGATACAGGACACCAAAGTCGTATTGTTTAACACAAAGAACTGGATATTTGGACTTTCAAAAAGTTCCGGGGAGAGTTCAGTACTTTCACTGTAATGATTGTCATGATTTTCACACACCTGACTTGTTAACATAGCAGGACCACCACTCATTGGATAATGGCCCAAGTGATTCACAAGATGTGTAATCACAGTGCGGGCAGCTATGGAGATTAATCCTTGCTGCATCTGGGTTTTCACTGAAAAATAAAAAATATACCAATGAGTGAAAATACCACTAAGAAGTCATACAACACTGAAGCATCAGACAACACAGAGTCTTCATCATACTATGAAAAATTACAAATATTTGAGGAAATACTAACATTTCCAATCTATAGTTCAAAAATTAAGGCACAGAGGGAAGAAAACTTGTTGTTTCATTAAGGAAGTCTCTTTAGGGGAATATTTTACTAATGAATTCATAATTTATAAAATACAGACTTCAGATGAAAATCACTTCTTAAGGGTTAAAAGTCATATTAAATCAAACAGTGCCAAGACTAGCTACGAAGACATTTACTGGGTTGCCTGCATTCCATCCCGGAGTGAGTGGATTCAACTCTTGGCTCTGCTCCCAATTCCAGCTTCCTCTTTGGGAGGCAGCACGAGATGGCTAAGTAACCAAGTTCCTGACAGCCACACAGGAGAACCAGATTGAGTCCTTGGCTCCTGGCTGCAGCCTAACCTAGACCTGCTGGCACCTTGGAAGTGAACCAACAAACAGAAGCTGGCTTTTGTCTGTCAATCTCTGCTTCTCAAATAAATTAAAAACATTTCAAAGTCTTATAAATCACTTGAAATCACACAGGTTAAAAAGTCAGTGTAACTGATCCAACTAAGAACGTCTTTTATGTCAAGAAAGACGCTTGATTCAGAAACATAGTTTGCAGTACACTTTAAATGTCATTTAATTCTGGCTTTTACTAGAGGATATGAAAATGTTACCAAGAAAAGTGGTATTCTAGTGAATCTTAAAAGAGTCAGAACCAATTTCAATAGCAAGGCAGTATAAGCAGTATTCGCCAAATAAAAGTTACTTTAAAGGATGGGTCTCCTTGTATATTCCAGGTCAAGATGGTCTACTGTAGCAGCAGGAAACATTTTCCACCCTTCAGCACATCAGGAGAGTAAACAGTCCAGAAGCATATTGGTATGAACCAATGAATTGATACGGTAGCGAATCCACCCATGAGTAGCCCTGAGTTCCGGCCCCAGCTCTCCTCAGGATCCAGCTTCCTGCCAACGCGCATGCCCAGAGGCAGCAGAGTCTCCCAGGTGGGAGAACTAGATTGAGTTCTCAGCTTTGACTTGACTCAGTCTTGACAGTGTGCCTATCGGGAGCCTGAACGAGTGCATGCAAGATTTCTCTCTCCCTCCCCTGCCACCTTCTTCCTCCGCACTCCACCCCCCGCTTCTCAAAGAAAATTTAAAGAACAAGAGAATTTACAGAGTCAGTAAAAAGCGAAAATTGCAAAGAATTCATTGTTCTAGGTCTAGAAAGGCAAGCTATCAGGAACTGAACAAATAAAAAGAAGCAGAGGGCAGAAAAATAAAATAGAGAACCGATGAGAGAGACAATAACTTGTTAAAGCTAGGCAGTTAGAGACTGCCAGTATGATTCTCAGCAACCACGATGTGGACACCAGAAATATGACCTGCTGATTGGGGGTTATCCTGTTCCCTTTTCCCAAAGAAGTAAAAAAGGACTTGTTATTGGCAAAGAAATCCTGTCAGAAGAGGATGCTTAGTTGTGTTTATGTGTGGCTGTGCACATACAACTGCTTGCCTTTGCTCACAAGGGGTTATGGTGCTGTTGCGTTCATTTAGTTTTAGACATAATTTTGAAGTAGCCGTGTTTCTGTATTATTCCACCAGTCACAATGTGACCTTGCATGAGTATTGTTTATTTTCTCTGAAAAGGCAATCAGTAGGAAACACTGGAACCTGGCTCTCAAGAATGACCTTGGGGTCAGCATGGTGGTATAGCTGTAGCACCAGCATCCCATGTGAGCACCATTTAGAGTCCTGGCTGCTCTACTTCTAACCCAGCTTCCTGCTGATGCAGCAGAGAAAGCAGCAAAAGATGGACCAAACCCTTGGGCAACTGGCTTCAGCCAGGGTCAACCCCAGCCACTGTGGCCATTCGGGGAGTAAACCTGGGATAGAAGATGTTTTCTTATTCTGTCTCTCCCTCTGTCAGTAACTCTGCTTTTCAAATCAATAAAATATATCTTTTTAAAAAGAGTTACTTTTATTTGAAAGGCAGACCTCCACAGAGAGGGGAGATAGAAGGAGGTCTTCTATCATCCACTGGCTGATTCCCCCAAAGGGCCACAACAGCTGGAGCTGAGTCAATCTGAAGCCAGAAGCCAGGAGCCTCTTCTGTGTCTCCCAAATGACTACAGGGGTCTTAGCACTTGCATCACACTTGACTGCTTTATCACGCCACAAGCAGGGCGCTGGATCAGAAGTGGAGCAGCTGAGACATGAACTGGCACCAATGTGAGATGCCAGTGCCGCAGGCAGAACATTGGTCAGCCATGCCACTGTGCTGGCCATATCTTTTTAAAAATTATCCATCACAGATGGAAACTCGAAGGTGGACCAGTGCAGCCAGCGGATTCTGGAAAGATTTCATTCTGATTGGAGTGGCAGGATCGCCAGCAATTCAGGACTGTTGAACTATCAAAACTTCTTGAGAACTTCTTGGTATTGTAGATTTCTATTTTTCTTCCTATTGTTGATTTTGTATTGTGGTTTTTCATTTAAGGGAATATATGGTAACTGTGTATGGAGACTGTCATATCCAAATGTGAGGATACAATGTGGTGGTTATCTCTACTTCCAGATCAAAGATGGACTCCCAATGATACTGTTAACTACATCTTGACAATAGGATGCTGGGCTCTCTGCCATCCTCCATGCCCGCAATGATGGACATATGACTGTTTATGAGGAACTATATTATAATAATACTAAAGGGGAACTCAGTGGGGGGAAGAAGACTTGGAGTGAGGGTAAGGAAAATCCCAAGGCCTATGGAGCTGTATCATAAGATAACAATAGTAATAACAAAGAATATTTGAGAGAAAAAATTCTGCATTAATAAACCTAAGTTTTGACAGAAAAAGGAGTAGCGTGTACAGTGCCTGTTATGATAATAAAAAAAAAATGTAAGCTAGAACAGTGTTATCTTTTTGGGGCTACAGTTCTCAGGATTCAGAACACCACTGAGCATGCACAGCCAGTGAGCAGCCGACCAGCTCCCTGATCCTAACACCAAAAACGTCTTCTCCAGCTCCAAAAAGCAGCAACTTTCTTTGGGTTTTTAATTGGTTTCAAATTACTAGTACCATCAAAATCTTAATCTTTCATTATCATTCACTGAAACTGTATGTCCACATACATATAAATATGTGTATCTGTTTATTCAGAAAGTTCTAATTACATTGAGCTTTTCAATTTTTTTTAAAGATTTTTATTTTTATTATTTTTTTTTATTGGAAAGGCAGATATACAGAGAGGAGAGACAGAGAGGAAGATCTTCTGTCCAATGATTCACTCCCCAAGTGAGCACAACGGCCGATGCTATGCTGATCCGAAGCCAGGAGCCTCTTCCGGGTCTCCCACGCGGGTGCAGGGTCCCAAAGCTTTGGGCGGTCCCCGACTGCCCTCCCAGGCCACAGGCAGGGAGCTGGATGGGAAGTGGGGCCACCGGGATAGAACCGGCGCCCACATGGGATCCCAGGCGTGCAAGGTGAGGACCTCAACTACTGCGCCACCGCACCGGGCCCAAGCTTTTCAATTTTTAAAAAAGATTTTCATTTATCTATTTAAAAGGTAGAATTATATAGAGTGAGACACAGAGACAGAGATCTTCCATCTACTGGGTCACTCCCCAGATGACCACAACAGCCTCTTTAGCCCAAGCCAGGAGGCCAGAACTCCATCTGGGTCTCCCACGGGGCTGGCAGAGGCCCAAGCATTTGGGCCATCTTCTGCTACCTTTCCAGGAGGGAGGCTGGATTGGAAGAACAACAGTCAGAACTCAAACTGATGCTCTGATATGGGATGCTGGCAGTGCGGGCAGCAGCTTAACCCACCGAGCCACAACTCTGACTTCTGAGCTTTCAAATTGTGTGCATATGGCTCATTCTGGAAAATCAACTACGTATCATTAGATTAAAGCACTAAATGATTAAGACTTTGACCGTAAGAAAACTACAAGGATGGAGAGACACTAGGATGGCTTGAGTCTAGTGTCTGCTTTCCCTTCTCTAACACTTAGCATGGGGGAAGATGATGCAGCTAATACTTCTCAGTGTGCACAGGAGAACAGATTGGTTCACAAAGCCGTGACTCGCTGCTCTTGGAGCTTTCACACCATGGCAGGGATTTCGCACCCAGCTCAGTGTTACTGCACCTGTTCCACAGTTTTAATGTTTGTGCTTTTCTTTTTTGCTAAATTGCCTTTCCTTAGTGACATAGGAAAACAATGAATGCAAAATTCATTTTTTCCATGAATAGGAACTTCAGAAATACAACTCAGCATAACTTACTAAATGGCCAGGATCAAGTGAAAAAGGATGTTTTAAGTGGTAGTTAAAAAGTAATAATTTTTGATTGCAAAGAAGTTTTGATAGGAAACATTTTTTTCTGTTTTTTATTCTTCTTTACTTCCCTTTGTGTGATAAAGAGGTTATGCATTCCAAGGAGTAAATATTTGAAGAGAATGGAAAGTTTAATTTTGAATAAGGGAGACTGCAAATTCAATAGAAACAATCAGAGAAAAGAGAAGAATCCCTGTTTTTCCATACTCTCTAATCATAGATAAATCAGATAAACTTAAATACCATTTTTTTCTTTAAAAATAACAGAGAGCGCTCAATGGGCTAATGCTCTGCCTTCCAGCACCAGCATCCCATACGGTCTCTAGTTCCTGTCTCAGCTGCTCTACTTCACGTCAGTCTTCATTTCCCATCCAGTTCCCTGCTTGTGGCTTGGAAAAGCAGAGGAGGATGGACAAAGCCTTGGGATCCTGCACCTGCATGGGAGACCTAGAAGATGCTTTTGGCTCTTGGTTTCAGATCAACTCAGCCCTGATCACTGTGGCCACTTGGGGAGTGAACCAGCGGGTGGAAGATCTTCTTCTCTTTCCTACTCTATGTAAATCTGCCTTTCTGATAAAAATAAATCAATCTTAAAAAAAAAAAGACTTACTTGTAAATGTGAATTTAAAAGTGCTACAAACAATCTAAATCATTCAGTTTTGAAAATATCATAAATAACATGCTTTTTTTTCCCAAGCTCACCTATGAATAAACTTCCTGTTTTTCCTGAAAAACAGGTACTCAAGCCCAGGTACTAGTTCATCCTATATATTCCTTCCCCAAAGGAGGAGACAGTGGGAATGTAGTTTCAAAGAGTGTGTTTGTGCCTGGGTGTCAGGCAGAGCAGTTAAGACACCAGCTAGAACAAGCGTATCCCACACGAGAATGCCTGGACTTGATCCTAGCTTGGACTCCCGAGTCTAGCACCCTGGGCACCCTGGGCACCCTAGGGCAGACTGCGGGGATGTCCCCAGTAGTTTAGCTCCTGTCATGAAAACAGAAAATCTGAAGTGAGTTCCTGCCTCCTAACTACAGCCCAGCGCAGCGCAGCTCAGTCAGGTCTGAGCATCTGGCTAGTGAAGTGGCAGATGAAAACTCTGGGTTGATATTTCTCTCTCAGCCTCTCAAATAAAATAATAAACTTAAAAAAACTTTTAATAAATTTATACTAATTATTAAGTAATTTTAATGTGTGCTTAATTTCTTAACAAGTAAAATTTAGATTTCATATATAAAAAGTAACTTTTCCTCCCTAAATCCAGGCTATATGCATATGTGTTAATTGGGCAATCAGATTTACTTTTGAGCTATAAAATACAGAACATCCTTCACTCGCTCGTATACTTACCTACTAAGACACAGACATGATATTCTCTAACTTAGACATTCAAAATAAAATTCTAAGGGAACCAGCCTTGTAAGAAAATGCAAAATGAGGATATTGATGCTTCTATGTCTTTGTGTAACTAGCATTCATTTAAATAAGTCTATTCAAGGTTGTCTTTTCAGATTGTCAGATTAAACAAACCCTACAGCATTTGGAGCAAACCCATAATTACAGATTATTATGGCATACAAAAGCAGCTGGACATAAAAAGCTGCTGCAATTCTCTGCACTGTAATAGAACATGCAGAGGAAGTTAATTTTGGCAAATGCTTTAAATATTAGCTTTGCATAATATGCATAGGTAAAGCTATAATTAAGACAGAATGAATCTTTTAGAGCCTTTCACTCTGACCCTGCAAATGATGATTTTTTGCTAATAAGACTACTGCCATTTGACAAAGAGCCAACTTACTACCTTGCCTTATTCTTTAGTAAATTTAATAATTATAGCTACTCCTGCCAATAGTTCTCAAATCAGCCTTGTTCAATCCAATACTGAGCTTATTAGGGACACTCTATGTTTAGAATTCTTTGGCCAAAAAAGTACTTGAAGGTGATGAAGCATGCCTTAGACAAGAGCACAACGATCAGTCATTTTTGCCACATTAAAAAAAAAAAGCCGGCAGCACGTAATCACTACAAACCAGAGAATCACCTGCTGTTATCTTATGGCTATTTATAAAAGATTCTGCATTTATCTGGTCCTTAATATCTTTAAGGAAGTCTAAAGGGAACAACTTACTACGTTTAGAGAACATTACAGACAGCATTAGGCAACAACATTAAGCTCATTTGTTTATATACTTATTTTTTAAAGTGACTGATAATGTATAGAATGTTTTTTTTGAATGTCATATATTAAAATTTCCTTTTTATGTGAGCAAACTATTTATTATAAAGAAATACTTTATATAGTGTTGATTTAGCATTTTCATTTTATAGCTTTAGAGATGCAAAGACTAACAAAATTGTTTCACATACCTTTACTTTTAGTGAAACAACACTAGGTAATTTCATCTTGTCACATTGAAACAATTTTAAGTTGCTATATCAATTATCATACATGATTGTGCCATATTCTGCTGCAGGATCTTTCTTTTTGTATTTGAGGAACTGCTCTCACTTGTCCAAGACAGAACTTCTTAAAGTCCACGGAAAATGCTTATCAAGAAAAAAACTTTGGATTTTGTTGTTTTTTATTTGGAAGGCAGAGAGAGAGGACACGCATGGGGTTGTGCAGTGGGAGAAGAGTAAGTTCCCAGCTGCTTCCAAATGCAAACATCAGCCTGCTCTGGGCCAGACAGAAGCTGCAAGGTGTGAGCTCTAGGTCTCCAGCACGGCCACACGGCCAGCGGGGACCCAGACCTACAGGAATTATTACCTGCTGCCTCCCAGGGTTCTCCTTAGCAGGAAACTGGATCAGGAATGGAGCCAAGACCCATACCCACACATTCTGATATGGATGTAATGGTCCCAACTATAAGGCCAAATGCCTGTTACCAATTCTAACGCATGTTTGCACTAAAATTAACTTAGGCAATTGTTTCCATGAACTTTTACAAGTACCCTCATATTTGTGTTCCAGACAAGGTATTTACAATATAGTCAGTCCAATCCCAAGCCTCATTTCCTGACTGCTGATTTCCTTTACTTGGCTGTAGCTTACAAGTTTTTCAAGTTGGGCTTCTTACTTTCCTATACCTAAAACCATTTCCTTACTTTCCTATACCTATACCATTTTAAAAACCACCACCAGTGTTTCTCAATTGTGGCTGCACAAATAGCTTTTAAAAATTCCAGTAATTTTGGGTTAACAAAAACTTTGGCTTGTACTGGAGCCTATTTTAGTAGACATCCAGGAATGATATCCACTGCTCTAATCTCTTGTTATCACCCATGCCTATATTATGATTTCCTAAATTTTTATTCTTTCTCTCTCTTTTTTTATCTTTTCTCAATCTACTAGCTACTTCTCGTGAGTAATGCAATCCTGGGTTTCATGGCTAATCCATATCAGTATTCCGAAATCTATACTTGCCTCACATTCTTGCCTCACTAGACTTACTGATTGTTAAATATTGCAGCTAAACGTTTATGGTTTCCATTTTCTATGAGGCCTTGAGTAACTGCTGTCAACTCCCATTCATCTTCCATCTTGCTTTTCCTTCCGTTTTCAGAAGGCCTACCCCTACTGCCTCTATGTTAGTTATCTCCCCAAGGACCTTAATGAGGACATTTCCACTTACTTCCTTGAATCTTTAAATAATCTATCCTGGCCTGAAATGTCCTTCAGCTTACTAATCATTTTTACTACTTCTTCACTTTAGCAAATGTCTTTAAGGAATATTTTCCATAGGATGGCTCTACTTCCTCATTCCTCGACCTGCAGTCATCTGGTTTTCTCTGTTGAAACTAAAACTGACATATTTGTCAGTCTCTTTGTGCATTCAGCTCTGTTGGCCAGTCTCTTGAAAAGCCGCCTCCTTATGGTTCCTAAGAGCTTAACCCCTGATCTGCTGCTAGATCTGTATACATCAATAATTGTCCATTACGTGTCTGCATGGGAATGTTCAATATGTACTCCAAAGCCACCATTTCCCACACAGCTTTCCTCATTCTTCTGTCCAAATCAGTTTTTTTCCTTCTCATATTCTTGTTCTAGGTGGGGGAAAATCAAGCCCATCTCCAAGTCAGAAGGTAGCCCCTCAGAAATCTGGATCCCCCTTTTTTATTATGCTTCACAAAAGTCTACATTTCACTGCTTAAATAGTTTCCAAAGTCATCTTTCTTTTACACTCCTACTACTTTTCTTTAGCAATATTCTTTAAGTAAAATTAAATTTGAAAAAAAAAAAAACAAAATGAAAAGTTTAGTTAAGGGCCTCAGCAACTATTCCTGAGCGTACTGCAACAGTCTCAAGATCACTGCTTTTGGGTAAACTGCCCAAATCAATGTATCAATGGTCAGAGAACTTATTCGATAAACGGTCAGGTAGAAAATATTTCCTTTACCATAGTCCATGTGATATCTGTTGTAATTCAACGCTAAGTAGCCATAATGATGCATAATTGAACACATACATAGTCTGTGTTCTGCAAATACATTTGCAGAAACAGGTTTCCAGCGTGAGACATAATTTTGCTGACTCCTATAAAATACCAGCACAACGGCTTTTGCTACTAATTGTATCATGTATTCCAATTCTGAAAACTCCTCAATAATTACAATGTTCCTTTGAGCCATATTCTGTAAACTATGTACTTCTCTTTTTATATTCACAGGTTATATGTTTATATTATCCTCATATATCAAGGAATGAATACCCTGATGTAGAAACAGTGTGGTTTAAAAAAGAAATGGTATTCAGTTCACTTTCTTAAAAGAACTGTGCAAACAGCTTCACATGTTAGTTTTCAAAACAACCCTACAAGGGAACTCACCTTATTATTCTCATCCAAAAAATAAGAAAGCAGTTATTCAGCAAGTAAGAGCCAAAATTCAGTATCAAGTCTGTCAAATTCCCAAGTTCTTTTATTCTATATAAATTCTATGATGTGTATAATATCAAAAACAACTTCTAAGAATAATCTTGCCAGAGTACAAAGGAATATTATACAGTATTAATAATTGTACCTAAAAGGTATTTCTGAAAATGAACTTCTGCTAGAATATATATGGCAACCAAAGCAACAACAACAAAAATCTTTCAGCTCCAGTAATTCAACCCTACCAAGACCCCAAGCAGCATTATCATCCAGAACAGAATTCCTTTTACCTTCTGTGACTGGCTGGAGTTTAGAAGAGCGCTCTGAGTCAGGAGAGTGTAGCGGTTCAGGCTCTTTCAGACTCTCCAGATGCATAAAAGGATCATAGTCCACAGAGGCCAAGTCAGACAGGCTTATGGGAAAATACCTGGGATTGCTGAAACACTGAGCTCCATAGACACATCCATGTAAGACCTGGAATACAAGCAGAAAAGGAAATACCAAACTTCACATTTAAACGAAAATAAACAAATGTAAAAGGAGAAAAAAAATCAACAGGTAAGAAAAGAATTTGGCAAAATTTTTAGATATTTGAAGACCCTTATCTCAGAGCACAGTGAAAAGTTAATCTCTCTTTCAAAATATATAAACCTGGGGCCAGCAGGGTGGCAGGGCAAGCTGATTCTCCATCCCCTGTAGGTGTTGCTTCATGCTAATGGCCTGGGCAAGCAGTAGGGGGATGCCCTGCTTGAGCCCTACACCCATGTGGAGCACTGAGAATTAACTTCCAGTTCCTGTGGCCAAGGTGGATAGCTAGAGAGTGAACCAGCAGACTGGAGGTTCTCTCTCCCTCTCGCTCTCTCTTTTTCTGTAATTCTATAAAGTAAGTAAATCTTTAAAAAAAAAAGTGTAAAATTAAATGAATAATTTAGTCATTCAGCAAAGATCTAACACCTCCAACATTTTGCAATTAAACAACAGTGTCTTGTAGGAAGTACTTTTAAATTACCTTTATGTACTGTCAACTGAATCCAACTCTTAGAAAAATATCTAGTTCTAAAACAATGAAAATTTTATACCAAGAAATGCTATTTCTTAAGGCTTTAAAAACCAAACCAATGCATTAAAAAAAAAAACCCACTAAAGCAAAGAAACATACCTTATAAATGCAGTTGAGGACCGATTTTTCCGTTTTGTCATTTTCTGTTCCTGCTACATGGACTGGCTGGAGCAGCGACTTTAGAGGTAGGGCCATGATCCAGTCCAGAAGGCACAGAAGTAAGGACACCACCAACTATAACAGCAAAAAGGAAGGAAGGAAGGAAGGAAGGAAGGAAGGAAGGAAGAAAAATCCTTTAAATGCAGCTTTATAAGAGCTTCTTAATACTAAATAAGTCATCTTATTCTGAGGTTTCCAAAATTTGCTTTAGGAACCATCAGCCCTGAGTTCCATTATTAATATTCACCTAGACCTAAAAGATCCTAAGATAATGACATAGGAACATTTTTGCAGGTTTCTCCTCCACACCTCCAGGAAAGCATAATGAAATTTTAAGCATAGTAAAATCATGAATGTTAAAATTATTCTAAAACACGGAGCTTAAAAAATCCCATGTATTAATTTAACTTATTAATTACACAAAAATAGAATATATCTTCTACATTGGTTTTCTAATTTAACATCTTACTCATTTTTAAAAACTATTCCTCATTTTACGATGCAAATCATCCCACTGACCACTTTTAAACTATTAAATGCTATAAAAAGAATATTTTGATCTAAACTACGAAGTAGCCTTAAAACTGAAAGCAGCAACACATACACCCAGTTTTCAGATGTGGATGCTGATTTTTGAACAACATCTCCCACTCAATGGGATCAGGGTTCATTTGAGAAAAGGCTAATTCAAATCTTGAGGCAGAGAAAATACGAGTCAGAAAAAACTGGTGGTAACAAAAACCAAGAAAAGATCCACAGAATAAAACAGATTTGGCAAAAGGAAGCCCCTCTGAACAGGTCTGTACTGGATAAATTTAAAATACTCTGAACAACAGAATAACTCCTGAGAAGACATTAGCGAGGACATCACATTGCATAAACTGAAAGTCCTGAACCCATACTGAAATATGACGGAGAAGACAGAACAGAAAAGCCTTTCCTTCACACGAGAAAGTGATCTAATGAATGCACAAAGACAGGCTGGCATCTGTGCTACCCGACATAATGTTTGAAGAGGTATCCAAAATTCTTCTAAGATATTCCTGTCAAGAATATTTAAACTGAGGCCATATGCAACATCAACATCTCACATGAACGCTGGTTCGAGTCCTGGCAGTTCCACTTGGCTCACATTTGCAAAGTGAACCAGCAGATAGAAGATCTATCGATTTCTCCCTGTCTCTATCTGTAACTCAGCCTTTCAAATAAAGAAATCTTCAATAGAATATTTAAGTGTAATAATGAAGAAATGTAGTAATACAATCACAATGGAACACTGACTTTTTAGACTGTACTTTGTAAAAATGTCAAAGCCAAGAAATACGGAAACATTAATGATCCATTTCAGAATATAAAATGACAAGAACAGGTATTATGATAGAATGCGATGTGTGAGGATTTCCTTTTGCCATAAAAAGCATTTTAAGTAAAATATAAATAAGACACTTATGCTAATCTTAATTTCCTAATGGTGTTGACTGTAGTGTGGCTATTTAACAGAATTGCCTAAATTGTAGGAAAACATATTAAAGTGTTTTCTGAATATTCACATATTCAGAGACAAAGCAAATGTAGTAAATAATGAATTTTTGTCCCTTTCTTACAAATTTCCTATTTTTCTATAAGTGTAAAATTGGATTAGAAGAAAAATTCCAGTTTAAAAGTTAAATCAAAGTTCTTATTTGATGCTTCTAAATAAAAAGAAACTGAACTTTAGTATCTATTAATTTCTGTTCAATGTCCTGCTGATGGTAAATTTTGTGAACTTGAGTGACTCAGTTGTCTTTGGTTCTACAGATTTCAACCCTTTTTTTGGCACCAAAATACACTTAATGTTTTGATTTCATTTCTTCCAAGAATATCTGAAATATCCTCATACAAGATTACCTTCAAATTACACGTAAAAGGCACACATGAAACATACATCAATTTCTTGCTTAGATTTAGATCCATTCCTTAAAGATGAAGAATTTCGCAAGAGTTACATCATCTGTCCAGATGAGATTTACAAAGAATACAAAGAAAAAAATAATTCTGAGGTGAACTCATGGACTCAATGATCTAGAAAACAGCAGGATTAATTCGGAACGGAATATGTAAAAATACTGGGACTAGGTTCATACATGTAATGGTGACATCAGACTTCTATAAACTAATGGCAGAACATAAGCACTAAATAAAATACATGTGAAATTTTAGCACAATATGAATAAGAGGTATCGGGACCAAGTCCTAGGGAATAGAAGTTAAGATTGAAATCTGACAAGCCAAAGTAACAGTGTAATCTTCAGAGGAAATTAAAAGAACTTAGAGCAACCTTGTCTGACAGTACTCTCTATACAGTGTTGGGGATGGTTTGTATCTGCTCATGTAGTTACTGAGAGTCACAGGCAGCTGGTAAAAAGTCACAGTGTGACTTGATATGGAAGACCAGGACAGACTGTGCCTGGAATCTGAGGTTCAGAGATTGTTGGTGCCAGAGACAGAGGTGAGATGTTGTAGGCAATGGTCTGTAAGTGGGCCGAAGCCCAAGACTCGGGTTGAGACCTGCAGGCGAAGGTCTGCAGTGGGGCAATGGTTCAGGGTTACAGAACTGTGTGCTTTAGGATATCCTCGACATACTCACACACTGACTTGTGTACATCAATCACACTGTAGTTCAATATCACCAAGCCCTAGCTGGTTAATATCAATATGGGATGTAGTGATCAACATTTGTACAGCACCAACTCCAGTAATTTGACCCCCCAAGAGTTCAATAAGACTTGGGCAGTGAGCATTCGAAGTCGACCTCCTTCTGAGAGAAAGGGGCTTCTCTAGTTGCCCACTTTCATTGTCATTATCTGTATCTGTCTATTTTCTTACTTTCTCAGCTGCACATCGCCCCCTCTCCAACCCTATTCATGCTATGCTAGTTGTGGTACTGAGTACATGAAATGTGCAAATGTGAGACTTAATTTTTAATGTAAACATTTGGTTGAATTTATTTAAGACATATTTATTTTTATTGCAAAGTCAGATATACACAGGAAGAGAAAGAGAGGATTATCTTCCATCTGCTGATTCCTTCCAGAAGTGGCCACAACGGCCAGAGCTGTGGCGATCCAAAGCCAGAAGCCAGGAGCTTCTCCCAGGTCTCCTACACGTGAAGTGGGGCCCCAAAGCTTTGAGCCATCCTCTCCTGCTTTCCCAGGCCACAAACAGGGAGATGAATGCAAAGCAGGATTGCTGGGATTAAAACCAGTGCCCATATGGGATCCTGGCACATGCAAGGCCGGGACTTTATCCACTAGGCTGCCATGCCAGGCCCTTAGCTGAATTTAAACTTAGAGCCATAGGCAATTTTAGCTACCATGTTGAACAGTCAAAATCTATGGTATCTTCAACACATCATATATAATGTTTGATGTGAAATTAAATGAAACAAGTTAGCAAAAAAAAAAAAACCTTGGTGATAGCTAGATATTACTTTTAGCAAATGAAGACTAATTACAATGTATTAATCTTTAACAGATTTTTATCACTGGTGAAGAAATGCAAAAATTTAGGAAAAAGATAAAAACTGTAAAAAGATCTCAATAAGAAACCCTAGAATTAAAACATACACTATGTGAAATAATTAAAGGAACTTCATAACGAATGTACTGAGATAAAAGCCACCTTAAAGAACTTTTTGGATGGCAAAGGCAATGGCCTCTCCAAAGACGTGTATGTCCATATTACATGTCCTCTGCTTATTGGAAACATCTGTACTTTCATATGGCCTTCACCTTCAAGGGAGAGGATTCCTCAGAGTTCATTACCAGGAGTAGATAATACCATAATTCAGCAGAATGTCAGATAATTTTAGATGGACAGAATGCTCTTCATGGTTTCTGGCAAATTTGACATTCAAAGATTATCAAATGACCATGAAATCTGAACTGAAATAAAATTTAATTATATTTAATGGAAGGGTGTAATTTCATACTAGCGCAGATTTTGATTACAAGGTTCATGGATTTTCACCATGTAAATATACTCCCAGGTTCAACTAGATAATCACATATTAAACATCAAACATAATCAAAATTACCCTCTTGTCCATTTCATAAGATGAAGCTTCAGTACTTGGCAATAGATGGGTGATGGTGGCTATTAGGATCTGTAAGTGAAAAAGTAAGTAAATAAAAGAGCTCAAAATATGCAAAATTAATGATTCATCTTAAGATGTAATTGCTATGCTACAGTGATATAAAACCCTTGGTGAAAATTTATTTCAACTACATTCACAGTAATTTTTAACGCATAAACTTTTCAAGTTAACGTCATCATCAATCACTTATAATGTTCATTATACAGAGCCACAACTACTTGTACACATAATTCTGTCAACTAAAAATGGATATTTCCCTAATTCAATTCATAGGGAGGACCAGTATACAGAAATATGAAGATAATTATGTTCATTACAGAAAAATTAGAATAGACAAGCCATCAAGTTTCAGATTTCAGAACAATTTGGATTTCTGCATTTTGTATTACAGTGTTCAGTCCATCAAGTCTGTGTGAGTATTCCAAAACCAGACCCCAAATATCAGAAGCAATGCTGATATGGAGCATGCTGGATACTCAAGTTGTATATGTAAATATGTACCATTAAAACAGAAAGAACTATGCTGCTTTTAAAATCAATACATATTACATACTGAAGATTATATGAATAAATGTGATATAAAGAATATTAAATTTAGAAGACATAAAAGGGGCAAAATATTTATATAAACTGCTATCTATTTGGGAAATTACTAGCTTCATTCAATCACATATGTGCTTATTAAAAATACACTTGGCATACATTTTAACTTTTTGTCATTTTATTTTCAATTTCCTCTACCAACTTGTAAATTTTTACTAAAGACTATGAAAAGCCGGGCTTACACATACAACTCTGAAAAGACATAAGAATGGCTAACAGAAATATGGGAAAAAGCTCAGTATCACTAGTCACCAAATCCAAACTACAATTAAGGAAGACTTTGGTCCAATCTGATGGTGACTATAAAAAAAACAAACGTGAGAAATCTGTGGAAGTATATTTGTCCACTAAATATTATGCTCTTTGTACTTTGTGCTTGCTGAACTCTTTGTTTAGTGGACAGTCTTTTAAATGCAAATTAAGCATATGCTATCTCAAAAGTGAAGAAGGGGGAGTAATGCAGAGGCAGAGGACAACGGAGACAAAGGAAGGTTTAAGTGAAAAGGGGAGGGAGAAAGAAACATTATATTTTCAGACTTTTTTCTACTTGTTATTGGCTGAATTCCTTTCTTGTTTGTTTAAGATTTATTTTATTCTTATTTGAATTGAAAAGCAGATTTATAGAGAAGGTGAGACAGAGAGGAGGAGATCTTCTATTCACTATAGTTGCAATGGGCACAGCTGGGCTGACCAGAAGCCAAGAGCCAGGGGCTTCCTCTGGGTCTCCCACATGGGTGCAAGGGCCCAAGCATTTGACCCATTCTCCGCTGCTTTCCCAGGCCTTAAAGAGGGAGCTGGTTGGAAGTGGAGTAGCTGGGACAGAACCAGGACCCATATGGGATGCTGGTGCTGCAGGCTGAGGCGCAGCCTATTATGCCATGGTGCCAGCCCCTAATTGGTGAATTCTTTACCTAATGGAGTATTAAGGGGACATAAAAATATGTCATTGTAAAAAACTTTTAAAATAATAGTAAGTAAGGAGGACCAGGGGCGGGATCATAAGCAGGAGGAGTTTACTCTTAAATATATATTGTGATATGCATGAAATTTCCTTAGCTAATAAAAATAAAAGAAGGGCTGGTATGTTGGTACATAAGTTTAATCCTCCATCCTGTAGCCCAGGCATCCAAATGGGAACCGGTTCTACTCCTGGCTGTTCCATTTTGGATCCAGCTCTCTGCGTATGGCAGCCAAGGACAGTGCAAGTCCTTGGGCCCTTGCACCCACGTGGGAGACCTGGAAGACGTTCACGGCTCTCAGCTTTGGATCAGCTCAGCTTGAGCTGTTGCAGCCATTTGGAGAGGAACAGCAGATGGAAGATTTCTCTTTCTCTCTCTCCTCCGCTCTGTAAAAAAATTGTAAATAATATAAAAGGAAGAAAACCCTAAAAAAGAATAATACCTATAAACTATATTGAAACAAGCTTAAAAAAGTAGAACTTCTATAAATTATAGATGGGAATATAAATTAGCATAATCATTATGGAAAACAGTTTGCAGGTTCTACAAAAATTAAAAATAGAACTGCTGTATATTTCCGCAATCCTACCTTTGGGTATATAGCCAATAGAAATAAAAACACTGTGTTAAAAAGACATCATCACTTCCATGTTTACAGCAGTACTTTTAATAAAATGATGATTTTTATCCCAAACTTACAAAATCAACATAAATGTCCATCAGTACATAAACGGAAAAAATATGAAAATGACATATATACACACACAGGGTGCAAAATTATACATCCATAAAAAGATGAAATTCTGTCATTTGTGATATGAATGAACCTTGTAGGAATTATGTTAAGTGAAATGAGAAAAACACCAAAAATATGATCTCATTCATATGTGAAATTTAAAAGTCTACTATCACGTGCTGAAAGTGAAATCGTGGTTCAGAATACATTGGAGGGACAGGAAGAAGGAAAGGCAGAGGAAGGGTGTTCAAGCGACACAGCGACACTGACCTACAGGAGAGAAAAATCAGTCCCGGTGTTCCACTGCAGTCTGGAAACTACAGCTATCTACACAAAATGCACATTGAAAAAGAAGAGAAACTCCATGTTCTTACCACATAAGAATCACAAAGATTTAAGGGGATGAATATGTTAATTACCTTGGTGGTTAAATGATGATTACACATGTCTAGGTATGAAAGTACTTGTGAAATATGGGATTAAAAGATAACAAAGACTGTGCATATCTTGGAGAGAAAAAGAAAATTTCAAAAATATACTTTTTAATACATAAGACTTTAATAGCTAACATAATCTAGTGTATTAGCTGCACCTGCTAATATTGGTAATAGGGCTTTCATGCCAAATATTGCAAGTAGGTAATTATTAGTGAAAGGTTCCACTATTTGGGGATTATACTTGTTCAATAAGCAGTGGGTGGGAAATAAACTCTGAATATGCTTCCTAATCATATTTATATATAGGTGTATATATAGGGATATATATAAAGAAAAAAGGTAAGGATTTATAGGCTTTCAAATGAAAACATTTTGCTTACTTAAAAAGAACATCACTTTTCAGAAAGAACAATCCAATCTTAAAGTGTAACCCTTTTCAAAAGTGTTAAAATTTACATTTTTAATACTAAATACATATGCATGTTCACACTGACATCCAGCTTTTAGGTTCCACATAAAATTGTTATTAGCTGCAGCCAATTTTAAATATTTACATCCCAGTTTTTATATGCCAGAAAGCACTAAATGCCTTATACTTCTTATTTGATCTTAACAGCAATTTTTTTTAAAAAAAGATTTATACATTTATTTAGGAAAGTCAGATATGCAGAAAGAAGGAGAGACAGAAATATCTTCCATCCATTGATTCACTCCCCATGCGTCCACAATGACCAGAGCTGAGCCAATCTGGAGCCAGGAGCTTCCTCCGGGTGTACCGGGTAGGTGCAGGGTCCAAAGGCTTTGGGTCACAGTGCTTTCCCAGGCACATAAGCAGGGAGCGGAATCAGAACTTAAGCACCCAGGACTCCAACTAGAGCTAATAAGCGATGCTGACACTGCAGGTGGGGGCTTAACCCCTGCATTATGATACTGGCCCTGCAAAGAATATTTTTATTCCAAAAATACATGTAAAACAAAAGAGTAAAGCGGGTGGGTCAAGCAACTTCCTCACAGTTGAAAAATTATTCAACCACACAGCCAGGGCCAGTTAAACTTATGTATGACTAACCTCCAAACTATCTTAGCCATATTACTCTATGTACCTCAACAGATACTTGCAGAATATTTCCTTCATGAAAGTTGCCCAGGCTTAAGGAAAAATAAAGAATGTTTGGGAAAGAAAAAAGAAAGAATGCTCTGGCATTCCAGCAACCTGTATCAGGGCCTCGGTTCCCATCCAGCTCCCTGCTGTTGTGCCGGGGGGGGGGGGGAAAGCAGAAGACAACAGTTCACATACCGAAGAAATTCCAGGTCCTGCTTTAAGCCTGGTCCTGCCCCCTGCTGTGGCGGCCATTTAGGAAGTGAGCCAGCAGAGGGAAGATCAAGGGTGGGTGTGTGCGTGTGTTTCTCTTGCTGATACTCTGCCCTTCCAGTAAATTAAAGTAGAATAACTTTTAAATAAATATGTTCTTTTGTTCAAGAAGAAAAAATATTATATACATTAAAATATATACAATCACTTGGCCTCATTCAATTTTTTATCTGCATACTAAGTTATCTGCATGTATAAATTTTTTAAATTTTAATTTTTATTGGAAAGTCAGATATACAGAGAGGAAAAGAGACAGAGAGGAAGATCTTCCATCCAGTGATTCACTCCCCATGTTGAAGCAATGGCCAGAGGTGAACTGATCTGAAGACAGGAGTCAGGAGCCTCTTCCAGGTCTCCCATGTGTAAAGCTTTGGGCCGTCCTCCCCTGACTTTCCAGGCCACAAGCAGGGAGCTGGATGGGAAGCAGGGCTATTGAGATATGAACCGGTGTCCATATGGGAAGGATCCCAGCACGTGCAAGGCAAGGACTTTAGTCACTAGAATATGGTGCCAGGCCCATAGGTATAAATTTATTGTACTTCTATATTTTTGCTATTGTCTTTTTATAAATGATTGCTTTGGTTTATTAAGTAGAAAAATTTGGGCCCGATGCAGTAGCCTAGCGGTTAAAGTTGTTGCCTTGCACATGCCGGGATCCCATATGGGCACTGGTTCTAATCCCAGCAGAACCCCTCTCATCCAGTTCCCTGCCTGTGGCCTGGGAAAGCAGGTTACGATGGCCCAAAGCTTTGGGACCCTGCACACATGTAAGAGACCCAGAAGAAACTCCAGGCTCCTGGCTTCAGATTGGCTCAGCTCTGGCTGCTGAAGCCGCTTAGGGGAGTGAATCAGCAGATGGAAGATGTTCCTCTTGGTATATATGACTTTGTAATAAAAAGAATAACTCTTTAAAAACATCTACTCTGTATAATACACTTTGTAGCACTACATGTACCACATTTAATGCTACAATAGAGACAGAGAACATGATGGAGCTGGAGGGAAGGGCATAACTTACCTTCAAAAACTTTTTAAGAATCCAGTGACTCTCATGATATCTCTCTAAGATAAGGTGACTGTTAGAGTGAGTGGCACACGGTAGGTACTTGAAAAACATTCTATTTTTTTTTTTCCTAAAGATGTCATAAGGATACACAGACAAATTCTGACTGGGGAGAGCAGGGAGATTTTTACTTTCGGGGACGACAGTGTTTAAAGCGATCAATGAAAGACGAAGGGGTTAGAGAGAAGTCAAGCTTTTTAAATAGGATGCAGAGAGCAAAGGATTTGTTTCAGTGACCGAAACAGACTCAGTTGCCTTGAAAACTCAGCACTGCAGAGGAGTGTGTGTGTGTGTGTGTGTGTGTGTGTGTGTGTGTGTGTGTGTGTGTGTGTGATTCTACAAAGACAAGCTGGGGCCGCGTGTGCAGCCTTGAGGTCTCGGCTCAACAGGCTGGTTACGTTCCGAAGTCAGAGGAAAATCATGGCTTTGTTCTTGTTTTGTTTGAGGGGGGAGGTAAACGGCATGGTTAAGTCATGTGAATAATCCTTGAAGAAAAAGACCACACAGATGGGAATAACTGCTACAGGGATCTTGCAATATCTCAAGTGGGGAAAACTGAGGAGCTAAAACATGCTAGGCATTATAGGAAGTAAAGGATATTGAATAAGAATGGGAAAAAAATCATAAATCTTTGCCTAAACAGAAAGGAGTACTGTCCTAATTTTGGGAAATACACACACACACACACACATATACACACATATACACACATATACATACACTCATATATATATAGTGTTTATGAGTGTTTATATATACATATATTGTGTGTGTGCATATATACGCATCAAATGTGCGTGTAACATTTTTTTTCTTCAAAAATATAATATCTTCACTTTGCCCCAGAGAATGCAATCTTGCAACATAAATACAAATGTCATGAACTTTGATTTCACAAGAAATGGGACTACAAAGGCCATTAAACCATCAGATTTGAAACATAAAATTAAGAATCATTCATAAAGTCATAATAAAGAATAAAAAATGGCTTACTTGAATAATCTTCAAGGGAGAATCAGGCTGGTAAATCTGAAGTCTAGGTACATAGTGAACCAGCATATGAAGCATATTACAAGCAACATGGGCTACTGTTTTATTAGTAAACTGCAATGATAACAAGAAAACATTATTAGAAAAATCAAAGAGAAAAAAAGGTACAGTACAGTAGCCAGTACCTTATTCTTTAAGGTACTGTCTTCTAAAACATTTGAAATTCACATGTTTCTTTTTGGCACCCTACATTTATGAGTGTTTATTAAAGTGTAAGGAAAATAAATCTACAAGTTTCCAAATTTTTAAAAAAATATATCACACTATTCCAAGACACAAGCACATTTTTTAAAATAATGTCTGGCTGTCCTTATTAAAGTCTCATATGTTATCTCCAACAGCCTTTATTCCAATAATCTTACCAGCTTTCCCCCATTGCAGTCCACTATTCATAACACCCGAACAACCTTCTAACGTACTGCTCTGACCCTGACATGCTCTGCACCTCTCAGACAGGTCCCAAAGGCATAATGTCACACTTATTATGCTTTTCGATCCATGTCCCGACTTTACCTCCTGCCCAGGTCATGAGAAAACACTTCAGCTTTCCCAAGTACAAGATCAAGGAACAAGGTCAAAGTGAGCACTGCTTTCTTGAACTCCACCACTACTCCTGCCTTTTATATTTTATTACTATTCCCTTTCAATCTCTTAAGTACTTACACTTTTAAATTTTTGACAAACTTAACTTGGCCAAGCAACGTGCCTAAACAGTATATGTTGGTATATTTTAAAGTAAATCTTCCTCAGAAATATTTTATGATGTATTAATGCTCTGAGCATTACAAATCTTAAGATAAAAGATCATATTATCATGAATGAAAATATCCATTTATTCAAATTTTCAAAATAATCAAGACTACTATTTCTGCGCAAATGCTTTTTTGGACACAAAAGAGACACATATTTAACTTGAATGATAAACCTAAAAGTTGAACATCTGAAGAATTCATGAAATAAAAACATTACAAAAATACTAGCTAAAAAAAGCAAGCATGCAAAAAAAAAAAAGCACATAATTTCCTTTTTAAAAATTATTCACATGTATCCTAGGGACAAAGTCAAATAAATAAAATTTTAGATAATAGAGGTCATGGCAGAAATACCCAAAATTTAAGAATGGTACCAGACTTAAGAACTATAATCAAAGTAATAATAAAATAACTTATCAAACATTTATTAACTGTTTTATTCCCTAAGGACAAGATAAAACTAATATTAAGAGAAAAAAGTTGTGTATTCAAGACTATTTTAGTATATTTCACTAAATTGTCTTTACCTTTAGGGAAACACAGATTACATTCAGAGCTTCCTTAATTTGAGGATGATGAGACTCATGGACAAGTTCTTCACAAATCCAAATACCTAAGCTGCAAAGGGCTATACATCTGCAAAAAACACCGACACAAATAAAAGTGGATGAATCGTTAAATGAAATCCACTCACTACCACAACAAACATCCATGATCAAATGACACAGGATAAACATGGTATGCATTAAATGAATTAACAAAGTTATTACTATATATATTTACTTGCTGACTAAGGAAAAAAAGTGAAAGTACATTCCCCAAACGCTAAGCCTAATTTCATTATAACCTACCAAGACCACAGACTGGGATAACACACAGCATCTTTCTAGCAAATACAAGTTAATACATTGGCAATTCAATAAAGCAGAGTGTAATTTTATTGGCTGGCAACAGCAAAAGAATTTAAGTAAAAGACAGGAAGCTGATAGAATTAGTGAAATATTGTTGTATTTTTAAAATTTAATACAGCTATGAATTCTTTCAAAAACAAGTTGTAAATGCCAAATTAATACAATTTGTATAATCCTGATATAGTAGTAGAACCTGCAGATTTTCTGTTCTGTCCTCTAATGCCTTGTGAAGATTCATTTCCCTAGTACCACTGACTTCACAAAATTCCAGTCAAATATTCAACAGTTCTAAGTATAAAAACAGTCAGCTCCTAATATCCTTGTATACATGTAAGTCCTAATATGGATATTCTTTTTAATTTTTTTCAAAGATTTATCTATTTTCACTGGAAAGACAGAACTACAGAGACAAGGACAGTCAGATCTTCTGTCTTCTGGTTCACTCCTTAAGTGACTGCAGCGGCCAAAGCTGAGCTGACCCAAAGATAGAAGCTAGAAACTTCTTCTGGGTCATGTGGGTGCAGCGTCCCAAGGCCTTGAGCCATCCTCTAATGCTTTCCCAGGCCACAACAGGGAACTGCATGGGAAGTGCAGCAACTGGGACACAAACTTGCCATATGGAATGCTGGCACTTGAAGGTAGAGGATTAGCCAGTTAAACCATTTTCCTGGCTCCGATATGGATATTCTTAACTTGAATTCATAGTACACTAAATTTCAGAACAATTCAAAGCAGAAATATGTTTCTTTTTGAACAGGCCCAAAACAATAAATTCATTCTTTTGATTCAGAGTTAATATTACTAAATTGTTATTAGCAAAACTACCAGAAATTCTTGTAATGAAGTCTAATGCTTTATTTCTTCTCCACAGTTGCCCATAAATCATAGGTTACATAAATAGACCTAAATAACCAGGGAGTTATTGGATCTGGGAGTCTCATCCAGATCTCTCTCTTGGTTGGCAGGGACCCAAGTTCTTGGGTCATCTTCATTTTCCAGGGAAAAGGGTTCCAAGTGGAGTAGTTGGGACAAAAGCAAAACAAAACAAAAAGCAACTAGAACCCCTATGGGAAACTGGCATCAGAGCTGTTCAATCTGTCTGCTACATTAGGCCCAAAACAAAACTTTTTCCTTTCTGTCACTCATGTGTTGGTTACTCAGTGACGCACTTTTTTTTCATGGAGCTGTAATCTGTTGTTGTTGTTGTCATTGTTGTTGTGGCTATTCTAACTCATACCAGTTGTTGACCTTGTTTCATGGCCTCTCACTTATGGTAATATATAGTGATGGAGTACTGGGGTCTATCATACACAGACGTGGGGGTACAATGGAACATGCATCCCTGCATCCAGACGAAAGAGGGATTCCCAATGAAACTATTGGACATGTGTAGACAAAGGGATGCTGGACTGTCTGACATTGTTTGTACCAACAATGTTGGGGTACACTTAAATAAGAGACTGATAGAATTATGATTCCTTATGCAGGACTACACTATTGTAACAAAATGGGAAAAATCTGACGGGGGTGGGAGCTTGTGGGGGAATCTCAGCCTATACAAAATTGTACCACATAATTCAAAATTCAAAATAAAAATATATTTTTAAAAAAAAGATCTCTTAAAAGTATAGAAAAGTATCAGCTTTGTGGCACAGCAAGTTTAGCTTCTGTGTGTGCTGGCAGCATTCCATTTGGAGCATTGGTTCAAGTCCTAGCTGCTCCAACTTCTAATCAGCTTCCTGCTAATGTGACTGCGGAGAGAAAAGAGAATGACCTGAGTACTTGGACCTCTGCCATTCATCTGAGAAATGGGACAGAGTTCCTGGCTTCTGGCTTCACCCTGATCTAGCCCTGCCCATCTGGTCAGATGGCAAATGATCCAATGGATAGGAGCTCTCTTTTTCTGTGTCTACGTGTCTCTCTCTGTTAACTTTGCCTTTCACATAAATAAAATAAATCTTAATAAATGGAATAGGAAAATAAGGTAATGTTTCTATCCGGGGTTTCTCCAGTGAATGTAACCTCTTGTGTTGACGATTCCCAAGTCTACCTCTGGAGAGCTGTGTATCAGAACGCTAGAATATATATCATGACTGTCAAAAATCAGTGGTAGGATGGGTTGTTTACATTTGGGGGGACCCATTTTCACATCTGTAAAACTAACAAAAAACTTATAGTTAATGCAAAACTTGGGATAAAAACATACAGCACTTAGCAGAGTGTTAGTACGTAAAAATATAACCTTGGTCTTCACAAATGTTACTGTTCTGGCAACAATCTTTGGCTCACAAAATTGGAAGAACAGGGTGATCCCATCAATCTTTCAGAATTGTGTTGAGGATGAAAACAAACTACATCCAAAGAAAATCCTTTAAAATTTAATTGCGATTTAAAGGAAAAAAAAATCTCCTCAGAATGTTTTGACTATTAAGTGAGGTAAACACGCAATTAAAAACTGGAGATCCCATTTAACAAAGGAGCTCATGTACACGATTTTTACTTGCCAAAAACAGGAATGTTTAAGTCAGAATCCAAATGGTCAAATGCATGATCTAACCGTGTTTTAAACCTTGAGCCAAGAAAAAAAAAAAAAAAACGCACGACAGACTGGAAAATAGGAAGCTGTGCAGAGATGGAAGTCACAGATTGAGGACTGTGACACAGACTAAACATTACCAACATACAGTACAACCCGATGACATCTCGGAAAGGAAAGGTACAAAGTACTCCTGCAAACTCTTAAATCTCAATGTTTTTTCTCTTTTGGAACTGTCTGGTAAAACAGAGAAATTACCACTTTCAAACTCTTCAGAAATTATTAGATATAAAAGCTAAAGATCTCATTACTTACACTCTATTAAAATCCTTATTATATATTAATCAATACTACAATATGCTTCCTTAGAGATGGATCACTTTGTATAGTAAAAATATTTTAATTCAAATGAATAAACATTCACTGGGCATCTACTACTCCGAGGTATGTCACTGAGACAATAACAAACATAACCTGGGCTTGGCATGGTACCCTAGTCGCTCAATCCTCGCCTTACTCGTGCTGGGATTCCATGTGGGCACCTGTTCACGTCCCGGCTGCTCATCCTTCCATCCAGCTCCCTGCCTGTGGCCTGGGAAAGCTGCAGAGGACAGCCCAAAGCCTTGGGACCCTGCACCCAAGTCGAAGAGCCAGAATGAACTCCTGGCTTCGGATCAGCTCAGCTCTAACCACCGAGGCCACTCGAGGAGTGAACCAGAGGACAGATCGTTCAGTTTTTTCTTCATCTCTGCCAATCTGCCTTTCCAATAAAAATAAATCTTAAAAAAGAAGTTTTAAAAATGAACATAATCTGAAGTAAAAGCAAAATGTGCTTCAATAAAATTAACTCCAGATAGTTAAAAGAGCAACCAGGATTTTTTATTTGTTTAATGAAGGTAGGTTATATTTAAACAACGAAAAAAATATAAGGTTAGTACTTAATCACTCAAACAATTTAAGTTTATGGTTCAGAGTGACTTTCCCATGTCCAAAACAATCTAGACTGTTATAATGATTCAGTCAATTCCTAAATTAACATTCTCAGTAATAGAATACTTATGGTATTTCTAGGGGTAGCTACTTACCGTGCAGGACCAGATGGCTCATCTCTTGCTGAGCTTAATACAGTTTTGACTGTAAGTTCCTAAAATAAAGGAAGAATAGTTAATAACATCAGCTAACACATCACTTATTCATTCAAAAAACATTGAGTGGTGCCAGGTACAGAAATTAAGTAGGACACTCTTTGTTCTAATGTATATACTTTTTCTATTACTGATAGAAATAGCTCATAGGAAAAAAAATCAATGAAATTTATAATCAAAAGCACATGTTTAGAAAAGAACCTTTCACGATTAGAAGTGACAAGTCACTCTTCTGCCACTGCAAGACAGATGAGCAGCACAGGATAAATAATTCAAAGTTACAAACATCTTTGAAAGAACCAGATCAATTTGTTGGTAAATTCTACCAAATTAAGTTTCAACACGAATCCTTCTCCAGTTCTTCCAAATAACAGGAGAGAACTCTTTCAAATCATTTGATGAGGTCTACATTACTCTGATACCAAAGTGAGGCAGTATTAGGGAAAAAATACAAGTCAATGTATCCGATGAAAACAAGCACAAAAATCTTCAATAAAACATCCAGAAATCAAATTCAAGAGCATACAAAGGGATAATTAACCAGGATCAAGTAAGATTTATTCCTATGATACAAAGGATGGTTAAATATGATTCCATGGACTGAATGAAGGATAAAAATCTTATATTCATTGATGAAGAAAAAACACTGGACAAATCACAGCATTCTTTCTTACAGAAGCTCTCAACAAATCAAGCAGGAAAGGAAACCAGTATCTCAAAGGAGAGTCCGCAACGGGTCACAGCTGACATCGCTGCACGGTAAGAAGCCAGACACCCTTGTCAATTCTGTACACCGCACCACAGCACTGGCAGTCACAGAAAGCACAACTAGAAAAGGCGTTTTTTAAAGAGGGGTATATCATGATTACAAGGGAAGGACTGAATTGTCTCCAAAAAAAAGCAGCCCTACTTGGCAATAGCATCCAAAACAAGTTCTTAGGAATACATTTTAACAAGCAGGTAAATGACGTCTGGATTAGAAGAAGCAATACTGTTGAAATGTGTGTTTCACCCAAAGTAATCTCATCTCCAGGGGTATAGCAAAAGGAAATCAGCATGCATCTTGGCCTTCTGGCTAAGATCAAGTGTAAAAGGAAATCAGTATGTGAATAATGGATAAAGAAAACGTGGCACACACAAGTCTTCACAATTTTTATTATAAAAAAACTACGCATGAGTTTCAATTTACATTCATTAACAAGCAATTGAAAAGCAACTGGCTGGGTCTGGTATGTAGCACAGTAGATAAAGCTGCCTGCTGCTTCCATTTCCAATTCAGCTCTCTGTTAACGACCCTGGCAGAGCGTTGGGGTCTCTGCCACTCAGGCAGGAAACTGGGATGGAGCTCCAGGCTCCTGGCTTCAACAGGGCCAGCCCAAGCTGTGGTGTCTATTAAACTGTATGGAAGATACCTGTCTCTCCCTCTGTAACTCTGCTTTTCGAACAAACAATAACAAAATAAATCTTTACAAAAAATTTTAAAAAGCAATTGGTGATGAAAAAATTTAAGCTCCTTACAAGTTACTGTCTTTGACATCTCAGCTCCCAGTCCAATGGCAGGCAGTTAACAAGTACATGGAAAATGTTAGCCTCAAGGATTTCATATGTAACCAGCCATTTCTTGGGGCCAGCTCAGGGCTGAATTGCTCATCTTCTACCTGCCAGTGCCAGCATCACATTCGGGCACTGCTTCAGGTCCCAGCTGTTTCCTGCCTGTGGCCTGGGAAAGCAGTAGAGGATGAAATGGCCCTGCTCCTGGTAGGAGACTCAGTGAGGCTTCTGGCTTTGGATCGGCTCAGCTCTGGCCAGTGCGGCCTTTTGGGCAGTGAACCAGCAGAGGAAGATCTTTCTGTCTCTCCTTCTGTTAATCTGCCTCTTCAAAAATAAATAAATAAAATCTTAAAAAAAAAAAAAAGATCCAGCAGCAAAGTAAGATCTGTTTATTTGTCCAAAACAAAGTCAATCATTAAACAAGTAATTACCAGCATGATTAATACTACAAAAAAAATCTGGATGCTATGAAGGGAAGCAACACCTCAGTCATAAACTGGCCTTCAAAGTCTCTCAGAGAAAACACATTTAAAAAAAACCGTCAGCATGACTCCTGAGGAGCTGTAATTTCACTTTTTGGGCCCACCGCGGCAACCTAGTGGTTCAATCATCGCTTTGCACACACTGGGATCCCATATGGGCACCAATTCTAATCCCTGCAGCCCCACTTCCCATCCAGCTCCCTGGTTGTGACCTAGGAAGGCAGTTGAGGACGGCCCAAAGCCTTGGGACCCTGCACACATGGGGGAGACCCAGAAGAGGCTCCTGGCTCCTGGTTTCGGAGTGGCACAGCTCCAGCTATTGTGGCTGCTTGGGGAGTGAATCAGCAGATGAAGATCTTCCTCTCCATTTCTCCTCCTCTTTGTATATCTACCTTTCTAACAAAAATAAATAAATCATATGTATATATGATTTATATATATATATAATTTCACTTTCTCAGCTCTTCTAATTCCAGGGGTTGACTTGGGTTAATTACTGTTACAGGCACAACTTCTCAGGACTACTAAACTGTTGGGCTTTGGGAACACAGGCATTCAATCAGCCATATGCCCTGACTTACCCATGCAGTTACTCCAGACCAGACAAACTTCTGGGCCCAAGGCACTTACTGCTTTGATCCTAATGAGGAGCACTTTTCACATCGCTCCTGTCTACAGTGGTCTAAGAAGTCCTGGGTCCCAGGGACTAAAATGGCTGACCACGACTTCAAGCAGCAGACTGACCTCGCTAAGAACAGAAACAGTTTTTACCACCACTTTGACTGAAAATATTGAAAAGGCTTACAAACAAGGGTGATTTAGCATATCTGCTCCTAACTGGACACAATTTTTTTTTTCTTTTATTGGAGGGTGTTTAATATCTGAGCAGAGGTGGCAGACAAGATGTCATCCGGAACACAGGGGTTCCACACTGCAGAAGCAGCTTCCTGATTCCAGCTAACTGCCTCAATGACGCTGCAAGCACTTCAGCTCCTGCCACCCACGAGGGAGATCTGCATTTCACCGCCCCAACACTGTGGGCATTTGGGGCACAGACTGGTAGTTTGAAAAGTATATCGAAGTTCCACTGGTAACTGCAGGCTGCTGTCGATTTTGCAGTGTCTACTATTCAAGCCTTTCCAGCTTCCTTAGCCCGCTCCCTAGCTTCCCACAGAACAGGATGTTCTATTACTGTGTTTCACCCTCCTCATTGAGAACTGGCAGAGGAAGACAGTCCAATCTGCAGAGTCAGCATGCCTTTCAATTCCGGAAGTCTTAGAACAGCACCGTAGTACGTGGGGCTTATCAGGCGTCGCAAATAAATGAAAAAAATCCCAAGTAGTGACACATCAGTTGGTTTAATAACAAGACAAAGGTAATAAAGCAGTTCTTAGCATAGAACACACTATCCCCCAACAACGTTCCAGCTTTGGTGTCCAGAGACCTAGCTGGGATTTTCTTTAGCTGCTAAGTGTATTAAAAAAAGAAAAAACAGAAAAAAATAATTTTATAACATGTATTTTATGGTTATCAAATCACTTCAATGCTAGAAGTTGGAATTTCAACATCTGATGTCTTACCTTAACATCTGTGAACTGAGACACGGCAATATCAGGAATGTTGGGATGGAGGGCAGGCAGCTCACAATATAAGTTGGGAAAGCAAACCAAAGATCCCAGAAGAACTTGTGCTTCCACTCTTGGTGCCTAGGGATCAGATTTTAAAAGTCTTTAAAACACATTAACTATATGAAATACATTTTACTTTATTACCCAATGCCATAACACAGGGAGAGTGTAAAACAAAATCCAAAAAGGGAAAGGGGCACAGAAAGACATAGGTTTCCATCTATGCTTTCCATGTGAAGTATTACTACTCTCAATGGACAACGGTCAAACTGTGTATCTTTCCTCAAAAATGGCTAATGAGCAGAACTCAGCCAGTCATTACCCTGGAAATAGGAATACAGCTGAGCGGCCAGCATAAAGTTACCCTAATTATAAGGAAACATACAGTAGCTTTAAAGGCAACTCACATACTGTGACATACTGGTCTAATAAGTTGATGACTTCATGTCACTGGGTTATATTCCTTAGTACCTAAGGATGAGTACAGTAAGGATGAAAATACTAACTGTATCTTCAAACTGGGCTGCAGTCTAGGTAGTCTTTCTATTCCTCTGCAAAGCAATGTCCAATATATTCAGTATACTCAAGAGCAGAATCTATGTCTAGGCTGCAGACGAAAGGAGCTTTCCATTGTTTTTCTCTATCTTTATTAAATCACTTATGAAACAGCAGCACTGAATGTTTCTTCTAGTCTGTCTCCTTGTATTCCCAGTAAAAATCAACATCTACCTAATACTGCTTTATTTACTGAAATACCTACGAACGTTTCATAATACTTAGCAGAATGCAAAACTCAAACCCAGGAGAAATGTAATACTTCTAGTTACATAGATCAGGAACCAGGTTCCACATTTCATCTTACTAAGTGTTATTCCTAGAGGAAATGCAGTAATAGTCTACTATGTCAATTTCAACAACTCATTTCTAGAGTGAAAAATAACAGATTTACAGATGCAAAATAGCAGTATAAAGAAGCAGAATAAGCTTGCAAACATCACCTCAATTAAAAAACTACCCTAATAAGGAGCAGGTGTTTGGTCTAGTGGCTAAGGCATCCTCCACAGTCCATCCTAGCATGGCCTAGGCACGCCATTCACTCGGGTACCCAGCCCAGCTCCTTCTTTAGCTTCCTGATCATGCACGCTCCGGGGAGGCAGCAGTGACGGTGTGCCCATGCTACACACGGGGACACCCAAACTGCATTTCTGCCTCATCTCTCCCACTCTTGGGAGAGGAACCAGCTGATGGGAGCTTTCGCACTCTCTCTGCCTTTCAAATAACATAAAATATACAGTTCAAAGTAGTTTTTAATAAAAAGTTATTACATAAAAACTTCTTATAAAAAGATTCTTTTTTGAGAATCAGATACACAAAGAGGAGGAGAAATGGAGAGGAAAATCTTCCATCCAATGATTCATTCCCCAAGCAGCCACAATGGCTGGAGCTGAGCTGAACTGAAGCCGAGAGCCTGGAGCCTCTTCTCGGTTTCCCACAGGGGTGCAGGGAACCAAGGTTTTGAACCGCCCTCAGCTGCTTTCCCAGATCACAAGCAGGGAGCTGGATGTCAAATGGGGCTGTCGGGATTAGAACTGGCATCCATATGAGATCCCAGCACATTCAAGGCAAGGACGTTAGCCACTAGGCTATCACACCAGGCTCTCCCATAAAAATTTAATTGATAGGCATGGGCATTTGGTGTGGTCGTTTAGGCATTGCTTGGATTTCCAGCATCACACATCCCTGTGTCTAGACTTGAGTCCCCGGTTCTACCCCAATTCCAAGCTCCTGCTGGTGTTCACCTGGGAGGCAGCAGGTGATTTGCCCAGTAGGTGGGTCCCCACCATCCTTATAGATCAATTGAGTTCCTGGAACCCCCCAATCTGGACATTTGGGGAGCACATTAGCACACAAGGGCTCTCTAACTACCCATGCCTCTTGTTTCTCTGCCTTTCAAAAAAATAAACATTTTTTTTTAAACACTGGCAATTTTTTCTGTAAAGATCAATGAAGTATGAGGAAACCCATGGGGACAAGATCTGGAATGTGACTGTAATTAAAGGCAAGAGCAAGTCTATTACTGTATGATCTACCTAAGGAAGGAAAATATTAGCAGAAGGAACTTAATGCACTAGATCTAAAATGGGAACCTGAAGGACAAGATTTGGACTTTATTTCAGCAACGCCATCAGATGAAGGGATTACTGTAACCTTACAATGGTGATGTATCAGGTTTAACTTCTGAAATGATATGGCTTTCTCTACAGCCCTTTTCCGTTAAATGTTCTGTTCTTATAGATGGATCAGACAACACAGAAAGTAACTATTTTCTGAATTTTCCAAGATGTTACCTAGTTAATATCTTTCTAGATACATGGAAGTGAAGTCAATTAGACAAAAGGATGCCTTAGGATAGTAGAGCAAAACTTTGAGAACACCTGCAGAAAATGGGATGATTAGTCATCTTGAAGAACCTGGCGCACTGAACAGGCAGTTTACTCAGCATATTAATAGAAAGTGACTTTAGTTGATCTAATGGTGTCCTCTGAGTTCTATCAAATTTTGCCCAAGTCCATGAGATTGATAATATGTACATGTAGTAATAGTCTAATAACCTTGTAATTTGTTCAGCACTTTTGATTTGTCCTCCACTTAATTTACTCATATACTAATATACAGTTTTATCAAAACATATTGCATCATCTCTAAAAAAAATGTGATGTTTAAATAATATTCTCATCTATTCCAGACACTTCAAAATATAACCTATAGCAGTGCTTCTCAATCTTTAATTAGTGACATTATCAACCATTGGGAACAGAGTTAAGAATGCAGGTAGTGACTCAGTAGGTCTGGGATTCTGCATTGCGAGTAAAAGACCAGCTGGTGGTAAATGTTTTTGGTGTGCAAAACACACTTCGGGTATCAAGGACCTTTAAGATACTTTTTGGGAACTAAGACTTGTGGTGCCTCACATTAAGTTGCTGCCTGCAATGCTGGCATACCACATGAGCACACGTTGAAGTCGTGGCTGCTCCACTTCAGCTCTGGCTCCCTGCTGCTGCTCCTGGGAAGGCTGCAGCAGATGGTCTTAGTGCTTGGGCCCTACCACCCACGTGAGAAGCATGGCTGCAGTGCAAGGCTCCTGGATTCAGCATGGTGCAGCCCCAGTCACTGTAGTTCACTGGAGAGTAAACCAGCAGATATAAGAGCTTTCTCCCTCTCCATCTTCCAAATAAATAAATATATCTTTTTTTTTGTTCAGTGTTTTCCTGTTCTTTCTGAACAGGATATTCTTGTGGATTAACTAGTCTCTAAACAAATTATATATCATTCTCTCTACATATTTTACTCACTTTCATTAAGTCCCCATGATCTCCATTCTTACTACTAATCTTTCAGGTCTACACACAATCTTTAAGTCTACACATATTTTTCTAACGAATCTGACATGATTTCCTAAAACAAATAAGCTTTCTGTTTTCTATGAATCACCAAATCATTTAAGAAATTCTTATACTATATATTTATTATACTGTATAATGTCCTAATGATACCACAGATAAAGAAACTGAGGAATTAAGTAACTTGCCCAAGATCACACTTGGTTAGTGGCAGGTCGGAGATCTGAACTCAGGTTGGCTCTGAGCTTCCACACTTTTAACCACTATGCTAATATGCTTCCTCTTACAGTGGTGCCTATTTAATGCTCTACATTCTATAGTTGTGCAACTTTTCCATCCCTAGTCCCCACCTGCTAGTCTGCAAATAATATGCTCCTTGAGCATAAAATATACTTAATTTATTCCATCTTTCTTTGTATTACAGCAAAGGGAACACTTTGCACATAAAAGGAATGACATTTAATAATCATAAAGAACTCAGCACAAAGCTGAAGAGAGACTAGGCTCTGGATGTCTTACATTCAAGCAATAAGCATCTCAGAGGGGCATATGGCCAAGCAGCTAGGACCCAGTTTGACTTCCACAGCCCACATTATACTGCCTGGGTTTGTGCTGATTCTGGCTTCCTGTTAATACACGAACGTTAATGCTGTCCTGGGTCCCTGGCGTCCACTGGCCATCCATGACTGAGTTTTTGGCCCCTGTTTTTGGTTGGCCCAGCCCAGGCTGCTGTAGGAATTTGAAGAGCAAACCAGCAGATAGAAGATTTGCCTTTTCAGCCCGGCGCGATGGCACAGTGGTTAAGGTCCTCGCCTTGCACGCCCGGGATCCCATATGGGTGCCGGTCTAATCCCGGCGGCCCCGCTTCCCATCCACCTCCCTGCCTGTGGCCTGGGACAGCAGTCGAGGACCGCCCAAAGCTTTGGGACCCTGCACCCGCGTGGGAGACCTAGAAGAGGCTCCTGGCTTTGGATCGGCATAGCATTGGCCGTTGTGCTCACTTGGGGAGTGAACCATTGGACGGAAGATCTTCCTCTCTATCTCTCCTGTCTGTATATCTGCCTTTCCAATAAAAATAAAATAAATCTTTAAAAAAAAAAAAGATTTGCCTTTTTCTAGGTCTGTCCGCCTTGTAAAGAACAAAAATTTCTCTGATTCTCAGAGAATCAGAGAAATGGAGTTAGAAATCTATTTGTAAACACAAGTTTTTCTATTCTTTATTTGCATATTTCTTCTTAGCAGCAACAGCTAGTTTTGTAGTTTTAAAAAACTTCTGCAGGGCAATGTTTCTCAGCTTTTTAATTTCTGGCCACACCTACCCCCCGACTGATAGAGGCAATGGTTTGGACAGTGTCTAACATGCACCTTACAATGTCTCAAACAGAACTTCTCACTCACTGTTGGCTATTTACAGTGTATAAGTGACATGTTCTATGCTAACTTGATTTGTAAGTTATATGCTACACAAGAAATATTCTCTCTCAAACGCCCTTAATTTTTTCCAGTAGACATTAGTCATTTCTCTTTCAAACTTTGCTCCAGAGTGGTCTTTCCAAACAGAGATTTGATTATGTCACTCTTTGCTCTAAATTCTGCAATGGTTATGCCCTTTCCTTCGTCAAGATAAAATGTGGTAACATTGTGAACGCAGCTACTGCTTCTGCAGCTCACCTCTGCCAACTACATTGGAACCTATTGCATCTATATGGATTTCCTTGGCGTTGTCCTACAGTTCTACAGACTACAGAAAAAAATCTCCACACATAGTTAGCTTTGACTTTACTCCCAGGACACATTTCTGGGTTACTGCATTGCTTTCTTTCTTCCTTTTTTAAAATTAGAAAACAACTAAATATGTTCAAAGAATATAAAGTGAGGATTTGAAATATTTTCACATTATGTACTGATTACTCTATATTCCCTTTTGCTACCAAGTTCATTGCTTTTTCCTTGCCTGCCTTCCTTCCTCTGGTTAAGATTTCCTCTCTTTGAAGATCTGCTTTGGGGTAGGTGATGTGGCACAGCATGTTATGACATTATGTTGTGCCAGTTCCAATCCTGGCTACTCTGCTTCCAACCCAGCTTCCTGCTGACTCATCTTGCAGGGTTGGATGGCAGGAAGGCGCCTGGAGCAGATGAAAGCTTCAAGGGCTTGGGCCCCTGTTACTCATGCGGGAGACCCAGATGGGGTCCTGAGCTCTGTCCTGGCCCAGCCCTGGCTCCTGTGGGCACCTATGGAGCAAACCAGCAGGCGAAGGAGCTGTCTCTGTCACTTCTGCCTTTTAAGCAGGTAAAAACAAAACACAACAAATTGTTTGCTTATCACATGTAACCCATTTTCATAGCTCCTGAATCCATACATCAACTAATTTCAGACATTTCTCAACGCTTTTTTCTTTATGCTTTTTAATGTGGGAGAATCAATTTTAATTAAGCTAAATTTCCTTGAACATCAGTTTGTTATATTTTATTAGCAACAGCTCTTCCTCTGTTGCTTTGTGGATACCTGGTTAAAAGAAGCTTTTGATTATGATGCCGAAAAGGAAACAAAAACTTACATTGAGGAAAGCTGACGAAGCCACTCTACCAGCCGCTACAATAAAATCCATAATAAGCATTGTGGCACCAGGCAAGCCAAGTGAAAAAAACTGAGGTGAGCAGTGCTTGATGATTGTATTGACAATATCCTTGGAAATAGGCGAGAGGGGGTAAGACAGAATATCAGACATGTAATCTTCGCTATCAGCTAATCAATATTCTTAAAATAGGCAATATATGGAATAAAAAAGGTAATTACTACACATCGACTGATTGGCAACACTAATTTTCATTTTTCCAAATAATCCATGCTTTGTATGATACTCTGTATACTCTTATAACTCGTCTGTTTTCTGTAAGTAACAAGCGTGTTTTTCACACTTCAGAGGGCTAAAAATTTAAGGCCACCCATTTTGAAAGTGGACTGCCGAGTAGTTTTTCGTCCCACCTGTCTGTCTCCAGTGATAATGTCTCTGAAGCCACGTGATCTGCTGTATGGTAATGGAAAGATTCTATCAGATAAATTAAATTGTATTTAGCCTCAGAAGTCTAAACACAGGTTCCTTTGAGAGATTATTCATAGCTTGGTTTTTCACTCACTTTCTCTTTGGTTATGTTTCTCAATCTGGCTTATCTGAAACAGAGGCTTTCTATTTCTAGTAATGAGGGCTGTTAGCTTATTTGATGTGTTCATAAGGCAGAACACTAAATAAGCTTCAAATAAGTGCAACAATATTTTTTCATTTTTTAGATATAATTATCACTTTTACATCAATTTAATATACTCTAAAATGACCTGCAAATGAATTCTATACATATTAGGACAAATATATATATTTACTTATTTGCTACATTTTAAATTTTATAGCCAAGGTCAAGAACACATGAACTAATGTTCTAATTAAGAGCTATGATTTTTTCAATGACTGTGAATGATCAAATATGCCAAGCCAGTGTCACTATGTCAACCCAATCAATGACAGTAAGAAAAGGCGACATGTGGAGTTTCACACTGAAATGAACTTCTGGACACACCAGGACAAGAAGCAAATCCACAGGCCTGAAGCATCATCAAGCAACACTTACAAAATGCCTTAGAAGAACAGTGGAACACTAAAAGAAAGATGGTGTCAACTGAAGCAATGGATTTAATTGCTTCCAAAAACACAATAATTGGTTTAAAGTGAGTGGAACAGTCAAATCAACCTATGATTTCAGGAGCTTGTTTATCAACTACGTTGCATAACAAAAAAGGACATGAAAACAAAGCCAAATAAAGGGGACAGTTTTATCACTACACCTTCAAAACAAAGAGTTAAGTATATCAAGATGTAAAGATAAACTGATAAAACAAGTTTTTAGAAGTATATCCACTTACCTGATCGATATGAAGTAACCCACAGTGCATTATATTGTAGAAATGTGTCAGAAAATCTCTATTTGGAGACACATCTTGTCTTCTTTTCATCGTGTTACAAATAAGTTTGTAAGCATGTAGCTTACCTTGCTTGTATTTATCAGTCAACATGGTTGCCTAAAATTGAGATCAGTTTTAATACTGAAAAACCAAGCAATGTTCAGTAAACACTTAAACGATACAGCAAGTATTATATTTGTTTTCATGGAATTCTACCCTGATCCATCTTCTGTAAGAAACCAAAACTCAGGACTACTGAAACTTTTTACCAACCAACAGAATGTAGATCTGAATAAGCACAAATTGTTTCACTTAAGAAAATGTTCCAATTGCTGCAAAGGTATTTAATCTCTAAAGGCACAGTGCATTATTTTGTGATATAAACTTAAGCCTATATCTCACTTACCTATAAAGAAATTTTATACCTATTGTTTCATTTCCTAAGCAAACAAACGTGATGCGTCCTGTGTAACAATTTTGCCATGTGCTCTCTCTTTTCTCCACAAAATGCCTAGTAACTTAAGAATACTAGCGAAAAATTTTAAGTGCTCTGGGAGCGTATACAACTCCCAAAATTTCTATCCAATGTTTTAGACTTGTTTGCTAAATTTTAAAATGATAAACAGAAACACCTTACACTGGAAGCTTACCTTGAAGAGCCAAGGTGTAAGAATCCTCAGTGGAGGGATCAGAACCGGTGGCGAAGGCGAGGTGAGGTTATCAGTGGAGATGCCGAGGTTATCTCTGATCTGTAATCGGCAAATGAAAGGTAACAAACCTATGAAAACTGTTTGCTCTCCCTGTTTGCTTCAACCTCAAGTTGAAATCCAGTTTCTACCACTAACTAGAGAATGAACTACATTTACATGACTTCACTGTGCTTCCTCCCAGTCCATCAGAGCACATGTGTCAACACACAGACTCTTCTATCTCTTACTACTCGTTTTTTCCTGTCCTTATTTGTTAATGTCTTTTTTTTTTTTTACCTTGGCCAGATTTTGCCACAGTTCACAGAGGTAATCAAATACTTGAGCGTGTATTTCAGGATCCATGATAGAATTGACATCGCCCAGAATGCCTAGCATTCTCCTCCACATTACAGTAGCAACGTCAGCATGCCATCCGGTGAGGGTCCCCCCCGCCATCACACTGCAACATTCAGATGGAAATTCACTGATTTCTATAGGGGAAAAAAAAAACAGTATGACAGTGTCAAGTCATTTTTCAGAAAATTAACAAACAGCAAAAAATCCAAGAACCAACTTAAATGAATAATTTAAAATATCTGCAAAAGTCAACAGAAGAGATGCCAGTGTACATTAGTGTCAATAACCTCCGACAAGGTCAAGGTCTCTGACTACTGAATTCTTCACTAGGGCAATAATTACATTCATCTTATCATAGGACACATACTCTGAAGTATTTGGGTATGAAAGGTCTGGTACTTAAAATTCACTCTTAAATGGCTCAAAAAAAGGATATAAGAAAGAATTTTTGTGCACATATGGATGCTTATCTATTTATAGACTCAAGTGGCAAAAGATGAACTAGTGAATTTGTCAAGAGTTTATGGTTGTTCATTGTTCTACCTTTGTAGCTTTTTTCTTTGAAATTGTATCCAAATGTTAGGGGAAAATTATTTAAAAAAAAAAAAAAAAAACTATGGGAAAGGAGCCAATGTGGTGACATAACAGGCCATAACTCTCTGCCCAAGGAGCCATCAATCCTTATTGGTGCCAGTTCTAGACTAAGCTGCTCTGCCTCTGCTGCAGCTCCCTGCCAACGGCCTGGGAAGCAGTGGAGAATGGCCCAACTTCTTAGGTCCCTGGACCCATACGGGAGTCCCAGAAGCACTTCCGATTCCCAGCCTCAAAAAAGGCCCCCCGTTACGGTCATGGTGGATATTTCTAGAGTAAACCAGCAGATGGAAGACTCTGTCATTTCCTTTGTCTGTTAACTCTTTAAAGTAAAATACAATAAATCTTAATTTCTTTTTTTAAAACCATGAGCCAAATGCAGGAAAATAAAAAAGGTCAAAAATAACCCACAAACCGGAATATTAGGGATATGTGATTGCAAAGTAATTCCATGTCAAAGAATGGCCCCACTTTAAAAGCCCTGCCATTAGAGTTCGAGAGTTTGGGGTCCGGCGTGATAGCGTTTGTGGTTAAGGTCCTCGCCTTGAACGCGCCCGGGATCCCATATGGGTGCTGGTTCTAGTCCCGGCGGCTCTACTTCGCATCCAACTCCCTGCTTGTGGCCTGGGAGGGCAGTCGAGGATGACCCAAGGCCTTGGGACCCTGCACCCGCGTAGGAGACCTGGAAAGAGGTTCCTGGCTCCTGGTTTTGGCTCAGCACAGTTGCAGCCACTTGGGGAGTAAATCAACAGACAAAAGATCTTCCTCTCTGTCTTTCCTCCTCTCTGTACAACTGCCTTTCCAATAAAATAAATCTTAAAAAAAAAAAGAAAAGAGTTGGAGAGTTTTTCCTTTGGTCAGAGAGTAAAGGTGCTGCAGTACTAATGAAAACAAGCTTTTCATATTATTCACTGCAGTTACTTCATCAACTATACCTGACTGAAGTCGCTGGCATATCTACAAAACGTCTTTCTGGTGCTTGTTACATCACAGACAATTCAGAGTAAAAAATTTTTCTTAAAATGTAGCTTCTAAACTTCCCAATTCACTTTTTAATATTTACATAAAAATAGAAAAACTTTCATTTAGATCATTTACATTTTACTTATATTTGCTAGTACTCTTGCAGAATCAAAATCATTAGAAACACTGAAGCTTGCTTAACCAGTGATAATGCTACTATCAGGGATAACACCAAGAATGATAATGCTGGGACCAGTGCTGTGGCACAGGGTGTTACACCTCCGCCTGTAGTGTATCCCATAGGGGTACATCCCATATGAGTGTTCATTTGATTCCTGGCTATTTCACTTCAGATCAAGCCCTGTTACTATGCCCGGGAAGGTGGCAGAGGATGGCCCACATATGTGGGCCCATGCAACCAAATGGCAGACCCAGAGGAAACTCTGAGCTCATGGCTTCAGAATGGCCGAGCTCAGGCCATTTGCAACTATTTGGGGAATGAAGCTGTAGATTAAGGCCTTCTCTGTCTCTGCTGCTTTCTCTGTAAAGATGCATTTTAAATAAAAATAAATGAATCTTAAAAACAAAACAAAACAAAAAAAGCGATGCCAGGGCTAGCAGGGCCAGCGCTGTGGCATAGCGTGTTAATCTGCAATCTGCAATGCTGGTATCCTACACGGGCTCCAGTTCCCATTCTGGCTGTTCCACTCCAGCTCCCTGATAATGGGCTAGGAAAAGCAGTGGAAGTGGCCCCAGTGTTTGGGTCCTTGCCACCCACATGAGACTCCGGAAGAAGCTCCTGGCTCAGGTGTGCTTCAGTCCCAGCCACTGTGGCCATTTGGGGAGTGAACCAGCACATGGAAAATCTCGATCTTTTCCTCTCTATGTATCTCTAACTTTCAAATAAGTCTATTAAAAAGAAAAAAAAAATAAAGAATTCCAGTGCCAAGCACGCACTGTCTAGCAGTCAAGGCACCCACATGCTATAGCTACAAGCTGGGGCCTGCTGCCTGGCTCCGGCTCCGACTCCTGACTGCAGCTTCCTGCCAGCACAGCCGCTGGGAGGCAGACATCCTCCCTCACATGACTGAGCTCCTGAAACCTGCAGGGCGGAACAGAACTGATTTCCAGCCTTAGAGCTTTGGCTACACCCAGCTCTACTCACTGCTGGGCATTTGGGAGTCAACTGCCAAGCAGGTGCACTCTCCTAAATGCGTAAAGATTAGAACTAATTATCGCGTGTACTGGTTAGCCCTTGCTTTAGGAACAAGCAATAAAGCAAGCACTAACTGAAAGATTGTGATCAACTATTACAAAACAAGTCAAAATTAGGGTACAAATTTCTTTGAGCAAGAAAAAGAATGTTAGAGCAACACATTTCCAAAAGATCTATGAATGTCTAGATTTATGGGCATCATATATATAATCAAACTTAAGATGCCTTATTTAAGATTTCCTGATACTAATGCCTCGAATCATAGCCCAGAGCCGATTTCCAAACATTGCCTAGGTCATCCGGCGTCTGCAGGACTGAGTGGTGGAGCTTCTCGTCAAGCTGCAGGTCCTTCTGCTCCAGGGGATCCATGTGCAGGGCCGAGGGAGAAGGCGTCTGCGACCGGGACCCCAGGGCCGAGGGCACTGGCGAGGCACTCTCTGAACCTGTGAACACAATGCCAGAAAGTTCACACTGGAGCCTCGTTAGACCCTACCTAGGACGCAATGCTGAAAATCCTCACAAACCAGAGAGTAAACGAAACAACCAAAGACACAGATTCCTAATTGGCAAACGAGGTCACTGAGGTGTCGGATAAGCTGTGTACCTAGCCTCAATGCGTGCGTCTCACGGCACTAGCCTGGAGTTAGAACTTGACACACTGAGCACAGCAGGCGTCGGGGACAGGAGTCTCACTCCCACTTCCTGGTGCAACCACAGAAGCTCTGCTCTGCTACCTTACTTACTACAGACCTGAGGCAATTCTCTCCTGGCCCCTGTGGTGCCACTGTGACTGCTAGCTTGGTTTCCAGTGGACCCAAGCCTCCAGCTGACAGTGGATCCCTCTCCTTGGTCATTCTTCCCAATTCACGCTGCGTAAGGCAGCAAAGAGAACTAAAAATCTAAGTGGGGTCAGCATGTGGCGTAACAGGTTAAGATGCCTCCTGCGGTGTTGAAATCCCAAATGATTACTGGTTTGAGTCTCAGCTGTTCCACTTCTGTTTCAGCTCCCTGCTAATCTACCCAGGGAAACAGCAGATGATGGACTCGGTGCTTGGGCCTCTGCACCCACATAGAAACTTGGAAGATGCTCCAGGTTCCTGGTTTTGGCACGCCACAGCCCTGGGAAGTGCATCCACTTGGGAAGTGAAATCAGTGGATGGAAGACCTCTCTGTATCTCCTTCCTTCTCTGTAACTCAGCCTTTCAAATAAAACAGTTGTTTGTACACCTATTTTTATTTTAATCTAACTTAATCTCACCAATCTGTTAAAATCCTTCAATGGTTCCTCCTCGGCTTTAGCATAAGGCCAAATGTCTTAACATAGTTTTTATATCTTGCAACTTTCTTACTTCTCCCCCTTCCATCAAGACATTTTTTTTCATTCCACTACAGGATATAAACCTCTTATATTTTCAATTAATCATACGTTCGGCAATGTTTACCCACTCATCAGTTCATGGACATTTAGGTTGTTCTCCAGTTTTAGTTACTGCCATGAACTTGTACAGGTAACTATCAAAGGGAAGCATCTAGGAACAGGCATGTGGTAAGTGTGTGTTTAACTTGAAAAAATATTGTGTCTCCATAGCGGTTTCAGTCTTTTCCACTTCTAGTAACAACACACAACATGAAATTTCCAATTGTTCCATACCATTCTCAACACTTTTAATACTCAGTGTTTTTAACTCCAGGTGTTTAATATGTGTAATGTTATCTCATTGTGTTTTCATTTGCATTCTTTGATCACTAGTAATGTTGCATACTTTCTTCATTTACAGTTTTTCAAAGAACTACAGTAAACATTGCTCATTATGAAATAAGAACCTTCTTTGATCCTTATCTAAGTAATTTGGCTTTTTATAAGGTTTTATTTATTTTTATTGAAAGGGGGAACAGCAGTAAAACAGAGAGGAGGGGAGAGTAGGTGGGGACCAGAGGCAGGCAGACACACCTTCCATCAGTTGCCTTACTCCCTCACATGGCTGCAAGACCAGCAGCTGTCCCGGCTGAAGCCAGGAGACCAGGATTCTTCCTGTGCAGCCCCTATGGGTGGCAGGAGGTGGCACTGCAGGTGCCCGGGCAGCATCTGGACTGCTGTACCACAATGCCTGCCTCTGAGTAGTTCAAACCCTGTGATGAAGGCCTGCTGACCTAACCCAACTGGTCTCTGTCCTTCATTCAAGCCCTGTTCCCTGATGGAGCAGGCTAAAACCCCTACTGTTTGGGAAGTAGGAGGCAGGAAATGAAAATACAAGAATGGGCTCTTGCTTATCTAGTATTTCCCCAATTTCATTTCATTCATCTGGATTGGCTACAAAACATGCCTAATTCCAGGAGGCAGAGATCACTGCTCTGGTCATGTGTGTTCCAGCCAAACACAGGACAGCAAAATCACCCAACTGATATTGAAGCAGGAATGGATAACAACCTCTCCAAGTCTCACGTAGGCAGAAACTACAGCTGGCTCATGCAGCTGATCACCCAGAACTAGGATCCACTAACTTCTCAGGCTCACTCTGGTCACTGCACTAACCTTTTAATAAACATAACTGACTGCTTCCCAACTCCATCTGCTGTATTCATGGTTGGGTTTAACTGATTGTATGCACACCCTGGAAGGCAACAGGTACTGGTGCAAGTATTTCACAGTCCCTGCCACCCAAACGGGAGATGTGCAGTGACTTCTGGGCACCTGGCTTTGGCCTGGCACAACCTGGCAAGTTGAGGCAATCAGGGAGTAAATCAGCTCATCAAAGACCTCCCTCTGTCTCCTTGCCTTTCCAATACAGTAACATAAACAATAAATTTAAAATGCTACAGCTATATTTTTTTAGTACTTAAAATGGTTTTGCCAGTTACTAAAAAAGGTAACTGTGGAAAATGCTTTATCATACGTACATGCAGAATTCTGCAAATACTATTGAGTTCACAGACTCCGCTGAGGCTTATGCACATGACGTAGACTCAAAACACTGTTAAATTTTATTTTCCCTTCTGCTATACAATAAAGATGAGTGGAAAAAAATAGCGGTAATACTTAAAATTATACTTAGGTTCTCTGGAACATGTGAAAAAGACACTGAAGGAATACATTCCATTAGATAGCTTTACCAGTAACAGTTGCCACTTCAGCCGAGAAAGCTTGCTGGTTAAGGCTGTTTGTTTCAGAATCTATGTGAAGTGTGGTCAGACTGGCTACTTCCTGCTCTTCAGCACTCTGAGGATGGCCAGAACCTGAATCCACATCAGTGGAGGATGCAATCCCAGTGTCGGCTCCGAAGCCAAAATCTGGAGAGAGAAGATATGCTATAGCATTTGACTCTCAATCACAAAAGACATACGTACAAAACAGGCACAACTAAATCAGCAAAATCATCAAATGCCAATATACTCCCTAAATAGATTATATCTAAGTATTACTCAAGCCAAGTATCAGGCTAACACAACGAGGATTACAAATAAAAACATAGATTCCTATAACTTATTATTAGCATTAACTTATTATTAACATCAATTAAGACGCATATGATTTGTCATTGTTACTCTTATCCATTTTCTGCTAGCTGATGACAAACACACTTACCTCTTTTCAAATATTATATAATCTCCAATAGTGGAATATATGGTAAGATGACATATTTATGGTAAAAACCATCTTTATTTTAAAGTCACATGCCAGTCTGAGATTACAGTACTGTACAATTCATAATTGGAAGAAACACGTAGTTCCACAAAACATCTCTCTCAGCTTCTTACAAACTCGGTTCCCAACATCTTGGCTTTTATTTTTTTTAAAAAAATTCTGGTATTCTCTACTGACTGCCAAGGATGAAACAGAATCACAGTGGAATAGCTATGTGACAGCAATACAGCACAAGGCCACATCACAAGGCAGCTACTCAGCAAGGCCCCGGCTCTATTGCATTCTACGGATCTGGCCGGTACCCCAACTGTGAGTCTGTGCAACAGGCACCTCATCACCACGGCTAGGCTGCATCTGAATAACAAATCAATCCTAAACTATTTTTCTTTCTACACTGTCCGAGAGTCCACTGTTTCTCTGTTTTTCAGATGCTTTTAGTTTTGCCAATAGTCTGAGATGACTGCTTAAAATCACTTTAGGAATTTCACCAAGAGGTAAAATAAGAACATGGGGAATCATAGAGTGACACTGGTGAGGATGCTCCTAAGGGAAGCAATGAACAGAACACAGGACTCAGACAGGAAGATACTTGCTGTCAAACTTCCGGCCATCATACTGGAAGGCGCTGAAGGAATCCGAGTGACTGTCGGAGCTGATCAGGTCGCTGCTCCCCGCGCTGGCGGGCGAGGTCCACTCGGAGGGCACACCAGGGTCGTCCACCGGGCGCGGCTGGTTCTGCTTGTTGAGAATATCCGGGAGGTCTTTGGGAATTTCAAGGCCACCAGGACTACTTCCTCTTCTCGTCATGATCTGAAAATTCAAGAAACACTTTACCATTAAAAAATAAATAAATAACTTGTTTTTCATTCTCCTTAGACATATGAGACATTTAATTTCTAAGATAACCATGGTGAAAAATACTGAGATTTGGGACCTGAAGTAGAAACGATAAAATTCACTCAATGACCACCCTAGGTCACTGAATGTAACTGAAGCCTGAACTAAAAGCAAAGACCCAAATATCAGATGGTGCTGAGCCTGAGAACCAGGCAGTGAATGCAAGCCAAAACATCAGGATAGCAGCAGCAGACAGGGAGAGAGGCAGGAACCATGGTAACAACACGCACCTATAATAATTCTAAAACAACTTTCACCCACCCCCAAGAAACAAGCCTAGTTTAAAAACTGCACTTTTGGGTTTGGCATTGTGCCATAACGAGTTAAGCTTCAGCTGGTAACATTGGCATTCCACAGGAGCGCCAGTTCAAGTCCCGGCTGCTCCACTTCGATCCAGCTCCCTGCTAACGGCTTGGGAAAACAGAAAATGGCTCAAGCAGCCACACCGCAGGCTTGGATGAAGTGTCTTTTCTGATTTGGCTTGGTCAAACCCGCCAGCGACTGCAGCCATTTGGGGAATGAGCCAGGAGATGGAGGATCCTGCGCATGCTCCTTTCTCTCTCTCCCTCGCTCCCTTCCTCCCTCTCTCATCTCTGTCTCTGTCTCTCTCCCTCCCCCATCTCCACCCCAGCCCCTTCTTCCCTTCAACTCTGCCTTTCACATAAATCTTTTTCTTTTTTAAATCCACTTTCAGGAATCCGTTTCTAACAACTAAACATTCCTAGTGATAACAAAAAGTCTAGTCTCATTTTGCCATGATCATAACATTCAAGATCAAAGTAACTTTTAAGCCCTTCAAGGATATCTGGAAGGTCACTTGTGCTGTTAGAACCACGAGGCAAGACTAGTAAGACTTCATTTCTTCTGCTGAGAGCTGGTGACGGTGCCAGGGTAACGGACGAGACAAGAGCTGCTCAGCTGGCAAAGCAGTGGCTCACACGTCTGCATGGGAGCATATGGGCATTCCAATCTCACCCTGGTGGAGCCTGCTCCATTCACATCTTGATTTACTCACACAAATTGTTAAATTTGGGGGGAAGCATGCTTTGAATAAAAATGTTCAACTATCCATGGCACACACACAAAAATGTATCTTTTAGTTTCTTTCCCCCTTTCTCTTCAAACTAAATGAGTGAAACAGTAAAACTTACCGAGGCATTACCACTTCGGAGTCGTTCTGCTATAAACTCATCCATCAGATCGGGAACATTAGCACTGCTGCTGCCAATATCACTATTAAGAGGAGGCAGTTTGGGGCTCACGTCCTCTTTATTGACTAAAAGTAAATAAATAACTATATATAATGAGGAAAAACTTAACTGCATTTTCTACACTTGAATAAACAAAACAACCCCCAACAAAATACCTTATGCCACATTAATTTGCCAAACATGCACTTTATGAATAATTTCCCTTTTTAGATTTAAGAATTAGTACATTGATATTTACTTTATATAACTAAGCAGATGTTAGTCAATCTTCAGTATAACCTTATCCAGCAAGAAAGCTTACAGATAAGCATGAGTTGGAAGTTAGGTTAATATTGCCTATAAAGAAACTGGTATATTTATCTTTCTTCCTGCCTCTATGCTAAAATTTAGAGCCTGAAGAATTTATAATTCCAATTTTTACTCAAAGAATGCAATCAAGGAATATATCCCTTGAATCTATGCAAACCTCAGTAGGCCATAAGTACCTCAAAATTTGGATAAGAATTTTTATGTTAATACATGATTTCTACCATAAAATTTAATTTTAGAGCTTGAAGAAAAGCTTCACAAAGTCTTTAATGTTAAAAAAAATCCACAATAATCATTTCAATTTTTTTTATGACATCAGAATTTACATTACCACAAAAATTTTAAACTTGGAGAATTAACATAGGAAAAAAGATGCTGTCTGTCAGGACTGTGCTGTTCGAAAGTTGATTTCTCTGTAGTAATAAAATCAGGACTACTTATATTTCTAATAAACTACAAAGCATTTCAGGCTAAGAAAAATATACTGGTCAGAAGTTCACTGTGAAATACCATTATCTTTATATCACCGGCCAGGCTTTGCTGCGCTGTCAAATACTGCCCTCAAGTGGCATTAATGGCTCAATGCAAGATGCATTATATAGCATTGTTAATCATGCTAACAAAACCACGTTAAAATAAAATAAAAACCTACCTTACTGCTGAAAGTTAATTTTGTAAGTCCATAAAGTTATCTTAACTTTGAATTAAGATTAAATGGTTACCATACTCTTTGTTTCTGCACTCTGTTCAGAGGCTCCATATTTAAACTATGATTGACTATCATGAAACCTTTACGCATATCTGAAATCTCAGATAAGAGGAAATAGTTAAGTGTTCAAGGACATAATCAGCATTCCACAGCCGAATGCAAAACCAAAAGAGCCTACAGCATGCTTGGAAATGGCTTAAAAGTGACTGAATCTATTTCAAAATTTAAGATGCGATTTCTGCTCCAACAACAGTTACAATGTTTGCGCTGGTTCTAGAATGTGGCTTTCTTTTATGCTTGATGTCAAAGTAATTTTCTATGAGAAAAAAAAACACACATAAAACTAGATTTATTGGCACTAAAGATAAACTTGATTATGTATTTTTAAATCTGATGTCCTTCTAGACGTAACAGACACTGGGGTGAGGGACAAAGCGTAACAACTCCTCAGCCACTCAGTGCTAGAGATTCAGAAAAAACCTCTGACTTCGGTAGCCTTGGAAAGGTCGTCAAGATTTTCTTAGTTCTTCCTCTTTCCTATCCTACTGTTCAGCAGCAAAGAGGTTTAACTATAGGCCTTGGAAGGGAAATTAGTAACTTAAATAAACATTGTATGCTGGGGAAAGGCGCATGCATAACCAAACAGAGAGAAAGCAGTGACCATCCCAAAGCTTTTTGATTGCTCATAGCTTGCTTCAGCTGCACCAAGCCAGACTGGTGCTGTCTTTCTCCTTTTGCGCTCTGCACACTGTTAGTGCTCACCTGCAGCCTTCCTTCCAAAATAGCCCATTACATGACTGTACAGATCCCTCAGTGGCGCCTCTGGTGGCATTCTGTTCTGCCTCTGTGGGGAAACATTTGCCTTCGGCTTCGAAAGAGCATGTACAACAGTTTTATAAACGCCACCCAGGGAGCCCTGCGGTAGTCCTGCCTCGTGACTCGATGGCCTAAGGGTGCTACGACTACCTGGCTGACCGCTGGCAACGTCTTCTCTTTGCAATACAGTGGTGGGAACCTCTGGGGATTCCCTCATTGCCTTGCTACTCACTGATGCTGTGCTAGGTGTATCTAGAGGCCGGTACACACCAGGTTTTACTAGATCTGAGCCAGCATTCGAACTGGCAGGGATGTTGCTGGTACTGCTACTGCTACTACTGCTGAAGCCCCCGAGCTTCCGGAGTCTCGTCTTCCATGGAGCCTCTTTGTTCTCCAGCGGATTGTAAAACTGAACTGACTCAGTAGATGGCCTAAAAGTAACATGGACGCTATTTCGCTTTTTAGTAGCAATTTTCATGATTTTGGCCCTGTGGGTTACTGTTTCAGACAAGCTCCTTTTAGTTGGAGAAAGCTTGCTAGTGCTGGAAACATGAGGCATTCTGCGGTTAACAGGTGCTTTTAGTGTAGTTTTCTTGGCATGCATAACATAGGGGACAGTGATTTTTTCATTAATTTGCACACCCTTAAGCTTTTCAACTACTGTTATGTCTACGCAGGCATCTAATTCTGTGGCTGTCTGTCTAAGCAGGTGTTTCCTTTTCTCTTTGTCACAGGGGCTCTCAGAACTAGACTCCGATGACTGCTTAGCAGTGCTCACTTGCTTAGATGCTTCCGAAGTTTGTGTTTTCCCAAAACTGTCTGACTGATTAGCTGCAATATGACTCATGAAGACAGCTGAGCTTGGTTCTTTTTGAAACTGCATGTTTTCTGGAGTCCCAGCGACAGAGGTGACATTTTCTGATTTAATTTCCTGATCTACATATTCCAACTTATCTAAGGATGAGCGTTCATCCCGACTTGCTGCAATAACCACTTCCTGAGAAGGTGCGACGCTACCTAGCTCATGTTTATCATGATTTTCCTGGTTTTCCTTAAAATATTCTTTCAGAGAGGAAAGAAGATCGTCATCTCCTTCAAGGTCAATGTACTGGATTTGTTCAAGGGCTGAATCTGCAAGTTCTACTGGACCTATCAAATGACAAAGATGATCATATATGCTATCACCAACTTCCAGAGAAGACTCTCTACTGTGGATGTCAGTGAGGTGGCTTTCAGTGGATCTAGTTATTGAAGAAGCCTCTGTGGAACTCTGCAAGCTTGGTGCGTGACGGGATGAACTGTCTACGACAGGAACTGCACCTTTGGCTCGCTCAACAGTGAATGGTTCCAGGATGTCGGAAGTGCTGCTGCTTCGAGGCAATGGCGGCTCCTCACTCAAGGCCCCAAAAACTTCACTGCCAGTTTCTTCGCTTTGTGAAAAATGCCTGACTCTGGTGGAGCGGGGAAGTATCTGAGCATCATCGATATCTGTAAAAGAGAACAATTACACAGAGTAGGAACCACACGAAGACACCAGATGCACTCATTCCAACCACAGCCTAAGCATATGTCTTAAAATTTAAAAAAAAAAAAAGAAAAAACTGAGAATTTTTATAAGCTCAATGAAGGAAAACCAATTAAAAATATAAATCTGTTCTTTTAAACAGAATGATGGATACAAGCCAATAGAGCGTGTAGTGTCAATGAATTAGAAAACTACCAAAACACATTTTTAATGTTAACATGCAGAGAAAACAATGGAGTAATGGAACATTTGGAAGTGCGGTTAAAGATAGAGCTGTGCCAATTAAATCAAGCAATTCAACCTTTTCGATTTTCCTAAACTCTAAGCAGACAAAATAGATCTTAGTAAACTTCATCCAAACATTCCACTGTAGACTTCTAGAGTCTCATCAATTCCCCTTCTTCATCCCGTTCTTCTCCCCCAATCACACTGCACCAGTGAACATCTTTACTCTCTTCCTAAACATCTGTCAGGAAATTGTTCTACTAAGCCGTTGGACTTTTATCATTGCATCAAATTCAGTACATTCTAAAAAATACTAATTATACCTTTCCATTTTTGACAAAACGCCATTTAAATTGCTAAAAAGAAATCTTACCTATCTATCAGTGGCCCTTTTTCATTAAGTAACCATCACCCTCTAAAAACCTAACCTACAAGTTCTTTCCCTCTCTAAGAATCTGAGCTTTTGGAGTCAATGTGGATCAGAGGTCATCTATTTGAACCCTGTTACAGAGGAGGAAACTGCCGCCCCACAGGTCAGGTGACTTCCTCAAGGTTACAGTCACAGTCTTGAGAGCTCAGCTTAGTGTTCCATGTCACCACACAGTTCTCATTGCCTTAAATGCTAAGGACATGGGGGAACCCTGAAACACATGCATGAAACTAAAAATCGCAAGATTCAATATCATTTGGTTGTTCAAATTTATACAAATTCTCATAGAGGAATTTTTGGAGTAAAATATGATGTCTGAGTCCTTCATGGCTTTTAATTACATAGGAATTCTTTGTTTTCAGATGCCAACAAAATATAATGAAAAAAGGGGATGGAGTCAAAAGAGGAGTTATGGCTACTTATTAGGCATGTAATTAATGTAAAAGGTAAAAGTAACAAAAATGTGTCAGAACAAAATAAGATAATTTAGATGCAGACTAAAGCAGTGGCTATCCCAGGAACCCGAGGAACCTTGATATGAGGTCTAAAACTCAGGTTTCCTTGCTGTAGACTTTGGAGAGCAAGCTCCCCATTTCTAAAATGGGGATGGTCAAAGCATCACAGTATGGCAAGAGAAGGAAATTGTTTGGCTATTACATTATTATCTCCTTTTTATATGCTCCAAATTGATCTACTTTCAACAAAGGATTGTATTATGCCAAAATTCTGGAAGATTCCTGACGACCTATGTATAGGCTCTCAGTAAAGGTCAAGTCCAGAGTGTCAGGTGGAATCCAAACAAAGACTGCTGTCATCAGCTGAGGGGAACAGAGTACTTTAAAAATTAATACTGGCGTTCTTCAGGGAGCATTCTGCTTAGGTGTTTTTCTAAAGGAAAACCAAAATGTTTCCTTACAAACTTCATAAATATGTTACTGCAATACATAACTGATCCATGCTTGTGACTCTTGATGAATACATTTTGGCTTATTCTATCTCCCTGATAATATCTATCTGAAGGGGTTTCAAACATTCAAAATTCATTCAAACTCCTGAGTTTCATACCATACAATATTCCAAAAGATTCAGCAAAAAAAGATAAAGACTATGAAATCGCTTTATCAAAAGTCTTAAATATTTATAATTGGAATATCATTTCATGAATGCTCAAACTTCAAAACATTAAAATGCTACAAGACTAGCAAATATATGAACTTTAGAAAGAAAGATGACTAGTTTTAACATTTGTCTCCTTTTCAATATTTTGCAATGCTTTCATTACAAAGAAATCAGGAAAAATTACAGTGTAGTTATTTTTAGGAATTTTTTCCTAAACCTAGTCCTAACTTTTCTTATGAGGAAAGGCAACCACTACTATAGCCCTTGTGTTTCTTCCCTAAAATTTTGTTATTTATATATATGAGTATCTAAAACTTTAATGAAATGTTCAAAGGTCAAGGGCTTTTGAAAGCGTAATTGGATATTTTCTGGGAATAATAATACAGTGTTCTAGAATTCAAACAAGTATTTACATAGTTTTAATTTAAACATAAATCTTACAAGGGCACATGAGCAAACTAATTACAGAAAATCAAAGAAGTAAGCAATTGCTGATTGTTTAACAATGATAACACTTGACTTTGGCAAAGAAAATATACCTGAGTTTCACAGAGGACAAAAAAGCTAACTAAGGGCTGAACTACATTTAGTATCTTCAACATCCTTAGAATTATTCTGAACATATTATATATCTTAACTCCTTTAACTCTCCCAAAGCTTCATTAGGTAGATGTTACTATCTCTACTGTATCAACTGTTTAAGTAATTTGCTCCAGAATAGTGATTTGAAAGCATATTACTCTGTAGTCTTAATGTTTTTTCTTTCCCACCAAGATAATTGTATTTGAAAGGCAGAGTGACAAGGAAAAAGAACTATTCCATCTGCTGGTTCACTCTCCAAACTGCAGAAATGGCTGAGGCTGGGCCAGCCAAGGGCAGCAAGAGCAGGAACTCCACCTGGGTCTCCCTGTGGGTACAAAGGACCCAAGCATTGGGGAAAACTTGCACTGCCTCCCCAGGTCCCTTTAACTGGTAGAAGACGAGAAGTAGCAAAGCTGGGAGCTCTGCTGTGGGATGCCAACAATCCAAGCAGCTGTTTAATTTGCTGTACCAAAATGTCGATGCTAATTTTAACAGAATCATAATCTTTTGAATGTGCTATGTATCTCACATATATTTTATATTTTGCAACAATTTGCTAATTTCATAAAGAAAATTTAGGAGCTGGCAAAATTAACTGTATTATAAAGAAATACTGTTGCAGGAACTGGAGGCGTGAACCAGTGTAAGCAACTTTTCAGTCTCTTGCTGCCTTCCAAATAAAATGAAAATAAATTTGAAAAACAAACAGTAAAGCAGCATGTGGATTTATCTTACAAATAAAAATACAGCAAAATAAAATATGAGCAAATTATACAGAGGAAAAGAATTTAGAAGCTGAATACGTGGCTCAATGTTTTTAAAATAAGAGGCTTTAGATTTTCATCTTAAGTGTTAAAATTCCTTAATGAGGAAAGTAGAGAAATCTTTCCACCAGCAACAAAAAGGAAGGCTTCCGCACACAGAGGAAAACCTCCCTGTAGCGTCTACAGGTTATAAAAATGTCACATTTTACTTCCAGGTTTATTTAATAATGCTCAGCATTGGACAGTATTGCTAGATTTTAAAAACAGGTTTTTTTTTCCCTTACCATTGTATTTCAAATCAAAGTTTTCTTTAAAAGTTTCAAAAGCTGAGCACTTAAGTGTATTAGTTTGTAACATCTAAGGAAAAAGTTCTTTTGCCTAGAATTTAAGTTTCTTGGTCATTTTTGTCTTACTCATCAAATATCCTCAGGGCTTTGAGGGGTATTTGTAACACAGTATGCACTTAATCAATAACCTATACATTAAAACATTATAGTATTTTATAAAATATAAATAAATAGGGCAAGTAGAAAGCACGCTTCTTCCGTGAAGTTGAATCCTGCTACTTGGTAAAGGTTAAGCTAATTTCTCAAGAGAAAACCTATTGAATATAGATTACTATTTCACTACAAAATTTTAATACTCTCTGAAACTCATTTTTACCAAAATTAGATATTTTTTTTAATCACATACAAATATGAACTACAGTGCGTTTATGGCTACTGATTCTAAAGTACATTTACATTATTTTACACAGAAACTGATGATGTTTTGAAACTCAAGTATTTTCTAATTACGTAAAGGGAATAACAATGTAAAGACAAAAAGAGCATTTGTGTTTGAAATTTCATTATTGAGAGGCTACTACAGATTCTACATCTTCTAAAGCATCATTTATGTCACCTGAAATCATTTGAAATGAGTGAAAAACAACAAACTAACTTCGGTGATTCTGAACCCCTAAGTTTAGCCCCCTAAAACTACACTCAATTCCCACTCTTCTATGCTTCTAACACTGTTTCCCTATGTTTAAGCTCTGCACACAAATGACCAACATAGTTTTAATATAAGAAAAATCACCGTGTTTTGTTTATGGATATGTTACATAATACTATTATTTTAGGTTCACGTTTTCTTGATATACTTATCAAAGTTTTACAGACATTGTCAGTCTAAAAATAACTGATTTGGAATTACGCTGCAGTCAGATTAAGGACAGAAAAGCTGCAACAGATCACTATCCAATTGCATATTATGAGGCCAAGGAAAAAACTGACTGTATGCAAAGAAGGCCAGACCTGTTGGAGTAGAGATAGAAAATTTGCCTGATGAGGCAGAATTTATGAAGGGTATAGGGACGTTATTGTCTTTCTCACAAGTACAAAGACCAAGATATTTTGGTTTCTATGGAGTGCAATTCAATTAATACAGCACTGTTAGTAAGAAAACTGGACTGCTCATCCTCCAAGCATTACCAGCCTACATACTGGGGCCTGGATGGACTAGACTAACAGCATAGAAACACCAACTGTCAGTTTTGTAAAGTGTTTAGAAGTGGGTCTGTAAGATTATTTTTAGAGAAATCCAAGTACTTGATTAGAAAACAACAAATAAGATACTGCTGTAGACATGTTGGGAAAGCCAGGTGCCCATCACACTTAGGCTCTTCTGACACTGAAGCTAATGTGCCTAAGAACAGGGCTTAAACTTCCTAGCATCTCTTTAACCCATCTGCAGGGAACACAAAGACTGAGTTACCAGCCTTTCTGCAAAGTGCAGTCTAGCACAGTAACTCCCAAAGGCTGACAGGAGAGGTGCTGGGGAAAATGTATTTACCCACAGACCAACACAAGCAGAGCTCTTAAAAGTGGTTAGATATTTGTGCAAACCCCAGCATGCTGTTTCAAAAGCTGAGGCATAGACCTAGGTTTTAAAAAAAAAAGGGGGGGGCACTGCCAATGTCCTTGAATTAGTTCTCAGAGATTAGGAAACATTTGAGAAGGACATTCAGCTACTCAACCAGTTTAGTCTGTTATCTGCACAGGAAGTTACACCACACATCCTCACATTCAGAATTAACACAGGTAGAACGGGCATTCCAGAAGGATCAAGGAGGAAAAGGGGGCTGGAGAGAGAATTATAAAACTGACAATCCACTGTTGGAGATTTTAGTAGGATTTTTTTTAAAGAAATTAAAAGGAGTTTAATTCACCCCAAAATTATTCAGGAGTTTCAGGTGAATGTTTTTCTGACAAATTCTACTTTTAAATAAAAACTTGAATGACTGTCCATGAATGGTTCTACTGTTTTTACTTCTGATTTATTTTCGGCAAACCAGTTATTCGAAACTTTCAGCTCCTGATTTTAGAGATACATCCAGGAAATACTTTTAGTTCATTTAAGCATGCTCACAGAAGGCAGATGTATAAAATGATAAATATTTTTCATTTTATACAGTCACATTCCTTTTTAATTCCCTTCGAAGGTATCTTACCCAAGTGTGGAAAATGAAGATAGTAACACATAAAACTGTATTCCTTTCAAATATTTTTCATGATCATTTAAATCCAAATAACATCTATACAAAATGTACACAGATGTTTCTGCATCCACATAAATATAACTGTGGCATATTCCTTTGTTCATTGTTTTGTTTGTTTCTCAAGGAATTAGGTACACTGAAAAAGACAAAGCAGGCGCTTTCCCTCATATTCCGTCAGCCTATGGGAACAGGTGAGCGTGGAAATAGGCTTAAAGAAACAAAACAGCAACAAGCCACCACCAGTCATTAGGAAAATGGCAGGGAAACACCCCTACGAAGAATGACAGGAAAACAGCTAAGAACATGCAAATTCTGAGCTAGCACATTATGCATGACTAATTGTACTGAACAGCAATAGAATTTTAAGTGTAAAATGTTTGTGGGGGCATAGAAACAAAATTAATCTATGGTGATGGCAATTAAAAAGTGTTTGTGGTAGTGATGGAGTGGGTAGGGACCAACTGAATCATTAGCGAACTTTCGAGATAATGAAAATACTCTACATTTTATTTGGGGAGAAGATCAGGGATGTATGATTTTTGAAATACACTGGCCTGAATCAGGATCTGTGCATTTTATTATTTTTTGCTTTTTTAAAGATTTATTTTATTTTTATTGGAAAGGCAGATATACAGAGAGGAGAGACAGAGAGGAAGATCTTCTGTCCGATGATTCACTCCCCAGGTGGCTGCAACAGCTGGAGCTGAGCCAATCCAAAGCCAGGAACCTCTTCCGGGTCTCCCACGCAGTGCAGGGTCCCAAAGCTTTGGGCCGTCCTCGACTGCTTTCCCAGGCCACAGGCAGGGAGCTGGATGGGAAGCGGGGCTGCCAGGATTAGAACTGGCGCCCATATAGGATCCCAGGCGTGCAAGGCGAGGACCTTAACCACTGCGCCATTGCGCCGGGCCCGCATTTTATTATTTTAATCAAATCCAGAATAAAAAGAAAACTTTTGGATCCAACACAGTAGATTAGAGGCTAAAGTCCTCGCCTTGCACACACTGGGATCCCATGTGGGCGCCAGATGTAATCCCAAGGCCCTGCTTCTCATCCAACTCCCTGCTTGTGGCCTGGGAAAGCAGTTGCCGACAGCCCAAAGTCTTGGAATCCTGCACCCGTGTAGGAGACCCAAAAGAAGCTCCTAGCTCCTGGCTTCGGCTCAGCACAGTTTGAGCCATTGTGGCCACTTGGAGAGTGAATCAACAGACGAAAGATCTTCTTCTCTGTCTCTCTTCCTCTCTGTATATCTGCCTTTCTGATAAAAAATAAAATAAATCTTAGGGAAAAAAAATTTTTCCAATACAGGAGATCAAGGACCTGAGGAAGAAGTGAAAGCTGAATTGTTTCTGAGGATATCTGGAATTTGAAGCTTCACAGAATGGTCTAAAAATGCATGCGTCCTGCTGTAAATATAAGATTACAGATCCACTTTTCATATGCAGTTTTCACTTCCTTTGGATATATTCCTAGGAATGTGGTAGCTGGGTCATACAGCAGGTTTATTTGCAGTTCTCTAAGCACTCTCCATTCTGACGTCCATAGTGGTTGTTCTAGCCTACACTCCCATCACAATGAAGGAGGGGACCTTTCTCTCCACATCCACACCAGCAGGTGTTGTTAGCAGAGTTCTGCATGTAGGCCAACCTCACTGGAGTTAGATGGAACCAGAAAGTGGTTTTCATTTGTATCTCCCTGATAGCTAGGGAGCCTGAGCATCTTTTCATGTATCTATCAGCCATTTGAATTTCTTTTGAAAAATGTTCATTTCCTTGACCCATTTCTTCACAGGGTCAGTAGAAAAGTGAATAAAGAAACTGTGGTGCATCTATTCCACGGAACACTACTCAGCCACTAAAAAGAATGAGATTCTACAATTTGCAACCAAATGGTCCCAACTAGAGACCATTATGCTTAGCGAAACAGTCAATCCCAAAAAGACAAATATCATCTATTCCCTCTGATAAGGCAACCTTCATACAAACTGTAAGATCAATAGGTCTTTCAATTTTGTTTTTGTTGCAACTCACAGGTTTTTATATTTTATATTTTTGTACCTGCAATGTCGGATACACTTAAATAGCAGACAGATGAAACTACAATTGCTTATGAAAGACTATACTATTGTAATAACATGGGGGAAATCAGTTGGGGAGGGAATTTGGACAGAGTGTAACAAAACTGCAGAGACTATGGAATTTGATCATAAGACTAAATATACAGTAAAGAAGAAAAAATATATACAAATATTAAGTTAAAAAGGAAAAAAGGTCAAAATGTAGAAGAGTGATTATCTCAGACTTGGAACGGTATGGTGGAGGGGAGGTAGGGGAAGGCTGTGTAATGGATATCAAAATACAGTTATGGGCCCGGAGGTGTGGCCTAGCGGCTAAAGTCCTCGCCTTGAACACGTCGGGATCCCATATGGCCACCAGTTCTAATACCAGCAGCTCCACTTCTCATCCAGCTCCCTGCTTGTGGCCTGGGAAAGCAGTCGAGGATGGCCCAAAGCTGTGGGATCCTGCACCTGTATAGGATACCCAGAACAAGTTTCTGGCTCCTGGCTTCAGATTGGCATAGCATCGGCCACTGCGCTCACTTGGGGAGTCAATCATCGGACGGAAGATCTTCCTCTCTGTCTCTCCTCCTCTCTCTATATCTGACTTTGTAATAAAAAAAATAAAATAAATATTCAAAATAGTTATATAGAAAGAACAAATCTGTGTGTTCGATACACAATGCAGGGGCGTGGGAAGTGTAGCTCGCAATATACTCCAATTTACTAATGGTCAGAAGAGAGGAACTTGCAAGGCTCCACACACGTTATGATGAAGGGGGAGATGAAGATGCTGACTGCACTGATTTTTTTTTAAGTGTATATTGTATATTTGGCCATGTATTAAAGTATACCCTTTAGGTAGCTGTCACCGTAATGGTGTAATCAAAAAAATTTTTTGTAATTCAGAAAATGGAAAAACAAACTGCCTTGTTTGATCATTATGCATAAAAAACACACTCCTACATTTTGTCATAACAAATATAAACATGAACATTCATTCACAGACACAGATTACAATGACCACTGCCGTTACTTAGTTCTATTATTACAGATGATCAAAAACAGGCAAATAGTTCAAGATTTACCAAGTGTCATTACCCAAACCATGGGAAATTAAACATAGGCTCTGATTATTTTCCAACTCATCTAAGACATCTATCACATAAATACATGAAAACACATTACTTTGTTTTACCATCTGAAAGGAATAAAAATTCAAACATAATAAGAAAATTGACCATTTACAACTATAAATATCAGACATTGGCACAGCACTAAACTTAGCACTTCCATAATGAATTGCAAGGATAGCATTAAAGTTCAAATAACTCAAAAGGTTGATTTCTCAATCACTTCCCAAGTTCCCCATACCTCCCCCAAAGAAATTAACTTTGAAGAGTTTATTTGATTAAGCAAAATTTGAAAGCAGAGGATTAAAAAGTGAAAAAGGGGGTGCAGAAATTAGCAGAGGTGGCACTACCTGAAAGCTCATCAGAAAGGGGAGTGAGAACAATATCAGGCAAGAAGGGTTTGGAAGTATGGATCAGAACAGGCGCACTTTTAGCACTGCGTATATAGGCCGATGGCAGAGCACATTCACCAATGGATCGGCTTCTCATGGCTTCAAAAAAGGACAAGAAAGAAGTGGGGAAGGAAAAAAGAAGAGTGACTATAATGAAAGGCTTGTGTCACAGAAAAAGCAGCAACAGAGAAAACTAAAAGATATAAAGGAAGGAAATTTTAAATTAAAACATTTCAGCACGGCAAATACTGGCAAGCTGTGAAAAAAAAAAAGAAATCAGAGAACACGCAGAATATTTTGAATGCAACATTTTGGTGTAAAGCAGGAAAATGCTTTTATTATGAGCAACCACAATGGAATAGCATTAAAAAAAAAACCTAGATACTTTAATTAGCACTATCTTCTCAAAATCAAGAATTGAGAAATTCATTCAATAGAAATACTGAGAAGAACTCAATATTATTAGTTCCAAGAAATTTTTGGTACCATAGGTGAGCATTTTTCTAGGTAATTCTTAGCTATTCTTCTCAAAGAAGCTGAACAAACCATTCCTACTTTTGTACTCATCATCAAATAAAGATTCCAAGTCACTCACAGGGTTTTTTTTTTAAATCTTACATAATTCATAATCAAAAAGATTTAGCATCTTGATTAATATTTTTTCCTGGCAAGAGAAAAATGCTCAGTCAAACCAGTCTCTTATTAAAGTGAAATGAGGTAATTTAAAACTTTAAACAGAAAATAGAAGGAATTTTGTAATCAGAATTAAAAAGTCAAGTTCTTGAGAAAAACAGGCCATTGTATGCTTATTCAAATCATAAACACATAGAAACTTAAAAGACTACTTTTAAAGATTAAAAAAAAAACACTTTTAGCTAAGTTATTTTCTAAAAATTTAACTTATAGCCACATTTTGTAATTCCCTAGAAAGTAATCACCGGTTCATAAAATTGAAGACAAATTTGAGTTTATTTAAAAGTAAATTAGCAATCAAGCAAGCACTAAAGTGGACTGAATCAATGCTGCATAATATCACAGTGATGATGATAAAAAAAAAAATACCAAAATTACTTTCAATGTGGACATCAGTTTTACAGCCGATGCTGGACTTCCTGAGTCTGAACAAGACATACGCTCTGGTGACGATCTCCTTGTCAGTGAAACATCACATACTTCTAACGTCCTCTCATTCAGCTCCCGCACAGAATTTCACACTACTCACCGAAATTAAATACCCTTTCATCAGAGCACGGTCTGGTGTATCGCTAATATCTTGGTTTCCTCTCTTTGTAACAGATTGCATCACACATGAAAATTCATCTCACCTGAGCTTTTCTGACCTCCTTATAAGAAATACACCAAAACAAGAAATCCCTGCTTTTCAAAAAATAGCTCTTTTTAGTGGATTGTGTCTTACGTCAGCCTTGGGTTACTTTCCAAATGCACAAGTACATCCTATTATCCTTCCTACTTTCTGCCACTATATAAACTCGTTCAACTTGTAATGAATATCTATACTTGCGTGGTAGTTCAGCATAATTAACTGAAAAACAGAAGTTTTAGGTTGGGAAGATATGTAGGAGAAAAAAACAGTAGTCAAAAAATAATGTGCTATATTTCTTATAACTGGAAAAAACTCGCATTTTTCAAAAATGTATGAATGTTGCAAAATAAAGGACTCTTAAAGAGGTATACGTAAGCATCATCTGTGATAACTTATGAAAATTCACAATACCTTAAACATGATGGCAACATTTGGCCTTCAAGGTATAGCATATCATGTAATTTATTCAAATGGATTTCCAAGTGAACTCCTAGTCAAAACATCAGAATCTGGTCCTATTAGAGAGTTAATGCTGGATTCATGTCCCTTTTGAGAAAATGAGTGACAATCATATAATTCAATTTAAAACAACAAAAACTATGCTGTATGTGAGATAATCACTCATTAAAACTTGCTTAGAGGGCCTGGTGTGGTTGCCTAGTAGCTGAAGTCCTCATCTTGTATGTATCAGGATCCCATCTGGGTGCCAGTTCACCTCCCAGCTGCTCTACTTCCCCTCCATCTCCCTGCGTGTGGCCTGGGAAAGCAGCTGAGGGTGGCCTGGAGCACAGGGACCGTTCACCAGTGTGGGACATCCAGATGAAGCACATGGCTCCTAGCTTTGGATCGGCTCAGCTCCAGCCTTGTGGCCACTTGGGGAGTGAATCAGCAAACAGAGGCTCTTTCTATCTCCCCATCTCTCTGTGTATCTGACTTTCCAATAAAAAATCAAAAAATCTTAAATTTTGAAAATATCTCATTTAGAGCAAAGATACAAATGCATAGACAAGAAAATAGGCTGCTTACACAGAAAGTAAAACTTAGATATAATTAAAGATGACTTTCTTAAAGACTTATTTGTTTATTTGAAAAACAGAGTGACAGGCTCACAGAGGAAGCAGGGAGAGAAGGCAAGAGCGAGGGGGGGAGCGAGACCTTTGCCCCACTGGCTCAGGCCCCAGAAGTCTGCACAAGTTCATCCGCGTCAAACTAGGAGCGACATCTGAGTCTCCATCCTCAACGTTTTCCTCACCAACTCACTAACCTGTTCTATCTCATATCTATACTGTGAAATGAAGGGGGCACGGGCCTGACTTAGTTATGACCTATTCCTCCACTATAAAGACACTTATACTCTTGCAATTACAAATAATTTGTGAGATGTTGTGTGGCAATAAGTTAATATCCTGCTCCCAATCAGTACTTGACTTCATTTTAGCATTTACTGATGATCCTTGTAAAAGATTTTTCTAATTCCTTCATTCTTTCCATATTTATTGGCTTGCATTTTTTAAGTAAATAAAGCTTTGTTTAAAAAAATCTATCTATTTTTATTGGGACGGCAGATCAATTAAGGGAAAGAAGGGACAGAAAAAATTTTCCATCCGATGATGGACTCCCCATTGCCACAATGGCTAGAGCTGAGCCAGTCCTGAGACAGGAGCCTGGAGTTTCTTCCAGGTCTCCCACACCGGTGCAGGGTCCCAAAGCTTTGGGTCACTGCAAAGCAGGCAGCTGGAGGGAAAGTGGAGCAGCCAAGACATACACCAGCATCCATATAGAGTTCTGACGCTTGCAAGGTAGATTTAGTCATTGAGTAAGGGCCTAAAGCTTCATTGTTAAAACGATTTGTTTGTTTGAGAGGCAGAGTGACAGAAAGAAATCTGCTTGCTAACTCCTTAGGCAGCCCCAATTTGAGGGTTGTGCCAGCTCAAAGCCTGGAGTCAGGAATTCCATCCTGGTCTTCCACATTGGTGGAAGGGGTTCCAGTCTTCGGGTCACTTTCCATTGCCTTCCCAGGAGCATTAGTAAGAAGCTGGATTTGAAGTAGAGCATCCAGGACTAAAGCTCAAGCTCTGACATGGGATGCCAGCTTTATAAGCAGCAGTTTAATCCGCAGTAATGCAGAGCCAGTCCCAGCAAAGAAAAGCGGCAGCTCCAACCTTCTGCACACATGTTTTTCACTATCATATTATGGATGATGAGTTTTTGATGGTTCAACCAATTAAAAGGCCCGAAGTGGCCTTTAAGTTACTCAGTTTCATATTAAGGAAAAAATTACGATTTTTCAAATCATGGGCCTGGTGCAATGGCTCAACTGGCTAATCATCCCCTTGCAAGCACTGGAATCCCATTTGTGCACTGGTTCATGTCTCAGCTGCTCCACTTCCATTACAGCTCCCTGCCTGTGGCCTGGGAAAGCAGCACAGGATGGCCCACAACCTTCCACCATGTCGGAAACCCGGGAGAAGCTCCTGGTTTCTGGCTCTGGATTGGCTCAGCTCTGGCCATTGTAGCCACTCGGGGAATGATCAACCAGTGGATGGAAGATCTTTGTCTCTTCTTCTCTCTATATATCTGCCTTTCCAATAAAATATAAAAGAAATATTTAAAAAAAAATTTTTCAAATCATACTACTGCGGAGCAAAATGTTTAATTACCTTATACCAGAATCTAGAAGAAACAGAGTTCTTGATTTTGAATGTAAGGACAAATAAACTTGATATATTTACAATTTTGTAGCCTGCAGATTTAATCTACTCATTTACTTGCATATATGCACAAAGTATATGTTATACTATTTTTAATAGAACAAAATTAAGATATATGCACCATTTCAGGACAGAAATTAAATTTTGGCATTCTCACGCATGAGATACAATATAGGAAGTTCAACATTTTTGACATTTAAAATCTTTTACATAATTTTACGCTTTGGTTTTATCTCTTAACACTCCTTCCTTCCTTACTGTACTTCACACTGCCTTCCCACCTGTCCTTAAACACCTGCACAGAATCTGGCTCCACGCCTGTCACCCTTCTTCTGCCTCTAAGCACTCTGTGTAACTACTGCCCTGGCCAGTCTCTCACTTTATTCAGACCTCTGTTAGATCACACAAGAGGCCTTTCACTACTAGCCTAACCCAAACAGTCTTATTTTCCCAAACCCTATCATTCTTTAATCCTTTACCTTGCTTTACTCTTGTCCTAAATTACTTCTTGTCAGCATATTTACTGGTTGTTCTGTTACTATATATCTCCTATTACAGGCCTCCACGTAAGCACTTAAATTTCTCTCATGTGAATGTGAAAAAGCCAGGCTTCACAGCAGTGTGTATATTATACTATGTGCCCACATATACATTACATAAATTAACACTCTAATATAGTGTTAATATAATCTACTAGTGGCTGTCTATAGTGAGGTAAACTAGGAGGGGCAGGATTGGACAAGCTAAGATTTACTACAATGAATAGATTCCCATAGTCTGATTTTTGAACCAAGAACATTCACTATGGACACAAAAAGACTAATTTTAAACATTTAACAAGGGCCCGGAGTGATAATCTAGCAGCTAATTCCTCGCCTCTCATGCAGTGGGATCCCATATGGGCACTGGTTCTAATTCCAGCAGCTCCACATCCCATCCAGCTCCCTGCTTGTGGCCTGGGAAAGCAGTCAAGGACAGCCCAAAGCCTTGGGACCCTGCACTGCGTGGGAGACCAGGAAGAAGCTCCTGGCTCTTGGCTTCAAATCAGCTCAGCTCTGGCCGTTGCAGTCACTTGGGGATTGAATCATCGGATGGAAGATCTTCCTCTCTGTCTCTTCTCTCTGTATATCTGACTTTCCAATAAAAATAAATAAATCTTTAAAAAAAAATTAAAATTGCTTCTCAGCCTTTTGGCTAAGATCAAGTATAAAAAAATTCTTTTTAATTTAACAAAATGTATGTTCAAAGTAGAATTAATTGTTTGCTTCTTTTAAGATTTTCCATATTATGCACGTATCTTTAACAAAATACTTAATGCTTTAACTCTCATTTGGTAAGCAAATATTATTTTGGGAAGTAATCTGGTTGAGATTAATATTTTACTCATTCATGCTATTTAAAAGACTAGCACGTGATTTTCCCTTATAGCTTTTCTTATTCTTTTACTCTGGCATATACAACTAATGGAGCTTTATGCTCATGTGATTTTAAGACAATTCTAAAGACATGACTATAAGATAAAGTGCTTCAAGTCTAGGATTGTTTGGTTGTCTAAGATTATCCAGCTAATCAGAGACAAAGAGAAAAAGGGAGGAGACAAGGACTAAGCCTTGCTCGCTTCCCATGGCAGTGCTCCTTCTACAGCTCAGTCCAAGTCAAACTTTGAGCAGGAACACAGTAGGAAGGTAGCTAGGTCCAAAGTATGCTGCGTATGCTACACTCAGAAATTCTTTCCAGAATTGCCATTTCCAAACTCAAAAATTTCATCTGTATTTGTTAAAAACAACAGGGAATCAAGCAAGAAGCTGCACATTGGCCTCACTTGCATACTAGTTCAGCGGGACCTCTCTGTTAGGAAGCTTATCTAACCATGTAATTGGGGCACTGAAAGTCAGCTGCTCTCTGTATCTAAGTAAAGCCATTTAGTAGAAACCTCACCTACCAAATCTTGAGTTCTAGCAAGCAAAGCTGTAGAATCCAGAGAAATAAATCTGTAAATCTAGAAAGTAAGTTCTATATAGAATTAACATTTTAAACTAAGGGGTATTTATAGTAAAACTATGTAAAAACAATTATATAAAATATATTTTAACAGCAAAAGAGGATAACACAGTATGTCATTGGATTCTGAATACTACTGAAAAAAATTTTTATAAGAAAAATCAACTGTCAAGCAAACTACACCTTCAGTTGCACTGTGAGCAGGCCTGAGCGCACTGCCCTCCCTGGAGTACGTACCTACGGTCTTCTGCCGCACTATACTTCTTGCCTTCTCGGTTCCTGGGGAGCCAGTGGTGGTCGCACTCCTCTGTCTCATTGGGGCTTGGCCGGGTTGATCACGACTCCATCCTCTAGAAAATGACTTGTCAACGGAAACTTTCTGAAATTCATGTCCAACTCCTAGAAAGGCAGATTTTCAATTTTAATTACTATCACCTGATCAGCAACATTTTCAAATTATGGATATTACTATGCAGAAGTCTCAAAGTTTAATTATAATTAAAGCAACAAGACAAAATGCTATGTTACATAATGCATTTCTGAGTTTCATTAGATAAGCCTCATGCAAAAATCTTAAATTATATATCAATAATAAACTATTATAAATTCAGTGCCACTCTCTTGCTTGTAATAGAATGGACATATGGACAAGAATCAGTAAACAAGTGAACTAAAAACAATCCAGTGATGATTACAAACTTTCTACCTAACAATAAATACCCACTTAGGAAACATTTTATCTAGCAAAAAGTGGTCTGAACACACATTAACATGCAGAAAAGACTAAGCATGCAACGTGATTTAAACATAATCAACTAAGCATATAAAATGCTAACAAACAAAAGCTTATAAACATACATATAAATAAGAACCATGCAATACATATAAATAAGAACCATGCAATTGCTTCATTCCCTTGGAACATCATGTAGATAATTCACATATAGGGAATGCATGCTTTCAGTTCAAAGTAATAATGCTTTCAAAAGAATTTTTCAAATAATATTTACTACAGACTTTTTAACAAAATTACATGAAATCACAAAAACTGGTAAAAAGGAACATCATTTTAAAAAATTCCACTGGGTTTATTATTTTTAAATGAAATATTTAATATTCTATATTCTCAAATAGGTATTTAACCTTAACTAGGCATGTTCAGAATTCACTTATCTCTTATCAAAATACTATTGATTTAAAGAAAAATGACAAAGCACTTGGCTATTTCACTGTTGAAAATGCTAAATCTCCAGGGTAAGTAAAGGATGAAACCATGTCAACGGACATCATCCCAACAGCCTTGCCTGCTCACTGGCTGGCTTTTCTGCAACTCAATTACTCAAACAAGCTTACACCGAGCACCCCGTGAACCACTCTTACCTTTCCCTTTGTGCTTTTTTTGCTTTTGTTCACTGAGTTTATCCAATGGTAAATCACTGAGATCCAAACTATATAAATTCCTAGCTAAAACTTTGGTTAATGTCTCCATAGTCAGTGACCACTCGGTGGCCAGCTCTTCCCAGTAGGTCAACGATGACAGAACCGACAGTAAATCATCCCAAAGCTCTCTGGAGATGTACACGTTTAGATTTGCTTTGATCCAAGCAACTATGAGAGTCTATAAAGAAACAATCAGAATCAGTGATATGTGCTTAATGTAACTTCAAAATCAGAGATTCCATTTTCAAAACATTACCTAAAAACAAGAAGAGTTTTCAATTAAATAACATCAACTCTTTCTATTTGGGTAATGCTTTTACAAGTAATTCATATAATCAGGAACATCAACTACACGTTTCATCTCAACAATTATCAGCCCCCAACATTCCAACAATGCAAACTGAAAAATCTCCCTAAAGCTATGCTTATCCTTCATAGTGCATTCATGTTAAATAGCCTAAATAGAAAAATGACCCTTTATACTTAGGGTTGAAACTGTTTAGTAATCAAAGTATAGGAAAAAACCAAAACCTTACATTTCCAAAGATAAAAATTATTTACTAAATACTTTGGAATTTTTACTACTAAAAAAAAGGAGCTAGGGATATATTTAATGTGTTTTTTTAAAATTGTATGTAAATGAGGGAGCAGGTGTCTGCTCTAACAATGAAGCAGCAGTGTCCCACGTGAGAGCGCCCCAAGTGGGATCCTCAGTTCCAACTTCTAATTCCAATTTTCAGTCAACACAGACGCTGGCAGGCACAGCTCAAGTGGCTGGGCTCCCGCCACTCCTGTGTAAGACCTGGACTGGGTTGCAGTTCTCAGCTCCAGCCCCAGTCCAGCCCCAACGGCTGAGGCCATCTGTGGAGTGAACCAACATATGGGAACAGTCTTTACCCAGGTCCACCAACCACCTGCCTCCCAAAAACTTCAAAAACCAGAAAGATCATATGTAATTTGAAGATTAAAGGCACCAAAAGTTAAAAAGCATTTGGTAAAAATCAACTGTAGAATTGGAAATGTAACTCATGAATGGTCAGGTTACTGATCAGCCAGTACTCCCTGAGATTTGGTGGATTTATACTAATAATTTACTTGTCTGTTGATAAAACAAGAAACAAAAGAGAAGATTTTTCAAAAACTTGACTCTATAAACTGCTTCAGATAAATTTAGATATGAAATGCAAAGATTAAAAAACCAGTAGACTACATCAATAGTAACTAGTAAATTCTCTATCTTTAAATGTTCAGAACACAAAAGAACATTATTATTTCAAGTAACAAACTGAAAGTTATTTTCTTATGTGCTTCCCACCACTGGGTACCACAATGGAGATGCAGGGGACAGGTGCTTTGCGTATACCCCATGGTGCAGTGCTGGGTTCCAGTGTGGACTTGGTTCTCCATCCTGCTTCTTGCTAATATGTAACCTGGGAAGCAGCAAATGATGGCTCAAGTAGTGGAGTCTCGTCCACCTACGTGGAAAATACATGGATGAAGCTGCCAGTTTCTGACTGTTGCCAGACCCAATCCTGGCTGTTTGGGGCATCTGAGGAATGACTGAGCAACTAGAACACGCATCTCTTTGTCTTTCAAATACATTTTAAAAAAAATCATTTTATCCCGGGCCCGGCACAGTATCCCAGCAGTGAAAGTCCTCTCCTTCTATGTGCTGGAATCCCATATGGGCTCTGGTTCTAATCCCGGCAGCCCCACTTCCCAGCCAGCTCCCTGACTGTGGCCTGGGAAAGCAGTCAAAGACAGCCCAAAGCCTTGGGCCCTGTGCCCACATGGGAAATGTGGAGGAGGATCTGGGCTCCTGGCTTTGGATCAGTGCAACTCTGGCCACTGCAGCTGCTATGGGAGTGAATCATTAGACAGAGTATCTTCTGTCGCTTCTCCTCTCTTTTTTATCTGAATTTCCAATAAAAATTAAATAAATCTTGAAAAAAGAAAGATCATCTTATCCCTTTACTTGCATTGAATGTGACACATTAAACTATTATTTCTGTTTTCTACCTTTCAAAGAATCTATAATACATGATTATTTCAAAAAGTCTGTAGGCTGGGGTCAGCACCATAGCATAGTATGCTAAGCTTCTACCTGTGGTGCTGGCATCCCACATGGGTGCTTATTTGTGCCCCAGCTACTCCACTTCCAATCCAGCTCCCTGTTTATGACCTATGAAAGCAGTAAAGTTTGGCTTAAGTGCATCTGCCACTGCACCCACGTGGGGGATCCAGATGAAGCTCCTGGATCCTGGGTTTGGATCAGCTCAGCTCTGACCGCTGTGGTCATTTGGGGAGTGAACCAGCAGAGGAAAGATTTTTCTGTCTATTCCTCCTCTCTTTGTAACTCTTTCAAATAATACATTATTCGAAAAGTCTGCAAAAAATGAAATGATAGATTTTTATGCAAAAAAGTTCATGTGTGAGTTTTTTTATAATATATATATGTCATAAATTTGTAGATATCTCAAATATTTAAAGTCAGCACTTTATCCCCAGGATGGAAAACAATAATATAGAATTCCTGTATAACTAACTACCACTGATAGTTTAAATTAAGATGCAAGTATTACAGAAAGACATAATAAAAATAAATCATGATTATTTATTACTTTTTCATTACTATGAACAACCTAAAAAGTTTTCTTTCCTAACAATATTAGAGAGTTGGGAATTCAAAGAAAACAAGGCTAGTACTCCTGAAGCACTTTCGCCAGTTTATGAAGCCATAAATATGTCCCATGATGTACAAGAAATACCAGACTATTAAAACACCTTTTTCATAATAATTTACCCATTCTTATACTAGGGCTGGGCATTTGTATGTATGGTAAGTAACCTACTTAAATGAGTAAATTTTAAATTAAGTCTTTTTACAAAAGATTCTTCCATACAAAATGATTTTTTATTTAAAGCCTTTTTCCCCAGGTAAGAATGTCAGGGTTCAATGAATTGTGAAAAAATAAATAAATAAAACCAAACATATCTATCCATCTATTTATTTTTATTGCCTGGAAAAGTGGTCCTGCAAGTCGACCTGCCAAGTTCATATTTTTTTTCCCCTGGAACTGTAGAAAAGCTTGTGATGGCATCTTCAGTACAGACTCCGTGACTCTGAGCAATACAAGCAGCATCTGTTCCCTTAAAGTAAAAAGATTAATTAATGTTTCCTTTTTGGATGTGTTTCCTTTGGTTAATGGTTAACTTTCAAATTAATAATTGTTATAAAAGTGTTACCTTGTTACCTTTGAAATACCTCATTACTTAAACATGTTTGAAAGACAGTTTCAAACTTTTAGAATTCTTTCATTATTACAACTTTTGAAAAATGTCACTGCAAACATCTAGATCAGCCATTTTTAAAACATTTTCAGCCAAACTACATTTCTGCATAAAAATCTATGCAACAGCCGGTCTGGAGATGGCTGCCAACCTCCCTCCCACTCACCAAGCAGGCAGCGACCCAGAGTCATTGAAAGAACACTCCTCTACGCAGAGAGCTCTGTCTTGATGCTTACCCACCCAGCCCATCCTCACAAAACAGGGATATAAAATTGACACATATCAGGCTCAACTTCAAAAGCTGCCAGATATTTTAATATCAACAGATCACAAAGAACCTGATAACTAACCAAGGACATAATTCTATTACTCTTTTATATCTTTTTTATTTTGGCCATTTAAAATTTTTTCTTCTGTGTATTATAAGTGAAGTCAATACAGGAAAAAGAAACAATGTGGAAATAACAGTCTCACCCACTTTCCTGTAGCCCTTGAACCTTTTTGCCCTAATTTAACTATGTAAAGATTGTCAAAAATAAAGAAAATAATGAAAAAAAAAAAAGTGAAGTCAAGTAAATTCTAATATCCTTACCTTACCTCTTCCTCCCAGGGGCTTATAAATAAAACCACAAAACTGTTTTATTTGTTCCTGATACCCAGAAATGGACTGAACACAGGAAAAACAAATGGCTGACGAGAGAATTTCAGCTGAATATCCAACCAGCTGGCATCAGCCCAAGGATCTACCACAGCCTACTCTCTTTTGGCCAGTTTAAAAGGCCCGTTAAGTATGCAGGATCACACCAGAGTCACCACAAGACATGTAACACAGACAGCAATAGGTTTCACATCCACACGTCATGGCTTTTCTGTGAAATGATGACAAAATTGAATATAAAACTACCGTTCAACTAGATACTCCAATTTATGGAAAATAAGTACATGTGTTAACTCACTGAATAAAAATTAAAGGCTACCTTTATAAATATGGGCTTCTAGCTCACCTAAATAAAATGCAAACCTATTTGAAGTCAACCATATTTTCAAAAAGACTTAGATTCCCCATATAAATTCTATGTGCTCTGTGACTAAACCAAAGTTCACTTATATACCAATTAATTTGTTTTGTAATACCACAGTAGGGGCTTCAATAAAATCTTGGAAATCTAATTTAAGTATGCAAATAATCTTCCAAAATACTGTTATTTTGAGGGAACATAAACAATTAAGAAAAAAACTTCAAAACTGTGTACCACATATAGAAGTCTGTCGTTATAATCTTGCTCACCATTGTCAAAGCATATAAGGGAAAAACCCCCAAAAAAACAATAACAAAAGAAGTGTACAGTGAGGTCAGTTAGCAAAGGCAGAAAGACCACGGTTCAAATCTCTAATAATTACGACGTATTTGAACAGGCTGGTCTCTTTGTCCCAGGAACTACCACATGTAAAATGGGAATGTTATCAATGTCAGAGGATACTGCAAGATTTATGAAAATTTATATAAAATGCATAGAAAGTCATGAAACAAAGGTATTCAAATGATAATAGTAACTACTCACACATAATTCTAATAATACTATTATTCTTTCAAAATAAAGCCATTTTTATATACAGCAAAATATAGATTAAGCATATGCTTTGACCAAGCACTTCAAGCATTAAAAATGATTACAAGAAAGAGAATTAACATATATGCAAGGCATGCTCATTAATAGGGACTAGTTAAACATTATGGTACATACAGAATACAGAAACTTGGTATCCTTTATCCAAACTGCTTGAGACAAGAAAAGTTTCCGATTTTGGATCTTTTCCCAGAATTTGAAATATCTGCATATACATAATGATCTGTACTGTGGATGAGACTCAAGACAAAACCTGAAATCCATTTATGTTTCATACACACCCTATACCTTATACACATGGGCTGAAGGTATTTTACATAATGTTTTTCAAGTATTTGCATTTTGACTGCAATCCATCACATGAGATCAGGTGTGGAATTTTCTACTTTTGGCATCACGTCAGTAATAAAAGTGTTCAGCTCTGGAGTTTTTTTGGATTAGGGAAGTAAGATATGTAATACTGTATAACTGGGTTGATGTGTGGTGAGCCAGATGTTCAAACAATCACCAATGTGTCTAGAGTGATCTTTTGGATAACCTTTTTCTTTTTTTAAGCTTTTCTTTGATCGAATTTTGTAACACCTATGTATCATTTTTTTTTAATTGCAGAGCTTCTCTCCCATCTTTCCAAGTGGACTATTTTACCATTTAATTAAGTAAATACTTATGGAGTATCTGCAATATATGATCCAATATATTAGGAAATGAAAATGAGAACACACATATACCTTACAGTGCCTCTGAGTGGGTAAAACAGACATTTACACTCATAAATAGTTAAGGGATGAATACAATTTCAACAAGACAAAGGTATAAATACAGAATGAAAGCAAGTGAGGCAAAACTATAGGAACATGTAGAAGCAAGACTAAGTCTAAAGGATAGTTCCGCTAATCACAGGGAAAGAAGGCAGGATCTACAGACAAGTTCAGAAAGGAAAGAGCAATTGGATCATTTCAGAAAGCAGGATCCTGCAAGGTAGAGCGAAATCTGAAGAAAGAAAAAACAAAGCACAGATCTGACAGGTAGTCTACCCAACACAGCTCTGATCTCTAGAGTAAGGAGTCAGGCATTCACTCACACATTCAATAGACCATATATTCATTCATTCATTCACGTATGCATAAAATCATTTACATACACATGTGTGCATACATGTATATATATCCCTTGGAGGTGGTGAGAGTTTATGCTCAGATAATATGAAGAATTTTGTGGAAATCTAAACAAACATGTTGGAGATAAAGTGAAATCAACTGTCACAATAATTACTATATAAAATATTCATTCATTAATGGGCACCACTATATAATTGTTAACAATTTCTGTTCATATAGACCTTGTTTCTCCAAAAATTATTATAATGCATACACAATTTTCAAAAACCCCACATATAAAGAATAAAAAAAAATTTTTTTTACCAGGTTTTTTTGTCCATTGACACCTGCACAACCATGTGCCGGTAAATGTTAAGAATACGTTTACACATATCTGTGTGTTCGTCCAAAAGATTTTTTATATCATTTGCAGGTTCAAGGAGAAATATGTTTGATGAATTTATAATGAAAACCTAAGGGAGGAAAAAATCATGAACTATTCAAAACAGAATTTCAGTGACAAATTTCTCATTCAAAACACACTTAGGTACTGAGCACGTGGGGACCAGAAACAAACCTAAGAGCATTATAAGCTAACTCTAATCTTCTGCCTCTAGCAATGACATCTGAAACTTAAACTTTTTTTTGAAAAATTCTTTCTCAATCTTGTAGGAAAGTCAGACAGTGAACCATCTTCTGGTTCACTCCCCAAACTCTTGCAACAGTCAGGGCTGAGCCAGGTCAAAGGCATTCAGCTGAGAACTCAATGCGCATCTCGGCATGAATGGCAGGGACCCAACTCCCTGTCTGGCAGGCATTAGCAGGGAGCTGGAATCCAGTCACTCAGACAGGGGCTGAGGGCATTCCAAAGAGCAGCTTACCCAAAGGCCCAACGCCTGGCCCTCTAATGGACTCTTTCAATTGAATTATTTTTATGCTTGTCTAGATAACATACAATTACTATAGAAGGCATCCACAGAAAATAAGCCAAGTACAAGAATAAACAGAAAAAACTTTTAAAAAATTATTCCCAGGGACCTTTAGTAGGCCAATGAGATATGGGAAAAACAGTTCAAGAACCCAATTTGAGAAGCAGTCAGTAGAAAGAACGATGGATTTAGTATAGTACTCCTGACAACCCACACAGGCTTAGGACTGAAAAGCATACAACTGCTTTAATAACACAAGGGTCACTCATGCTTTTAACCACAATAATTTCCTTTTAAAAAGAATGAATATAATCAAATCCTACAAATAATTAAGAACAAGGCAAACATGCAACAATAGACCAATGGAAAAAGCCCATGAATAGGCAAACCATAGATGAGAAACGATGTTCAAATACTCCATTGGTGCAGGTAAAGCAAATGCAAACAAGAAAGCACATTTTTTTTTTACACATGAAAATATTTCACATTTAAGAATAGCAAAAAATTAAAATTTGGTATTACTAGCAAATGGGGAGGAGATGAGACTAACATATTCTAGGTCAGAGATTTTAAAATCACAATAGACATGTGGGAGAACTATTTGGCAACAACAGTAAAGCAAATCTAATAATGTACAAATCCTACAATTAAGCAATTCTATTTAAATATCCAAGTTAAATAAAAACCTCACTGTAATACTGGAAACTCACTGAGAAACTGAAAGTTTTGCATCAGGACACAATTTATATATACTGAGAAATACTCTAGAACAGTAATATAAAAAGTTCACTAACATACTTTTGGAGGGGACATTCAGGAAAAACAAAAAGAAATATGGATAATGACAACGTGGATAGTGAATTGGGTAATCTGAATAATTATAATTATATACCAAAAATGTAAATACTTTTAAAAAACAAAGTGAGCTACCTGCAACACTGCCTGGGTACCAGCTCGTATGTTTTCTTCCGTGGTTTCTTCCGGGGCATTAGGAAGGGCATCCGGGTAGGAGCCATTGTTTGCCCAGCTGGAATTTCGAACATGATCAGCAATATTGGTCCCATTTTCCTGAAGAGAAATATCTTTCATTAGTAGGAATGGTACAACAGGTCAGTAAACTAGAAAGACGAATGCAACTGTTAGGTCCTACTGCTATACAGGTTTCTTTCCAAATAGATGCTATCTTGCTTCATTACATAAGCAACAAATACTGGAAAAACTGTTCTGACAAAAATACAAAGATTTAAAAAACACTCATGACTATCAACCAGAGATTTTTAAGTTTTTCTATTTAATTTAAAAGGCAAATTGAGAACCACAGGGAGAGAGATCTTCCAACCATGTGTTTGTATTTATCCTACATAAGAACAACAAAATCTTGTACCCAGCACAGTAGCCCAGTGGCTAAAGACCTCGCCTTGGATGTGCTGGGATTGCATATGGGCACTGGTTCCTATCCCAGCTGCTCCACTTCCCATCAAACTCCCACTTGGGAAGTGAACCAGCTGATTTCAAGATGTTTCTTTCTGTTTCTCCTTCTCTCTGCATATCTGCCTTTCCAATAAAAATAAATAAGTTTGAAAAAAAAAAGTAGCAAAATCTCCCTCATTCTAATATGGATATATTAAACCAGTAAGACTACAGCTTTTTGCTTAAATATTAGCTGTTACAAGGTCTTACAAACTTGGAGGTTCTCAGAAGTTAAAACCATTCAAACAAACATTTCACTTAGTACATTTCTCTTTTAAAATTTTCCCTCCTTAACTCCTTCACTGGGAGTCAGCCCCTGCAGGTGAGTGCAAGAAGCAAGGCAAGGAGCAGCCCAGGCCATGCCAGGTTACAGTACCCACAGGCACACATGTGGGGCAGGTCTGGGGACAGACCAGTCTGGGCCAGCACATTACACCCATTGATCTGAGAACCAGGGAAGGAGGCAAGAGGAGCCAGATTGGACTGCAACACCAGCCAGTTCACATTAGGACCTGGACAGCAATCAGGCTGGGCTGGGATAGGCTTCAGCACCCACCAACAGGAGCTGGAACAGGGTGCAGATTAGACTAGGCCAGGCTATGCAATAAAACTGTGGATGCTAAGGTGAGGTGAGTCATATCAGCCTGGGCCAAATGGGTGATGGGTTCGAGAGCCCCAGGGAGGGAGATCTGACAGTGTTCGGATAGCTTGGCTCAGGTCAGGGGGCCCACCTGTGTGGTACAGCACTGGTTCCTGGGCCCCGAGACAAGCGAACCAGTAGGGTTTGGATCTTTGGCCTAGATCCTAGGGCCCACATTCTAGATGGGTGTTGTTTTTGTGAACACCAGTGGTAGGGGGTCCCTCAGGGTTTGGGTTTCCTGTCCCGGCCCTGTGGCCCACCCACTAGGTGGATGTCAGGTTCATGAGCCCCAGCAGTAGGGGATCTGGCGATGCTTGCAACACCTGGCCCAGGTACTTGGACACGCATGTAAGAACATGTCCTACTTAATGAAAAAGGTGGAGCAGTGAACACAGGCCGTGTTGTAAAAGGAGAATAAGGCAGCACATTTGGTGCCATAGCAGAAGAACAGAACTAACTGGACAACTACACCAAACAAACGATGACAGCAAAAAATCTTGGTGAATGGAGCCAATGGACATTGGGAGGGTGATATCATCCCTGGATTGGTGAAATCGGCAGCATTTCAGAACTATCCAAACCTCTTGGACAGAACCCTGGGAATATGCACACATTGAGACTCTGGCTTAATATGGGGTGGCCGTTCCTCAACCTTGGGCACTGGGACGTGTAGAAAGTCATGAGTGGTTTTCCCCTTTTTTTCCTTCCCCCAGGAATAAGAAGAAATAGCAAATTTGGAAGCAATGAATTCACCCAATTTTCTCTAAACGTTGATCCTTCCCACCCTGATCAACCATGTAATCATTAAAAAAATAAAATTTATAAAAAGAAAATTTCCCTCTTTGGGATACCACTGTGGTATATTGACTTAAACCACAGCCTGCAGTGCTGACACCCTATATGGGCACCAGTTAACGCGTCAATTGCTTCACATCTGATCCAGCTTCCTGTTAATGTGTCTGGGAAAGCAGTGAAAGATACCCCAAGGCCTTGGGCCCCTGGCCCCATGTGGGACATCTGGAAGAAGCTCCTGGATTTGGCTAGTGTAGCTCTGACCGTTCGGTCATTTAGGGAGTGAATCAGTGGATGGAAGTTGTCTCCCTCTCGAAGTCTGCCTTTCAAATACATAAACGCATTGGGGGAAAAAAAAAGATACATAATGGCATCTCTGTATAATATAGAATAAATAAAATATACCCTCTCCCATTGAAATGAAAATATCTGAGCCAATGAAATGAAAATATCACAAAGGGTTCTCATCCTTTGTAGATGCTCTTTCCCCACTTGTAGACACTTTCTTTGTATTATTTTACCCACTTGGTGAAACATGTCCTTATTTCTATTGGGAGAATTAGGCATTTTCCCCCAGATCTTTCATTCTCTAGGATCCTACCAGGAACAGTGTTTTAAAAAATTTTGCATGTTTGTCTTCATGCTAAACCTTAACTGGAAAAAACAGTTTTTTTAATGATTATCCCTCCAACACTGGTTCTAGAAGTAGGCAATATCATGCTTTAGAAAGCACTCTGGGCCCAGCACCCTAGCAGCTAAAGTCCTCGCCTTGAACATTCCAGGATCCCATATGGGCACTGGTTCTAATCCTGGCAGCTCCACTTTCCATCCAGCTCCTTGTTGTGACCTGGGAGAGCAGTCGAGGACAGCCCAAAGCCTTGGGACTCTGCACCCGTATGGGAGACCTGGAAAGAAGTTCCTGGCTCCTGGCTTCAAATCACCGCAGCACCAGCCGTTGTGCTCACTTGGGAAGTAAATCATCAGACGGAGGATCTTCCTCTCTTTCTCTCCTCCTCTATATATATCTGACTTTGTAATGAAAATAAAAAATAAATCTTTAAAGAAAAAGTCTTCATGAAAACTAGACAAATATTACTTATTGCACTCCTACCTCCACCTATATTTCTGCATCTTACAGAATTAGACCTATGTGCTTGGAATGGCAAGACTGGCAGCAATTCATAACTGGTGAACTATCAAAACCACTTGAGCAAAAACCTCGGAGCATACCCTACATCTGGGACCTAGGGAGGGTAAGAAACTGGGTGGGCCTTCTCCCTTAATATCCTCCTTTAAACATAAAGGAAACAATATGGAAATAATAGTATTACCCACTTTCCTACAGCCCTTGAACCTTTTTATCCTAATTAACTATGTAAAGATTGTCAAAAAAAAAAAAAAAAAGAGAATTAGACCTATGAAAAAGTTTCATTAAAAAAAAACTTCATGTAGACTTAAGAATGAAATGAAATCGGGGACACAAATGTTATTTCTTTCATTTCTCATCTTTCTAATCACAGACCACTTAATATTATCAGGTCAGGATGTTTCACATCTATAATTGCAAAGTATTCCAGGGAAAACGACAGCAAACTCTGGTCTGTGCTGAGCAAGCACTTCTACGTTGAGACAGCACTGCACTTCCAGAAAAGGGAGAGTTGTAGCTTGGTAATTATCCCATGAACTTTGTATAACATCCATCTTTTTACATAGCACCACAACTTAAAATAGCACATCTTTGTAACAGCATCTATTTGATATAGACAATGACTTTAACAGCTAGTATAACATCACAATGTTAACATTTAAAAACTGTGACATCACAAAACTTTCAGACAGGGTCCTGAAGTAACTACTACTATATTGCCAAAATTGTAGTCTATACTAAAAATCTTTCTACCTATTGACTAAGTATAGTTGTGCTAACATATCATTATAGTATTGCAACTTTAATCTGTTAAACGTACACTAAAATGTGTCAGTCGTACACTTTTACCTCTTCTCGTTTTTCTCCTTCCACTGGAATCTCGTGATCAGTAACACTGTCAATACAAGGTAAATCTGAAGAAGTCATTACAATTTCTTCAGGCTCCTGCATGAACAAAGGCTTTTCCTCCTGCTGAATCCACTCCTGATATACTTTAACCACCTTCCTCATAGCAGCTGCTTCACAGATGGGTAACAAAAATGCCTAACAAAAAAGGGAATAGAAATAATGACATTCTTATCCTTTTGCTGAAAACCACAATACACTGATTACTGAGATATAAACAATATTTTAATCAATTCATTATTGCAAAAAGGCTTTTGACTACAAATCTCTTGTAAACACAAAAATCCTATGGTGAACAGCTAACAGAAAGAACATTAGTTTTAATTGTGATATCTCTTATTTTAAATTTTACTTCTTTTCATTATCATTTTATGATGCAGTTCCATAAGCCCTGGGATTTCTCTTACCCCCTCCCCAAATCCCTTCCCTCCTCCCCGCTGAGTTCCCCTATATCATTACTATAGTATAATTCTTCATACACAGTCATATGTCCATTATTGTGGGCATGGGCAATGGCAGAGAGTCCAGCATCCTATTGTCAAGATACAGTAAACAGTTTCATTGGGAGTTCATCTTTGTCTGGAAGTAGAGACGCATACTGCATTGTATCCTCACATTTGGATATGATAGTCTCCATTACACAATAACTACACATCCTCTTAAATGAAAAACCACAATACAAAATCTCAGAACAGGATCCTTTTTTCATGACATAATTGTTTTCTCACAAAGCTCAGTGCAAATGTAACCTTAAATTAAAAAGTAACATTGTATCATACTGATTCTAAAGATTTGCAGTTAGCTGGCTGGGCTGAGCTGGACTGAGTGAGCTAGGCTGCAGCACCCTCCAGCATTAGCTGGAACTAGGGACAGGTGAGGCTGAGCCGGGCTGCAACACCTGCCAGCAAATGCTGAAGTGAAGTGAGATATGCAAGACTGGGCCACAACACCCACCAGCATATGGAATCAGCTCATTGTAACACCAGGGGGGTGAGCCAGGACGGAAGCTGCAGGGGCTTCCCTGCTGGGCCACTGCTCCCACTGCTGAGTGTGAGAGCTGGGACTTGGGGCAGACCAGACTGGGCAGGGTTACAAAACCTATTGCACTACACGTGAGCTGCATTAGGCAGAAGAGCCAGGCTGGGATAAGCATCCACATCCACTGTGCATGCATGAGCCAGAGTAAGTACAGGAGGTTTAGGCTTTGCCATAGCGTAAACTGGCAAGCGCTGGGAATGGAAGCAAGTCCTGTCAGGCTAGACTGCAGAACAATTAATGGGAAACTGGATCATATGAGAAGCCACTGGGACTTGAACCGGCATCCATATGGAATGCCTGCATGGCAGGTAGCAGTTTACACATCTTACAATTTCTACCTACCGTAGCACCAGCCTCAAAATACTTTTGATTTCATTTGTACCCCCACTGTCAATTGATATTCAACAGTGGTGTCAAGAATACAAAGGAAAGCTGGATAATCAGATGCAGAAGAATGAAACTGACCCTTATCTCACATCACATGCAAAAATCAAATCAAAATTGACCAAAGGCTTCAACATGAGCACTGAAACTACAAAACTACTACTGGAGGGGTGGGAGGAGGCAGGAGGGAACATGAGGGAAAAGCTTTTTGGTGTCTGGGCAATGACTCTTATTTGGATGTGACACCAAAACACAGGCAACAAAAGCGAAAACAGATGTGGAATTACATCAAACTAAAAAGGCTTCTGGTTAGGAAAGAAAACAATTTACAGAGCAAAAAAGAAACTTGAAAAGTAGAATATTAAAAAAAAAGCGCATATTTTTAGGAGGTTAACATCCCCAAATATATAGACTTTTTCAAAAAACTCAACAGCAAAAACAACACAAAGCAAAACACTACAAATAACCCAACTTCATTATTTGGCAATTATTACAAACAGCTAACAAGCTTATAAAAAAAAAAAAAAAAACCTCAGTCATTAAGCATCAGAGAAATGCAAACCAAACTACAATGAGACATCACCTCACATCTGGTAGTACGATTGTTATAAAAAAGACAAAAATCTCACGTGATGGCAAGGTATTGAAACACGAACTCTTGTTTGTTGCTAATAATAGAAACTGGTATAGACACCATGAAAACATCGAGCGGCTCCTCAAAAAGTTAACAACATGATCCAGTAATCTTATCTCCAGGTAAATATCCAAAGGAAATGAATTCAGCTTCTCAAAGAGCTACCTACGCTGCCTCAACATTTACAGTTGCCAAAATTTAGAAAGACTGAGTGTCAGCTGAAGATGACAGCATAAAGAAAATATCCTGCCATGTGTGGCAATAGGGATGAACCTGGCAGACATCACACTGGTGAGATAAGCTAGGCACGGACCGACTACCGCAGGATGTAACTGCTGTATTCTCAAGAGTCAGCTCACACTAGCAGAAAGCAGACTGCAAGATCAAAGGGGCTGGGCAGTTAGAAAAAATGGAAAACTGGTGACGAAAAGGCCGAAGGGCCAATTATCCAGTATTGAACACATGAGTAAAAATATAATGTACAGCATGGAAATAATACTGTATTCTACACTTGAAATTTTTACTTAAATTTTTTAATTGGAAAAGTTATAATAGTAAACTAGAAAGTTAAATATAGTTATATATTTAGATAAAGTTATATACATAAAATAAAATTTGAAAAAATAAAAGTTAAATAAAGTTATAAAGTTAAATAGAGAGAAGGAAAAAGAACGATATTCCATCTGTTGGTTCATTGCCCAGATGGTTGCAATAGTCAGAGCTGACCTGATCTGAAGCCAGCAACCAGGAGCTTCTTCTGGGACTCCCACACAGAAGCAGGGTCCCAAGGCTCTGGGCCATTCTCTAACGCTTTCCCAGGCCACAAGCAGAAAGCTGGATAAGAAATGGAGCAGCTAGGACACCAACTGGCACCCATATAGGATCCTGGCACATGCAAGGCAAGAATTTAGCCACTGGGCCATCAATGCCAGGCCTGAAAAATGCTAATTATTTAATAATCAATCATGAATGAAGAGTACAGTAACACTGAAGTTAAAACAAAAATCTATTTTTTAAAAAACTTAAATTTTTAATAGTAATTTGTAATAATAATAGTAATAGTCATAAGCAACTTTAATCTTAAACCTCCCTAGAGGAAGAAACTAAGCCTAGAAAGGTAATGTAAAAGCAATGGAAGTATCACTTGCACATTCCCCAGTGGCATTTTACTAACAATAGAGGACAAAAATAATTCTATCATAATTAATAAGAGTTGCAATCTAAAAAGTAAGTTTCGGGCCCGGTGGCGTAGCCTAGCAGCTAAAGTCCTAGGCTTGAACGCCCGGGATCCCATATAGGTGCCGGTTCTAATCCCGGCAGCTCCACTTCCCACCCAGCTCCCTGCTTGTGGCCTGGGAAAGCAGCTGAGGACGGTCCAAATCCTTGGGACTCTGCACCTGTGTGGGAGACCTGGAAGAAGTTCCTGGATCCTGGTTTTGGACTGGCATAGCACTGGCTGTTGCACTCACTTGAGGAGTGAATCATCAGATGGAAGATCTTCCTCTCTGTCTCTCCTCCTCTCTGTATATCTGACTTTCCAATTTAAAAAAAAAAAAAAAGTGAGTAACTTTTTAAAAAAATTCTGATAACAAAAGGACTAGGAGGAAGAATAAGAAAATAGCTAAAATATATGAACAGAAAATACTAAACAATCAGATATAAGTTTTTAAAACTAAATAGGAACTTTAAAAAACACCCCCACAGATACATTTGTAGTATCTAAAAATTGGTATATGAAGAACTAAAGTCTTCATTACAAACTAAAAATACCGAGAGATATTTTTACCTGACGAAATATCTCTGTGACAAAGTTCACATTACTTCTTTTAGAAGAAAAAACTCTGCGAACGATTTCAATGTCCGTGAGATGCTCTTCATCGATGCTGCACAGGCTGGATGAGCTCGGCTCCCGCTCGGTGAGCGTGCTGGTATTGGAGTGAGACTGCTCTGGTTCCGCGCTTCTGTCTGCTCTGTCCGCATTATCATTTTTGTTTTCTTCTCTGGAAACCAAACTAGCAGCTGCTCTCTGAAATCAAAACAAAATGAAAAGAATACTGTAATGGTTTAACTCGATATCTCGTATTTTAATAGAAAGCTTTGGCAGAAACAAAGCCTTCTACACATAACTTCCGGCACTGTTTAAAATTCAGGCCTAGTCTAAACAAGATGGAAGAATCCACCATGGGGGGGGGAGCAGGTTTTGGGGAGGGGAGGGGGGAATCCCAGTGCCTGTAAAACTGTGTCTCATGATGCAATGTAATAAAAAAAAAATAAATTAAAAAAAATAAATAAAATAAATTGAAAAAAAAAAAAAACAAAAACAAAAAAAAAAAAATTCAGGCCTAGGATTTCACTCAGGATGCATTCTAATAATTAAGAGGCAACGTAAGTAACTCAGCATCTGATATCCTAAAATGTGCATTACTTAATAGTCTACTCCCTTACAGATTTGTTTCTTATGTTTGCAGATTTTAAAAAGTTGGGTGAAAAACAAACTTAGTAAGCAGTAGCAGTTCAGATCTTGAGGAATGCTACCTTACACAGCCGGCCTTCCATATTCTTGGGTTCTACATCCATATATTATCAACAGAAAGAAACATCTGAACACAAACTCTAAGTGTATTGAATATACACGGGCTTTCATACTTTCCTAAATAACCCAACAAATATTGATACTACAGTAAGTATTATAATAATCTAGAGATGTTTAAAGTCTCCAAGGCGATGTGCACAGGTTACACACAACTACTACACCATTGTAGGTAAGGGACTTGAGCACTTGCGGATTTGTTATCTGCTGAGGGTTCTAAAATCAATCCCAAATGGTTACTGAGGGGTAACTACGAACAAATAACATTAGACTTTGTATCTAATTCTGGTTTTTTTTTTTTTAAGCTATTTATTTTATTTTCAGGTGGCTGAAGGGGCCCAAGAACTTGAGCCATCCTCCGCTGCTTTCCTAAGCCATAAATCAGGGAGCTGTATCAGAAGTGGAACAAATATGAACTGACATCTCTATGGGACGGGCATCCATATGGGACACCAGCACCACAGGAGGAGAATTAACTTGTTGCTCCCCAGTACCAGCCCCTGTATAGGTGTTTTTTCTATCACATGTCTAGACCTGGTGCCTTTGTGGGGAAAAGGGCAGGAGCGGGGTCACGGGAGTTTAAATCTGCATTCTGTGAATGCTGAGAAATTAAAAAGGGCTCCTCCTTAATTATTGTAGTTCTGTCTGAAAATTTATACATAGGGGCAGACAATCTGTCTTACAGTTTAGTGGCTGGTTCGGACATGCACATCCCTTATCCGGCGTACTGCTACTTCCTGGTAGTGCACATCTTCACGTAGCTCAAGGAGCTAGGTCCCTGCAGCCAATGTGGGAGACTCACACTGAGGTTCTGGTTCCTAGATTCACCCTGGCCCAGCCCAGATGGTGCAGCCATGTGGTGAGTGATCCAGCACATACAGGATCAGTCACTCCCATTACTTCTCAAGTTACAATAATAATAATAGCAATATAATAATAATAAACAGTAGTTTTTGGGCCCAGCACGATAGTCTAGTGGTTTAAGTTCTTGCCTTGCATGCGCCAGGGATCCCATATAGGTGCTAGATTTAATTTCAGTATCCCTGCTTCCCATGCAGTTCCCTGCTTGTGGCCTGGGAAAGCAGTCAAGGTCAGCTCAAGGCCTTGGGACCCTGTACCTGCGTGGGAGACCCACAAGAGGCTCCTGGCTCCTGTCTTCAGATTGGCTCAGTCCCAGCCGTTATGGCTACTTGGAGAGTAAACCAGCGAATGGAACATCTTTCTGTCTCTCCTTCTTTCTGCAAATCTCACTGGCCAATAGCGTCTCCTTACATGTGGTTTTGCTTTTCTCAAGCTCAGTTACCAAATGCAGTTTAAAAATAACAAATGGAAGATCACAACAATAAGCAGTGTTACTATACTTTGTTTCATTTTATGTATTGTTATTTAGCTCTTAGTATGCCTAGATTATAAATTAAACTTTTCTATTGGTTGCGTACATATAAGAAAAAATATAGTATTACAAAGTGTTCAACGCTGTCTGAGCCTTCCAGCAGCCATCCAGTGGGGTTTTTGGAATATATCTCCTGTGGACATGGGCAGAGTGTACAATAAAACAGGAACAAGTTGGAAACTGAAACCGACACATGACTAAACTACTTTCTTACTTTTTTAATCCCATTTTATTTTTTATTAAGCAATTAAATCTATAGTAATGGCTAAACTTTAGATTTATAAAATGCCTGAATACAAATAAAATAGTACTATTATTTGTTTCAAATATGCTTTATATATAAAATAATTAAAACTAGTAGACTAGATTTGTGAAGTAAGCTTTAACTTTGACAAGCCTAATTGTGTATTACCTGAATATTCTTTGGCAAGACTTCACCTTCCATCCCAGGAATATGAGGTCCTGAATGTGGCTTTGGCTCTAGCCAGAAAGAAACCAGCCAACGAATGACAATAACACGAGCCTTGATAAAAGGTTCCTTTGTACAATAGATGGCTTCATTGGTTTCAGCATCCTTCTTTATCATGACATAATGTGGCTTTGGTCTCATTTGTGGGATATCTATTAAAATAAAAGGAAAACAATCTAAAGTAAGAATTATGCTTAAACAAATCTACATTTTTAAATAACTGAAAAAACATTATGATGCTACTATGATTTTAGAAGTAGCTTTAGTACAAAAATTACATTTTACATTGTGCTAGCTGTTCATACAGAGCCCAGAAAAATGAATCATACATACCAGATTAATATATGATAACATGTCTTCTTCACAAAATATTAAAAGGTTCAACGAATTCTATCTAAGTACAAAGAAATTCCTAGAACCTTCAATTCACCCGAAACAAGTATCCTGAGGTCAAACAAAGTTTGAAGTTTTGCCTGAACTTGCTGGTAGTTCAAACCTGGCATTAGCAACATCTCATGAAATGTAAATTCCTGTTTACACATTACTAATGCCTTTAATTTACAAAAAAAGAAAAAAAAAAAGTCTGCCTGTGACTGATGTCTTTGGCATATACTCTTGATTTATGCCCATGTCCCATATCAAAACCCATGGGTGAAATTCCTAGCTCTCAATCCCAGTTTTTTGCTAACACGGAACCTGGAGGCAGCTGTGATGACTAAGAAGCTTGGTTCTGGCCTTCTATGCATATCTGTAGTGAGTTCCTGGCTTTGAGCTTCACTCTGACCAGCCTGGGAGGAGGACATCTGTGGAGTCATCAGTAGACCGGAGTTTACTCTTTGTTTCTCAACTACTTTAAAAAAGTTTTTAATCATTAAAAACTAAAAATCTTAAAATAGAGTAAGGATTAAATCAAGCATGGAATTCAGTTTAATTTACAATCACAACCATTTCTGGTGGTAATTCCCAAAAGAGGAGACCCTGACAGTAAGTGTTCTAAAAGTACCTAATTTTCAGTGAAACGTGCGTATTAATTCACTCTCAAAATTAATTTTAGTATCTTTACCAGTGAATACACATATTAATAGTGACAAGTTTTCTGCAAGAAATAAATGCTACCTTCACAATCACAGCTATTTTACTACTAAGTGCGGGCTATTAGAGAATGCCAAACACGACCTACCAAGCACAGGATGATATAAACTGTTTTCCTTACAGATGTTTGGGAAAATATAAGGTAAGTAATATTTTTTAAAATGTGAAAACAAAAATGAAAATCCTCTTTCTTGGTTTTCTTTGTTCTTCCATTCTAAACTTTTCACCTAAAAATTTAAAAATAAGTAGAATCATTAGAAAACCTTTTTAATACCATGATGATACTATAAACAAGCTTCTAAATACACTGAACTGTTATACCAAGATCGTATGTGACAACACCAAAAAAATTTTAGTTATTTACTATACAAACACATTAAAAATATTTATAAAAATCAAAGATCCTTTGAAAAAAATGAAAATTAACTAAACACTCAGCTCTAACAACAAAGATTAGCATCTCTGTTCCTTCCCTCTTTCTCTTTCTGAGTAACTAAAGGCATACAGAACATGTGCGTGTGTGAGCAGCGGCAGCAGACAGGTGCAGATAAGCAGAGGCTGAGCACAGGAAGCAGGGTATCCATGAAGGAAGTGGCAAGGGGAGGCAGCAGGCCAATGACTCAAAGTCTGAAAAGCATGAAAGGGGTGGTCATGAAGCGAAGGGGCTGACCAGAAGTGAGAGAGCAGAGTAAGAGAAAGCCAGCAGCGTAATGGAGACATCTAAGCAGGAGGCTGGCAAAGTCCTGGACTGGGTGGTGAGTTCAACCCATTGAGGGCAAATCTATTTCTGCAGGGTAAAGGTGGTAATGAGACACTGCTCATCCACCTGAAGGACTGATTAAATAATAGTCTGAGAATCATTTCAGCCAGTTCTTTCACTGACAGACAAGAAGGGTATAAATACGGAAAGAAATCAGTGATACTAGAAGGAAATTTGGGGCACTCACATAAATGATAGAAAAAGATGGAATATAGAAGAAGCAAAGGAAATGTTCAAGGTGATGGACACGTTTATTATCTTGGCTCCTGTGAGGCTGTCACAGGTGTATGCATGCATCAAAACTGTTAATATCTGTACCCAATAACCCAGAGCAATGTAACTCTGCATGAAGTACAAAAGCAAGTTTTAAGAGGAAAAGATGTAGTAACAATAATGAAACAGCAATGACTATCCACTACAGAATTGGTACTATGTGCACCAAGCAGTATTTAACCTTTATCCACCAAAATGAGATAGGTATTACTTTTCTCCTTACTTTACAAATGAGCAAACAGAAGCTCAGGATGGCTAAGTAATTCACCAATGATATATGATAAGAAATCAGAACTCAAACTGTATGCCTTTTAAACAATGCATATTTCATATCTAACTTATACAAAATGCATGCATTTGCAAATTCAAAAAGAACAAACAAACTGGAGCATAAATTATATTTCCCCCCTTTCCTTATGCTACAGCCCACTTACATCTTGGCAGACCAATTCTTATGAGGGAAGGAGGGAAACATGGTTATCTGTACTAGCTTTGAAATACATGAAATCTCTTTATATCAATAATTTTTTCAACAGCAATTGGAATTTATTATTAATGAGGTTAAGGAGTACAGAACAGAAGCACACATGGGTATAGGGCCTACCACTCATCCAAGGGACCACTGTTGGGGATGGGTCTGATCCCACAGCTGCCCAGGATGAGCAGCTTCTCAGCCACCACTCCTTCAAATCCATTTATATTGAACTTGGTAAAGCCCACTTCTTAGGGATGAGGATTTTCTGGCAAACACGAACTTAAACTTGGCCCTGCACAGGGCCTCAACCACATGTTCCTTGTTCTGCAGCTTGGTGAGGCTGAACATGATGATTTGACCAATGTGAACCCTGGCTATTGTGCTGAGGTTTTTCAAAAGCACCCCGCGTACCTGTCTGCAGCCTAGATTAGGAACAGCAAGAGGTCAGAGACGGGAATGTCCACTGTAAAGGGCTGTCTCCAAGCTCCCTTAGGGCAACCTGTATAAGCAACAGGTTGCATACACCATCAAGAAGGCCGCTGTTTGCAGCCATTGCACACTAGGCCCCCAGGAAGCAAGCAGCTGTTATAAAGCACTACTGAAAGCAAGCAGCTGCTCATTACAAATCCAAGGATTAGGAAAAGGATAAGGGAGAAGACATCAAAGAAAGCAACACATACCTGAATAACTATATACTTTAAAAGTGCTTCGAGAAAATAGCTAGTGAGATCTTCTTGTCCTTTATCCCCAGACTGTGGTGGGACAAGAGGAGTGATTTCCTCTATTGTGACTTGGGCTATTCAAAGACAAAAGAATAATATAATTACAAAATAAAGTTAGTAACACAATTATGTAACAAACAACACTAATTACAAAACATATGGGCAACAAAAGCTGCTCGAAACGTTCTAATATTGGAAATCTGAATCTGAGATCATTCTTGACAGTCCACCAAAACCACAAACACAAATAATCAGATGATTTGGGAACACTTAATTCAGAGATTTTGAAATAGGGATGAACATACATGCAGTAATTAGGGGTACATAATATCTCACTAGGAAAGTTTTAGTGTTAATTTCAGGTTCACATTAAGTGGAGCAACTGTCTTTGACACTGGCACCCCAGATGAGTGCTGGTTCATGTCCCAGTTGCTCCACTTCCAATTCAGTTATCTGCTAATGTGCCTGGGAAAGCAAGAGAAAATGGTCCAAGTGTGATAAGTTCCTGCCACTCATGTGAGAGACCAGGGTGAAGCTGCTAAGCCCTGGCTTTGGCCTGGCCCAGCCCTGACTACTGCAGCCATTTAGAGCACAGGCCAGCAGAACAAAAATCTTTCTGTTTCTCCCTCTTTCTCTGTAACTCTGCTATTCAAACAAATAAATCTTTTTTTAAAAATGCATTACAAAATTAATCAAATGATGAGAAACACTAATGAGAATCCATAGTCTCAAAAGTTGATCTGATCATGGTTATGAAAACAAATCTGTATTTTTTTAATTTTCAGAAATTCAGGAACATTCATTATAATAAATTCAAGAAAATTAATCTAAAACTAGTTGAATTCTTTTGACTATTTCCTAAAAACATGTCAGTCACTGGTTTCACAAATATAAATATTGAAATCTATTCCTCAATAAGCATGAACCAACTAAGAAATTTCATAGCAGTGGCAGCTTAGAGCAGTAAGATGCAGAGCATATTATTCCTGACACTTCATGAAAAGTTACACTTGAAACATACAACCTTTACCACATGTACTCTAGATTTCTTGGAATACTCAATCCCCAAAGAACAACATACTTAAAGAATGAAGCTATTAAAATCCCATTAAAACCCATGGCATCCTTCCCTAAGAACTTTCATCCCACACTAAGGAATACACACTTAATCTGCACTTACACGCTTTGTAGAAAATAAAATACAAATCTTTGATTCTTAAAGAAGGAGCAAAAGTCATTCAGTTGCACTTGAAACTAACAAAGTAAATCAGCTATAAAAAGGGATGAAAGCAAATTTATGCAATGACAGGGTTTTAGAGATGTGGAAGAAAATTAATTATTTTTCAAATATTTCAAAGTTGAAATACAATGTAAATAAATGTGTATATACAACCTATTTTAACTGGCTCATTTATAGATTTTACACCAACTTGTTTCTAAAATGTTGTGCTACCAATATAGTTTAATTTAATGTAAATCTAAATTTATAAGGGCCAACAGTGGTGTAGCACACTAATTTCCACTTGCTAACACTGGCATTCTATTTGGGTACCAGTTCATCCCCTAGCTGCTCTACTGCCAATCCAGCTCCCTGCTGTGACATGGGTAAGTGACGGATGAGCCAAACCCTTGGGCGCCTACACACACACACACGGGAGATCCAGCACCAGCTCCTGGCTCCCAGCTTTGGGTTAGATACAGCCGGTGAGGCCACTGAGGGAGCAGGCCAGCACATGGAGGACCTCTGGCTCTGTTTCTCCTTCTCTGCAAGTAGGCTTTCCAATAGAAACAGACAAACCTTTAAAAATATTTTTAAAATATAAATTCACAGAAATTACAAATTGCAAACAGGATAAAGCATCCAACAGAGTACTTGCTATTTACTGATTCTTATACCCCTCAAATTCATGTTGCAATCCTAAGCCTCAGCGTGACTATATATGGAGCATTGAAGGAGGTATTTAGGGCCTGGCACAGTCGCCTAGTGGCTAAAGTCCTCGCTTTGAATGTGCCAAGATCCCATATGGGCACCGGTTCTAATCCCAGCAGCCCCACTTCCCATCCAGCTCCCTGCTTGTGGCCTGGAAAAGCAGCTGAGGACGGCCCAAGGCTTTGGGACCCTGCACCTGCGTGGGAGACCTGGAAAAAGGTTCCTGGCCCCTGGCTTCGGATCGGCACAGCACTGGCCGTTGCAGCCACTTGGGGAGTGAATCATTGGACAGAGGATCTTTTTTTAAAAAAAAAAAAAAAAGATTTATTGTATTTTTATTGGAAAGGTGGATATACAGAGAGGAGAGACAGAGAGGACGATCTTCCATCCAATGATTCACTCCCCAAGTGAGCACAACAGCCGATGCTATGCCAATCTGAAGCCAGGAGCCTCTTCCGGGTTTCCCACATGGGTGCAGGGTCCCAAAGCTTTGGCCAGTCCTCCATTGCTTTCCCGGGCCACAGTCAGGGAACTGAACGGGAAGCGGGGCTGCCAGGATTAGAACCGGCGCCCATATGGGATCCCAGGTGTGCAAGGCAAGGACCTTAACCACTGCGCCATTGCGCCGGGCCCCAGACAAAGGATCTTCCTCTCTTTCCTCCTCTCTATACATCTGCCTTTCCAATAATAAATAAATAAATAAATCTTTTTAAAAAAACACTATATTTACCAAATTACCACAAAAGTACAGTTAGCAGTTGCGGTCACTTGGGGAGTGAGCCATCGGACAGAAGATCTTCCTCTCTGTCTCTCCTCCTCTCTGTATATCTGCCTTTCCAATAAGAATAAATAAATCTTTAAAAAAAAAAAGGAGGTATTTAAGGTTACAGGGGTCCCACATAGCACTGTTCGTGACAAATGTTCACTAGTGAAAGAAAAGGAAAACATATGTGTGTGTGTGTGTGGGTAAAACAAAAAGAAAAATTAAATTCCACAAATATCAGCACTAACACAGAACTTAAAAAGTAAAAGAAATAAACAGAAGTATTTCAAGTAACTAGCACAAAGATTCACTAAAGAATGAAAACAGCTATTAAACAGTATTTCTAAATGTCTAAATTAAATTTACAAATCAAAGTATTGGGGCGCTATAAAAGTTAAATTTATATATTTCTTTACAAGCATCTACTGTATAAAATAAGACACACTTAAACCTCAATGTACATCCAAATTAATTCCAAGATCCATGGTGAAGCATAACAAATAGAAAACAAAGTATAAAACTGGTCTATGTTGGGCACAGGTTCCCAGTGCTGACACATCCAGGCCCGCACAGGCTCTGCAGACACTGTTCTGCACAGGGCTGGCCAGTTCCTAGAGACAGCCTGAGAGCAGCGTGGGAGGCAGCACTCATCCCTCCACCTGCACGCTCACGCTCGGAGCCATGAGCACCGGTCCCATCACCTACAGCACCGGGGACAGCCTGCAAGCCATAGAGTGCCCTGCAGCGATTCAAATGGAGTAATCCTCAACTTGCTTCTCCTGGCTTGCCTGTTCCTTCCTGTGTGAGCCATTTTAACATTTTGGGCCACGTTTTTCTCTGTGCCCTGTGCCTTCTGACTAACACTGGTACGTGCCTACATCACACCTGTCTCCCCTGGCATGACATGCTCCTTGCTCTTGGGAACTGTAGCAAACTATCTTTTCCATAGTTCTCGATTGGTTGTCCTTGCCCTATATGAAGGATAATAAAACCAACATTTTTAAATATTGCTTTTAATTATTCAATATAGACATTCTAAAAAGCACTTTCACAGAGCACACAGACAGTGGTGAGAAGCGTCCCATGACTCTTACTTTCTTGAAGATTGAGTGGAGGATTAATGAGATTATCTAAAGTTCGAGGTCCGTGTTCAGACTGTGGTGCTAAAAACCCGGGAATTAAGCACGAGAACATCCAGAGCTGTTCCTTACTGCAGTTATTCTGAAGAGCTTGCAACCATAACAAGAACAGACGAACACCTTCCCGCCTGATCTGAAATAAAAATGAAAAACAGACTCACTGCTTCACACTTCCATACAACCAAAAGAACCGGTAATCTGTGACCTCATCTAACCTACATACAGCAAGAAATCTTAAGGTTGAGTATCTCATTTACTGGAGTATGATTAAGACACATAAAATGAAGTAAGGCCAACATTTAAGTATCTATCCCCTACTTTGTTATACATCCATGAGCGGTTCCAATAAGATGAGCAGTAACCTGTAGAATGACTATTTTCTTGTTCTAAAGACTTTACAGAACAAAGATTTTCAGTAAATGAATGAATGTACTCTCACAAAATACAATAACTTTTCAATGGCCACAGTCAATGTAAGAGAAATTTTCACAAGTACTGAAAATGTTGCCATATTGCCAATTAATACTGAAGACAATTCGACAATATATAGGAAAAAGCTGATGTATATCTTGCTGTTTCTGAAGTTACAAGAAGTAAATATATTATACCTTTAAGGAGTTTCCTGTGTGAAGAAGTTTCTTCAAGATCAGTCCTGAAAAGAAGACATGATTAGAAAAATTCACATCATTTTTTTTTAATTTCCAAGTGTCAGAGTTCTCGGTCAGACTTGAACATACTTTTAAACAAGTCCTTGGCAACCTCTAAACTGCTCTTGGTGACCTTGATATCTCTCTGGCCATTCTTGAGACTAGAGAGGCATATAAAAAAGTCACCTTCAACACATGGTTCAAAATAATTAAGTACAATTCACTTTACTAACAAAATATAAGCCCCAAGTGGCATTTAACAAGACAATTTCTTGTGCAGCTCTTATTTTATATGAAGAATACAATTGAACTTAATACTTTTCCACTAACACAAATAAAATCCACTACAGAAAATCTTCATTTGGGTAACATTTATATTTTTATTTACTATCCACCAATCTATTATCTCCTAAGAAATATTTCCAGAGTACTGTACACTGGTTCTTTTTCAAGTTCATTATATTTTTCTAACTTATGTAACATTTGGAATGCACAGCAAAACACTGAAAATAAAATCCAAACATTCAGAGGTGCTAGTCTGAACAAATCTAAACTGTTAACATGTTGTACAATTTAGAATTTTCCTTTATTTACATTATTTCTGTGTTCTTCCTTTTATCACAGAAGAATCTATTATCCGTATTTTGGTATTAATCATTTCAAAAACATTTTATTTGAGTATTCTATATATTTGCAAATATATCTTAAGGTACATAAGTGGTTTACATTTTTAAAACTTGACACAGAGGCAGATATTTGGCCCAGCAGTTGAGACATCACTTGGGAGTCCTACATCACATACTACTTTTTCCTCGCTCCAGTTTCGTGCTAATGTGCATCCTGGAAAGCAGCAGGAGATTGGTCAAGGAACTGTGTCTCTGTCCCCAACATGGGAACCCTGGATGGAGTGCCTGGTTCCCAGTGTCAGCTCTGACCACAGCCACCACAGGCATCTGAGAGGGAACATGAGGATGGGCGCTCACGCTCTCTTTGTCTTACTGTTTGTCAAATAAAGTACGCCTTACATAAATGGTGTCACATAAATTATTTACAAACTGCTTTTCATATTTAACTTTAGTGTCTGAAATTTATACTGATTTAACTCCAGCTGATTCACTAAAATGGCTCTATGTTATTCCACAGTATGAATATGTAACAATTTATGTCTCTTCCTTACACTGAACTTTTTTTCTTTTTTAAATTTACTCAATTATTTCAAAAAGTTTGAGAAAAAGACAGAAACAGAGACCTTTCATCAACTAACTCACTCCCCCAGATAGCTGCAAGAACTACAGCTGAACAAGACTGAAGCCAGGAGCCTCGGATTCCATGCAGGTCTCCCACATGGGTGGCAGGGCCCCGAGTACTCAGGCCTTCTTCAGCTGCTTTCTCAGACACACTATCCGGGACCATGGCTGGCATAAAGCAGCAGGACGTAAGCCAATGCTCATATGGGATAACGGCATCACAGGTGTGAAAGAACCCACTGTGCTGCAACATCAGACACTATTTTTTTAAAAAGCAACTACAGGGCCAGCACAGTGGTATAGCACACTAACCCTTCCTTAGGAGTGCCAGTGTCCCATATGGGCACTGTTTCAAGTCCCAGCTGTTCCACTCTGCTTATGGTCTGTAAAAGCAGCAGAGGATAGCAAAAGTCCTTGGGTCCCTGATTCCATGTGAAAGTTCCAGAAGAAGATCCAGGCTTCACACTGATCCAGCCCTGGCTGTTACAACCATCTGGGGAGTGAATATTGGATAGATGCACAATCTCTCTATCTCTCCTTCTTTCCGTTGTTCTGTCTTTCAAACAGAATTTTTGTAAGGTACATACAGTAACTATAAAAGGATTTTTAAAAAAAACCTACTAGAGTGATTCATTTTCCTTAATACACAGAACAAAGATGAAAGGATAGATCCTAATGATTGTTCTCTTTAACAAAAATTACCACATATTCCTTTTCTCAAACTAGTTATTTTAAAAATAGCATCACCTTTTCCAAAAAATAAAATAAAACCTTTTTTTAAAATGTGCCCAGCATAATAGCCTAGCAGTTAAAGTCCTCACCTTGCATGCCTGGGATCCCATACAGGTGCCAGTTCTAATCCCAGCAGCCCTGCTTCCCATCCAGCTCCCTGCTTGCGGCCTGGGAAAGCAGTCGAGGACAGCCCAAAGCCTTGGGACCCTGCACCCGGGTGGGAGACCTAGAAGAACTCTTGGCTCCTGGCTTCAGATGGGCTCAACTCAACTCTGGCCACTGTGGTCACTTGGGGAGTAAAGCAGCAGACAGATCTTCCTCTCTGTCTTTCCTCCTCTCTGTATATCTGGCTTTCCAATAAAAACAAAATATTTTCTTTTTTTCTTTTAAGATTTATTTATTTTTTATTGCAGTCTAGCTCTGACCATTGTAGCCACTAAGGGAGTGAATCAGAGAGGATGGAAGATCTCTCTGTCCCTCCCTCTTTCTCTCTGAACTCTTTCAATTTTCCTTAAAAATTATTTTCTACGACAATTGGGCAGCCTCAAGTCCTCTGGAGATAAAAGGCCACATTCCTCAGGAGACACAATAGATATCTGAAATTTAGATGTCTCAATAATTTCTTCAAAAGATTTTCTATCTGCTGGTTCACGACTCAAGTGGCCACAATGGTCAGGGCTGGGCCAAGCCACAAGCAGGAGCCAGGAGCTTCATCTGGCTCTCTGACAAGGGTGGCAGCAGCCTAAGCTCAAGTGCCATCTTCCGCCGCTTTCTCATGCCACCAGCAGGGAGCTGGATTGGCAGTGGAGCAGCCGTGACCTGATCGGTAGACATACAGGAGGCCAGTGTCACAGGCAGTGGTACTGCTGGCCACACCACATTCCAGTCCCAAGGACAATGTATTGTTATGAAATACAAAACAGAATTTCACTCCTCCGTTCAGCATCTAATTTATGTGCTCATTAGCAATTTATAAACACTCTGGTGTAACACAAACTCAAACATTTTGCCTATTTTAAACACCGACTTATTTTCCAACTACATGACATTCTAAGAATGCTTTGAATATTAAGGGGAACATTACTTTTAGTCTACCCTCACATAAAAAAATAATCCTGGGGGGCTTGTGTTGTGGCATAGCACGTTAAATCAGCTTGCCGCTTCAGAGGGCCAGTCTGAATCCCACCTGCTCTGTTTCTGATCCAGATCTGCATTAACACCTCACAGGGCGACTCGGACACAAGGATGTGAGCCTCTGCCACCCACATGGGAGACCCCAGTGAGGCGCTGGGCTCCTGCCTCTGACCTGGACCAGCCCTAATCATTACAGCCATTGGGGAATGAGCCAGCAGATGGAAAAATCTCTTTCCCTTTGTTTGGGATTCTAAAAGGCTTTATTATTCAGGATTTTGTCTTTTGCAGCCATCAAATCAGTATCATTCCTATCTGCACAGAATTTCTTTTGTTAGTAGAACTGCTAACTGTAGTAGCCTATATGGTTTCAAAGGCTCAGAGATTTCATTTGCTAAAACTGATTAGAAATGCGGGGAGTAAATAAATCTGTAATTACCTAAGAGAAACAAAATCACTTATAGGAATGAGCATAAGGTCTGTGATAAAGGGGCATGCAAATCACTCTAAATCAACACTGACATCATGGACCACTGAACCGAAGCCAGCAAGCACTTACCTGCAGACTGCATCTGAACGGGGATAAACACATGTGACAAAGAGAGCTCACCAGCCCGCAGCGATGCGATGCTGTGACTTGCAGAACTAGACCCCAAGCCAGCTTGCATTTTGGTTTAGTTCCTGATAACACAGAGTCTGTGGCCTCCTGCCTACATGCCCTCCAACAGTAATCTGCAGCAGGCTTTTGGTTTTGGTTTTGTGTGTGTTTGTTCCTTTCAACCTTGTTTCATCAGCCAAGAGGCCTTGTTTGGGTTCTTCCAGCAGGAAGCTTAAGGATACCCCCATCTCTCCAAGCTTTTCTTTTTTTTTTTTTTTTGGATGGACTAAGAGCACACTGCTTACTATCCAATGAGAAGGCCTTTGCTGCTGTTCTTCACACTCAGTATTTCTTTTCCACTTCCGATGCTGGCCTTGATCTTTTTTTCATAGTTTTATAATCATCACTGCTAACAGATTCAGAGTAAAAAAGGAAAGAGAGCTAAACAACTTACAACACCATCTTGACCAGAATCACTTCATCTATATTTTAGATATTTCCAGAAAATCTGTTCCTAAATTTTTTACTTTTACTAAAGCATAATCCATGCATAAACCTCAACTACCAATCCATTAAAGAGCATTTTCATACATTATCGCTTATTTCAAATGTCAAATACATATTTAAATTACTTACCAATACTATGAAACTGCCATCGTTGATGAATTCTTTCTGGAAGAAGTTGTAATATTTTCTAAAAATCAACACAAATAAAACAAGACATGAATGAAAAGTAATGAGTCCACATCTTAAGAAATATGAACAGCTTAAGAAAGCTCGTAAGCCCTTAATAGTTTCATAAAAGATAGTGTCAACAATACAAAATAGTCTGTGAGCTTACCTGATGGTATTGGCACACTGACGAATATTTAAAAATCTGGGCCCAGCCTGGTATTTTAGGGGCTAAAATCCTCACTTTGCATGTACCAGGATCCCATATGGACGCCAGTTCTAATCCCGGCAGCCCCGCTTCCCATCCAGCTCCCCTGCTTGTGGCCTGGGAATCAGTCAAGAGCAGCCCAAAGCCTTGGGATCCTGCATCCACGTGGGAGACCTGGGAAGGCTTCTGGCATCTGACTTCAGATCAGCTTAGCACCAGCTGTTGCAGTCACTTAGGGAGTGAATGAATCAATGGACAGAAAAGCTTCCTCTGTCTTTCCTCCTCTCTGTATATCTGACTTTGCAATCAAAATAAATAAATCTTTTTAAAAATATATATTTGGGGCCAGCGGCGTGGCCTAGCATAGTGGCTAAAGTCCTCGCCTTGAATGCCGGGATCCCATATGGGCACCGGTTCTAATCCCGGTAGCTCCACTTTCCATCTAGCTCCCTGCTTGTGGCCTGGGAAAGCAATTGAGGATGGCCCAAAGCCTTGGGACCCTGCACCCGTGTGGGATACCCAGAAGAAGTTCCTGGATCCTGGCTTCAGATTGGCATAGCGTCGGCCATTGCACTCACTTGGGGATTGAATCATCGGACAGGGGATTGAATCATCGGACAGAAGATCTTCTTCTCCGTCTGTCCTCCTCTCTGTATATCTGACTTTCCAATAAATAAATAAATCTTTAAAATATATATATACATATATATATATTTTTTTTTTTTTAAATCTGGGACCAGGCGTGATAAACTAGTGGTTAAATCCTCACCTTTACATGCACTAGGATCCCATTTGAGTGCCGGTTCATATTCCAGCTGCTCTACTTCCCATCTAGCTCCCTGCTTGTGGCCTGGGAAAACAGGAGAGGATGGCCCAGGGGCTTGGGACCCTGCACCCACATGGGAGACCTGGAGGAAGTTCCTGGCTCCTAGCTTCGGATCAGCACAGTTCTAGCCGTTGCAGCCGCTTAAGGAGTGAACCAGTGAACAGAAGATCTTTCTCTCCTTCTCCTTCTCCTTGTACATCTATCTGCCTCTCCAATAAAAAGTGAAATACATCTTAAAAATGAAATTTCAAAATCTTGTCCCCAAAAGCACCAATTCTGATAAAATTTGGGAGAAGCAAATTAATAAAATTTAGAATTTATAATAACAGAATTTAAGCATATTTCTTATTAGTACATACTTATCCTTATTTCCCTCAAAACACTTATTTAATGATAATAGAATTTCTTCATTTTAAATATCACTCAAGAGTTTTTAAATATCACTTTAAATATCAATTTTTAAATATCATTCATCAGTTTTCAATTCCTTCAGATATTACTGGTGATTTTTTTCTGACAGATTCTATTGTTTTGCTAAAACTAGGATAGACATTTTGATTTCATAAAAATTTCATCAAATATTTCCACATAGTTAGATCACATAAATCCAAGAGATTCCAGATGTTATTATAGACTTACCTGTGAAACTAAACTTCAAAATTTAGGAGCCCTAGTATGTAAACAGCTACTTTACCACTCAGCTATTCTCCCAGTTCTCATTCACTTACTGAAAGACAGCTGTGTTTATCATTACATCTGGTCTTATCACAATTATTTAGCTATTAACTTAATGCTCAAAGGAGCCAAACATTAAGCACACTTCATACAATTCCATCTCAGTAATTCTCGCAATCATTCCAAACAGAAGTTTACTAATCACATCCAATAAATGAGGAATGGATTCACTGGTGTGCTCCCATTAGAAAGCCACAACCTGGGGCCAGTGTTGCAGTGCAGTGAGTTAAGCTGCTGTCTGTGAGGCCAGGATCCCATAGAAGAGGACTGATTTAAGGCTTGGCTGCTCAGCTTCCAATCCAGCCCTCTGCTAACGTGCCTGGAAGGACGACCCGTGTGTGTGGGTCCTTGTCAGCCATGTGGAGTCCTAGATGGACATCTAGGCTCCTGGCTCAGGCCTGGACCAATGTTCTCCATCGTGGTCTCTTAAAGAATCAACAAGAGATTCAAAATTTCTTTCTCTTTCTCTCCCTCCACTCTTCCCTGTCACTCTTTCAAATAAATAAATCTTAAAAATAAAAAATGTAAAGCTTAGACACTGGAAAAGTAGATTCCAATCTCAATATGCCCACTTTCCAAATCTGTACCTTCATGCTATTATGATTCAAGAGCAATATGCATGTTTTATACATCTTCCCTTTGATCTGATCTTCAGTCTACTCCACAGAGGGAAATGAGGAAGAAATAATAATGTTCTTACAGATAAACACAGGTCTCACAGAAGATGCCTAGCCTTCTTCATCTCTGCCCTCCCTCCACATCCCCCACAGCCAGCCAACAATCGTATACTTATATTTATTTAAGTGTGGAAAGAGATGAAATGATAAAGAAATAGAAAAGGCAAGCCTGTAAACTACCCAAGGCATTCCCAACTTACAACTATTAAATTATATATATCAGCTTTATCCCATTATATCTTCCTTACGTGGTTAAAAAACGAACAAGAAATTATCTGCCCTTTATACAAAAATCAATCTTGTCCCCTATTAACAGTAATCATGTTTTTTATTCCAGAAAGAGGAAATCACTATGAATTCTTCATCAGTTTCTAAAGGCAGAAATGATACATAAATCTAAATATATTGATACAAAGATTACATAATTTTTGTGTTCTACTAAAGTTTTTCAAAAGATACAGGCATAACCTCACAATTTTTCCAAGAAAATCTAGTAATCCATTTAAAACAGATTTGACTTAAATGAATATAAAAACAATTGATATTTACATATCACATTTAATGAAATAGCCGTTATTTTTAATAGGAGGACACTGAAGAGCTTCTTGTGACAGATCCATCATGTGTTTCCTGAATGTAATGCAGGCATGGCTGATCACCTGAGTGAAGAACTTTCCAGGAGTCATCACCCTGCCTTCTCCATAAATGCCTTCATGCTTTCTCAAAATACCAATATTTCAATACTGCCTTTACCAACAGGTCATCCAAGCACTCAGGAGGGATGAGTAAATAAAAGCAAATTCTTCAGAAATCCTAATAAAAATGAACTGCAGAATAACCCCAGTGACTAGAGTCTATAAACGTAAAAACAGTATTTTTAATCATGACTAAATTGACAGTTGAGATATTAACTGAATCGATCAAACATTTCTGGGCTAAGTCAAAATACTTAAAACCTAAAACTAGAAATTATCTTCAATAAGTAGCAGTTAGAATACTCATTCTTTAAAAACCGATTCTCACTCTTTCACAAGGTCTAGTCTAGACTTTCTGAATGTCTCTAAATTCTCTGTAAATACAAAATACATCTATGACCATTTATTCAGAAAGAATAAGGAGCAAGGAGTTATTTTTGTAAACGGGGATTTAGGACAATAACTTAAGTCAATCCCGGGGATGCCCACACCCCCCAGCAGCGCATCTGCTTCCAGCTCAGGTTCCCACTGATGTGTGTCCTGTTACGCAGCAGGTGGCTCACATCCTCAGGCCCTGGACACTAATATGGGAGACAGACTGAGTTCTGGGGTTGTCTCCACCTGATCCAGCCCTGGCTGTTGAGGACACACGGGGAGTTTATCAGAGGATGCAAAATTTATTCGTATCTCTACCTTTCAAATAAAAATGAAAATAAATTTTAAAACTTAAAACCAGTAGGGAAATGAGAGGGTATTTTATAATTCGGCTAAAAATAAAACACAAATTTAGCATAGATTCAAATTTGGTTCCTATACCCTCTCAAGCTACGTTTCCTTCTATTTATAAAGTTTCCCCCACTCAACCCAAAGTAAAACAACAATGATTAAAACATTTAAAACTATTGCATAGCAGAAAAGTAGTTAAAGCAGAAGTGATATATCCTCAACATACAGAACTGTTTTTTATGCTAACTGCCTACAACTTAAACTGCTCATACTTGCAAGCATATTACTATGCTACTTTTGTAGAGCCAAATGTATGAAACACAATTCTATCTGTATTTAAAAATATGTATAATTCATTTAAAAAAATATAGAATACAGGTTCAAAAATGATTTAGTTGTTTTAAAGGTCAGCAAATTCACTGTTCATTATATACTTTAAAATTCACTATATTTCTCTGTATACTCAAACAACTATTTTTGAAAGACAAAAACGAGACTCACAGTACTTACCTCAAAAATGAAAAGTATAGCATCCAATTCTTCCCTTTGAGACTTGTGACCTAAAATATTTCAAACATGTTTTGTCACTGTTAATGATCATTTAATAAGTTTGAAATATCTTAAACACTGAAATTTCCTAGCAATCTTTTAAAAATGTTTAAAACCATGTTCTAGTCATTGCAGAGTCCTTTCCTTTTCCCTTTCTGAGTAAGTACAATCAGGTTTCAACACATTTGTGTCTAAAATTAAATCATAATACATTGTGAACTATAAATGAGTTCTACAAATGAAAACATCAGAGTGAGTGCTCAAATCTGACACAGGCCCTTAAGTCAAAAGAAAGCAGGCTGAGAATACAAAACTGATCCCCAAGAAAGGAAACCTTTCAATCCTTGGCACAAAGTAAAAAAACAGTAATGCTAACCCATCAATTGTCTTTCAAATACATGTCTCCACACTTGAAACAGTGACATGGATATCAAAAAGTTATCTGACAATGACAGCTGCTTGGCACAGTGGCTAAGTAGCCGTCACTTTTCGGGATATCCTACATCAGAGTATCTGGTTTGAATCCCATGTCTTCACTTCCGCTCTAGCTTCCTGCCCCAAGCACACACGTCAGAGACCTGGACTGCGTCCCAGGTTTCTGACTTATGCCTGGCCTAGCCCTTCCCTTTCAAACATGAAAATCAATATATAAAAAACTTTAAAAGGCTGACAAAAATGCATTCATATTAAAATTTAATGTCCCTGAGTCTCGTTAAGTTAAAGATAACAATTGGGAACATCTTACCTTTCTGTTTAAGACTAGCTTCAATGGTCACAAAATTTTCAAAGAACACATAGTATATATGTGAAAAATGTTGGTCAAAAAACTGCTTAAGATCAATAGATTCTGCATTCTCTGTAAAATAACAAAAAGTTTTTAGATTATTATTCACATAAATGTTAAATCCTGTTTAGCAAACATTCATAGTACAAAGTTTCATTCAAGTTATCAAGTTAAAAAAACTATTCTTAAAACTCAATTCTATTAAATATTTCAAATATGCATTCATGCATCTGTATTTATTCTTTACAGATTACAGCTTTGAAATAACTAGTCAGGAGATAGTCTTGTTTCTAGCAAGAGAACAAAGTCTCAAAGAGATTATTCACAATCATTAGCCATACCAATAACAGCATTAAAACCTATTTTCCTAACATATTCCCAAAACAGTTTAAAATCAGTGTTTCTAAGAATAAAAATTTATGATGCCTGACACACATTTATTCTGTTATAGCTGTGAATCAACAATTTTAAGTAGGTATGTAAGAATTACAAAGCTCTAACACTGACAGTCCTGCTCTAAAGAAATTGTCAGTACAGTACAGGGCATGCAAACCTAACATCTGGTCACATGTGCAGTAGGCAGAACCAAGCTTTAGGTGCTAAGAGACAAGCACATGGTAGATTCATAACAAAATAATCTTCAAGTCTCGAAGGTGAGAAATAAAGAAAACCTTCAGAGGATATAATATTTGCAAAGACTTTACTGGGCAGGAAGAACACAGGACCTGAAGCTGAGGGTTGAATGACAAGGGCATTCTAGGCATAAACAAACGTGGAATGAGGAAATCATAAGGCACAAGAATTTGCAGAAATCATTGAGAACATTCTAAGAATAATAAAATTTCAAGAAGTTTGAGACACATTGTAAAACATCATGAAAGAAAATTAAGCTATTTGATTGTTTTAAAGCAAAAAGCCTATGCAAATGTATATGTATGTATTAGCAGATGCCCTTAGTAAACGTGACTGGTTCTCTTGTTAGCTGGCTTGTTTGCCAGAAAAGTTAGAACACCTGCACTTACATTCTTTCTACTATTCTACTTGGTTCACAAAAAGCACATCACTTACACTAATAATAATAATAAATGTAAAAAGCAACAGAAAACAAATATTTCCGAATCTAAATGTTAGATAAATAACTGTAAATAAACCCAAGTTAAAGGTAAACATATTACAATACTCTAAAGCTCAATGGAAGATTTCAAAATAAAGAAAAATACTAATAGTATAGATAGCCCTTTCAACTTCATGCAGTTCCCTATGACCATTTGTAACTATTAAGTGACATCTCACCAACAGTGTTTTCCTAGACTATTTCTCTTGCTGAATCTTCCCAAAAGGAAAAGATGAATGTTTCGCCTCATAATTTCCTGGAATTGTCAATGTTATGGTTTGAATACATATTCTTCCAAACTCAGGCATTTGATTCCCAAAGTCTTACATTAATGGCCCCAGGTTGTTACAAACTTGAATGTAGTCCTGGCATTTATAGGTGGGATCTTCACAAAGCAATCAGTTTGGGTTAGATTGCAAGGCTACGGCACCGGTGACTGAGTCCCACAAGAAACCACAAAGATGACAGACAGTTTTGTATAGCTCTGGTCTCTTGCCATTTCTTGTTCTGTGCCATTATCAAGGGCAGATGTTTGGGAAAGTACCACACTGCTTGAAATGTCTACATCCCACACTTAAATGCCTGGCTTTTACTGCAGGCTCCGGACCTGGTCTCAGTCCCAGTCTCCCAGGGCAGTCCGCACCCTGGGAGGCAACAGCAGATAATTCCAGTAGTTGGGCCCCTGCTACAACTCAGGAGACACAGACTAGCTGCTCAGCCAGAGCTGTCCTGGGCACTGGAAAAGTGAGCCAGCTAAGAAGAGCTTGCTTGCTTTTTCTTTAAGCTCTCATTTTTGTCTCTTTCAAATGTCATTTCAAATTAAACAAACGAAAAATATGTTTAAAAAGTCATCCTCACCATGAATGGGAGCCCGCTGAATCTGGGCCAGTGAATCGCTAGCTCCATGATCTAAAACAAGCCCCTCTGCTTTACAAGGCAGCCTGCCTCAGGGAGTTCTGCAGCCATGAAGAAGTCACCACAGAAGATAATAATATGGGAACAATGGTCAACACACTGTCCTGTATCACTTGACCATTTGTGCCCTAATCAACTACGAAAAGATTATCAAAATAAAATAATTTTAAAGAAAAAGTCATTACAACAGTTTGTTTCTCCTTTATGGAAATAATGTTTCAAATGCTTTTTTCCTGAGCATGTCTAATTCTTCAGAAGAGAAAAGGTGTGACCCTCAGCACCCCCAGACCTAGTACAGGGCTGAGTATGCAGTATGTACTCAAATGACTTCATATAAAGTGTTTTAATTTTGTTCATTTTATACCTTGCATATGTTTACCTTGGGAATGACTACAAAGCACACTAACACGGCTACTGGAATTGTGAAATTAGATCAAGATTCCACGCCTGACTGTGTACTTGCCACAGAGAAGACAAAATTGTAACGGGCCACAAAGTAGATGGCTCCACACTTTATTAAGAAAAAATTCCTATAATCCTCACAGCAATATAATATCCCTATTTTACTGAGGAAGTAACGTAGGCATAGCAAGTCTAAGTAGCCTAGATGCTAAGCAGCAAGAGTGAGGATTTAAAAACCAGGCATCCGTATCCAGGATCCACGCTCACAACATATGATACTCAGCTTCCAGGCGTTTAGGAGAACATTATACATTTATCTAAGGCAACGTCAAAGGACCACCTCTGTGCCCTGGCATGGTCTGACGGCAAGGAGCAGTGCACCTTCTTTCTCCCCACACTTCCTCCCCGCCCTACCCACCCCTGCCGCAGACACAGGATGGAAGATGAAAAAATTTGCCTCACCCACCTTCCCCCACCACCAGACCCTCTCCAATCTAACAGGAGACCCACATGGATCTGCAACCTCTCACATTTGTAATAAATATTACAAAAATTTTAAAAATTTTAAATAAATTGTATGCTAGCATTTTCTTTAGACTATCAAATATGAACATGAGGGAAAAGGAAATGTGTTATATTTTTCCAACAGAGTAACTCAAACAACTAGGAAATCAGAATAACACACTGCTGTAACTATCTGAATTTCCTGAAATCAATGCTTCTAGCACAACTAAAGTCGCTTGAGAAAAAAAAAATATAACAAAGCAAAACAAAAACTAAAATACAAAAGCAAACATAAATCAAGGCTTTGTGGCACAGGAGCCAAGCTATTCTCTGTTCATTTCCTTCCCACACGGCAAAGTAGCAAGGCCTGGAAACAACACACCTACTGAAGTGAATTTGAAAAATAAATACTGGATCAAAAAAGCTAATTTGTTTTTCACTTTTTATCTATTCGCAATAAACTTGTTAGCAAATATAAACTCTCAAAGTATTTTGGATCACCAATTCAGATTTCACAGGGTTTAGGAAGAAACACAGAAAATGGATAAAATATGGGCAGACTCATTTAAAAACAACTCTCTGAGCTCCCACTGTGATGTAACAGGTTAGGCCGCTACCTGCACTGCTCCATTTCCAATCCAACACCCTCCTAACACACCTGCGAAGGCTGTGCAAAACGGCCCAAGTGCTTAGGCCCCTGCACCCATGGGTGACACCCACACAAAGCTGCTGGCTACTGACTTAGGCCTGGTCTAGGCTCAGCTCTTGTGGCCATTTGGGAAGTGAACCAGTGGATAGATGAAGACCCCTTCCCCTCTCTCCCTGTAACTCCTCTGGGGATGCCTTTGAGACTTCTGGCCAACAAGTCCAAATTTTGTCAAATGAACTAGCATATATAATGGATGTGCATTAAGAACCACAAGTGTGCCTAACTTCACTCATAACCTTTAATGAGGTTGAACTGATGGTGCTTTAGTGTTTTGTTTTGTTTTTTAAGATTTATTTATTTTTATTGGAAAGTCAGATTTACAGAGAGAAGGAGAGAGACAAAGATCTTCTGTTCCCTAGCTCACTCCCCAAGTGGCTGCAATGTCTGAAGCTAAGTCAATCTGAAGCCAGGAGACGGGAACTTCCTCTAGGTCTTCTATGCAGGTGCAGGGTCCCAAGGCTTTGGGCCGTCCTCTCCTGCTTTCCCAGGCCACAAGCAGGGAGCTGGAAGGAAACTGAAGCAGCTGGAACATAAACCAGCACCCTTACGGGATCCCGGCACATGCAAAGCCAAGGACTTTAGCCACTAGGCTACCATGCCAGGTCCAATAAAAAGTTTCAAGTGTTCTAAAGTTCTCCCTGTTCTCTTAAATATTTCTGCTGTGGGCCAGTGCTGTGGTATGGTAGATAAACCATCTCAACCTGCAGTGCTAGTATCCCAAATGATACCTCTCTCTGTCTCGGTCTCTGTTTCTCTCTCTACCTCTCTGTAAATCTAACTTTTTCAAATAAGTCAGTCAATCTTTAGAGAAAATATTTGGGCGTGGCATGATGCCTCAATGGCTAAATCCTCACCTTGCAAGTCCTGGGATTCTATATGGGTATCAGATCGTGTCCCACTTGCTCCACTTCCCATCCAGCTCCCTGCCCATCATCTAGGAAAGCAGCGGAGGATGGTCCAAAGCCTTGGAATCCTGCACCCACACAGGAGACCTGCAGGCTCCCAGTTCCTGGCTCCTATCCATCTCAGCTCTGGCCTTTGCAGCCATTTGGGGAATAACCAATGAAAGGAAGATCTTTCTCTCTGTGCCTTTCCTCCTCTCTGTAAATCTGATCTGCCTTTCCAATAAAAACATTTATCTTTTTAAAGATATTTTATGTAAAATATCTGTAAATAAACTTTTCTTTTCAGAAACAGATTTTTAAAAATTTATTTTATTTGAAAGAATTACATAGGTTGAGAGGGAGACAGAGATCTTCCATATGCTGGTCTACTCCCCAAATGGCTGCCACAGGTGTTTTCCAGGTTTCCCACATGAGTGCAGTGCCCAAGGACTTGAGTCTGCCATCCTTCCTTTCCCATCCAAGGACATCAGCAGGGAGCTCAAGCAAAAGTAGAGAAGCCAGGATAGGAATGAGTACCCACATG